AATGCACACTTACATTATATTATTATACTATCGTTCGATAGTTCTAACGGTTTATGTAATCATACAGTATGATAATCAAATACCGGCATTATATTATTATTATTAATAATACAAACACGTTGTTTGATAATTATTATTTTAAATTTTATCATATTATTTATTTTATTGATTATGATTACATTTCGACACGTCAACTTCACAAGAAATAGAATACACTTATAATGTACCATGCAACTAGGCACGCATACTATTATAGTAGTTATAATACCACTATAATCACACTTTGTACTTCATAAATTGAAATTTTAATCGTGAATAAAATAATAACTATTGAATTATCTCATCAATATTATACGCAATTTATCGGTTACCTGCACTTGAAATACTTTTTTTTTTTTTACGTAGGTACCTTATTTATAACGCAGAATACGTTAAATTATAGCTAATATTGTATACACATCTATATATTATCTTTCAAATTATGGTTTAAATTTAGTTACACACATTGATCGATACACACACACACAGTGTTATTATGTTATTATGTGTCTATGTACCTATATTATTATGAATTATATATTATACCAATATGTCGCGCATGCGTATTCACGATTTACGAACACACGCGCATACAGTCGTGCAGTCCGCTAATATTTTTATAATGAAACTAAAATAATATTATTGCAACGTTGCCGCGCGTTTTCGGCGACCTACAAAATATTTTCAAAGTAACCTTGCCTACGGCCCGGAGCGGTGAAGGGTACCAATTGCGGCAACGTCGCTATATACGTAGCAGGTGTCGTGTTTTTATACGTACGCTCGACTAAAACGAATTCGTAAATAAATATAAGAGAAAACCATTTCTCTTATAATATAATATAATAATATTACGTGCGTATGTATAGTATACGTACCGTCACTACCGCTATCTCATCTGTTGGGAAATGTGGACGCCATCACACACGCTACAATATTAAATACTATTACAATATTCTTCGTTACTCACGAAAATCTTCGAAATATTTAAATTGTAATGGGGTTATAGTGATTATATTATATATTATTATCATTGACGTTCCGCCGTTTATTAAAAGGCCGTTGTAACGCAAACAAAAATGCGTTCACGTAAAACATATAAAAAGACCATTGAAATCGGTTTTAGAAACAAAACGCCAAAATAATTCCACATTATTACATACATGATTGTATTTTTGAAAACAATCTCGTCAACGTTTTTCCATAAATATTAAATTTCATTACATAATTTTTATCTTAAACAAAATAACATGTCTACGGAGAATACGATTTTTTTTTTTGTATATTCGATAATTTGTTAAATATTTTTTTGGGAATTATTATAAAACGTCGATGAGGTACCTATGCATGATTCTACATGAAAATTTCCCATCGCATAAAACTTTCATTGTAGGTGAAATACAAGTACTGTAATGATTCCGTTACGCACTATTTCCATGTATATATATTTTTTAACACCGACACTATAATATTATTTCTAATGGGCATATTATTATAATATAGGTATAATTTTGAACAATTATTTTACTTCAAAATCGCATAATCACCGAGTAGATATAAAATAACAAAAAAAGATTCGTTAATTATTATTTCTATTTTTTTTAATTTTAAAACGGTACTTATTTTTTTTTTTGTGTGTGTGTACGTATAATTTTGCTTGTTTTACCGAAGTTGAACACTTACAAGAAAATAAAAAAAAAAACCATACAATTTTATTCAAACTCTTTTTCAGAAATATCCAGAATACCCGGATAATTGACTTCTATATTCGGGATGTTCATATTTTGATTACCAGTTATTTATTATACTGTGTAGTGTGGAATAGAAATACCTATTTATTTTATATTTGGTGTTTATATATGTTTACACCTTATATGTTAGTATAATATACGTCTTGAATACAACACTGACTGGGATATCGTAGTATTCACTTGCATAACAAAATACTTTACATAGTGGTTGAGATTCTGTTCGAAATATTCTCGTTTTATTATACATACCGTCCGTCATTATTATTACTTATTGCGTATAATGTATTTTAACCCATAGTCGATTGCAATAAGTTCGATACATTTATATTTATTTATTAGATTTAGACCGTGACAATAATTTATATTAGAACATTACAGAAGTTTTAATGGTCGTAATAAAAACTATACATATACATTTTTTTTTCGTACTTTTATAAAAGGGTGAAAATAATCATATTATACTTGCACGTTGTTTGAAATATTATAGTATATAAAACAATGCAGATATATACTACAATATTGTTAATGTTTTAACTATTATAATTATCACAATGTTATTCACCATTCATATTTATTTAAATAACGCAATATGCTAAATTGTTATGTAACCTTTTTTTATTTCTTCTATGCGGGATACGTAATAAACATTATCGGTATTTGTGTATAAAAATAAAAATCTACGTTTGATATAGTAAAAAAAGAAAGAAAAACGAGTCAAAGACTCAAAGGTTTTGGACTCGAAGCTGTTTATTTATTGTTTACTGTAATAACACTTTATTATAGCGTGTCGTACATCATGGCTGTTTAATTTCCGTTTACATAATATCATTTTATTAATAAATATACTGCCTACAGACATTTCATTATATTGTTTGTAGGTTATTTTTGTAATACTATTCAATTTTACGGGAGTAAAATAATAAATTATAATTAATAATGTATTCTATAATAACAAAATAGATGGGTATTGTTCGTAGAGTTGGGAGTATTTTATTTGACAGTAATAATACAATTATTCAGAAGTATTATATTACTATGTTCCTAATCGCAACACTTTAGATAAGGTAGGCTAATAAAATATATTACAAAACAGTCTTATTATATTATTTATCCTTCGTTAATCCCCACTACAAACACTGTCGTATCGGTTTTTTTTTTTATCTATGTAATCACGTTTAGACTCAATTCATAATACTATAATTTATAGCAAACAGATTACAAAATGCAAAAATATTGCTATTGATTAGGGCAAAAAATCTCAAATTCAAACATCGCTGTTGTATACGAAAGTGCAGGGCCCAGGGCAGATAATATTTATAGATCCGCACTTTATAATATAATCAGTAGGATTCAATTATATACGATTAGTCTTAAAGGCTGAGAACAAAATAAATTTAATTCAGATACATTTTCTAATATCAGCCGTTCGAAAAACAAAAATAAGTGACTTTTATTATTTATGCAGTCAAAACATACATAACATACATGTAATGACACAATATTACAAATTAAATATTTTCGTAAAAATATGTAATAAAATAAAAATTATTTTTATTATTTTATTAATATATGTTAGATTTTTTTTTACTTTTTAAAAATAAATTATGTTTTAAAATTTTGGGGCCCGGGACAAGTTCCCTTAATTCTCCTCCCCTTTAAATCCAGTATATGTATTGTAATTAATTGTCTTTTACAAAGTTTCAATAAAAAAAAACCAAAAGTTTCTATAAATTTGAAATAAAAATAACATCATATTTTTGAATTGAGGATAAAAAAAAGCTCGGACGTAGGAAAAATAAGCACCAGGGAAAAAATACAGTGATCAACATGTTAAGAAACATTTTTCTCTTGGGTCTAATGATAACTTCCATCGCATAAAAATAATAAGGTAACCGATAAACGAAAAACCGTAGGTACTGAACAGGATATAGTGATGTAGGTATACTTTTGTTGGAAATATATTTATCTTATTTTTCTGATCTATTAACTGAAAAACCCTATATAGCATGGTATAAAATAATATGTAAGTATAGGTAGGTAACAAATATATGTTATATTGTATACTTGGACTCGGGGTTTTTAAATAATAATTTTACGTTATTTGTAGTCAATTTATCCTTATCGGTTATTATAAGTATATCTCATTGCCGTTTTTGTAGTAGGTAAATATTAAATAAACATTTGTTTCCTTCGTCGGGGCTTTTTCTTCTTAATATCCGTATTTTTACGAGTTAAATATAATGATTTTTATAAATTACACTTGTTATATGACGTGATGTGTGTCATTATACAAAAACAGAGCTTAAACGTCGTTTAACTACCATGATAAAATGATGATAATTTGCCGAGTACGTGATACAATTAATTATTATTAAGCATCCATTAATTATTGTCCATTTAATTTATGTGTTATGCTATCATCGATGTACACGATTCGCGGTTCTCCGTGTTAACACGTTTGCAAAAATAACGTGTGTGCGCTCGTTCATTATTATTATTTTTAAACGTACGTGAATATTCTCATTTTCCGTGAAATTGAATTATCACGTTTAAAATCATTATTTTGATGAATAATATTATGCCCGTTCCTTGACGCGTCCGAACGCATTATATTTTACGATTTATACGGTTACGGTTGTAAATAATAATATAATAATATACGTCGTTGCACACACCTAAGTACGACGTATGCGCGTATAAAACACATTACAATAATAATAATAATAATAATAATAATTAATATTATTAATTGTACCCGTTGTGATTGCGAATATTACTATAATGCAATACAATATTATATTTTTACGAGATATGAAATTATTCTTGAACCGAGGGCTATTATCGTCGTCGTGTTTATCAGAACACGGAAGAGTGTGCGTGCGTGTGTGTATGTGCGAGTGTGTCAGCGTGCGCTCGAGTATTATTTACGATACACACGACGACGCATTGTTGTTATGAGAACGTTGTCGCAGCCGCCGCGCAGTGACGTCGTCGTTGTTGATTTTATTTACCGGTTTTTACCGTATCGCTTTGTTACGCGCGATACCATAATTATGGTACAGCCGGGCCGGACTGCGAGCTCGGCAAGTCCATCGTGTTTTGTTTCGTTGGCGACGGGTGGGACCCCTTCTTCGAAACTGCAGGCTCCCCGCCGCCGAGCGCCGTGAACGCCCGTGGGATCGAACGAGGTACTTTACCCCAGCCCGAGCGGTCGTTTGGACTTGCCCGAACCTGTTTAGAGACGTTGTTTGATGTCAGCGGAGCGACGGCCGTGTCCCCAGCGGAGAACTTTTTTTTTATTTTTTTTTTTTTTTTTGTAGGCGGATTACAAAAATAATAACAGCCGAAAATGAGGAAGAAAAAATTTTGAAATTTTCGTCTCGCGTTTTAGTTTTTTTTTAATCCACACGCCATACCGTGTGGCATGTTCACATCCCGTTATCGTGCTACTACACCGATCGTTTTTTAGTGATTAGTGATAAATATTTTTCGCATCTGTGCACGTCGGAATCTTCGTATAGAGTAAAGAAAAATACGTAATGTACAGTGCGTGGTCCTAATAAAATGGTACAGATGTGTCCGTCGGAAATTATTGGTATTTCGTCTTCTTTGCCATCGGATTTTCGACGTCGTCTACATGCGGATTTGACGGTCTGGTGAATCGTAAACGATAACAAACAAGTAACTATCATTTGTTGTTTTCAAATACCTATTCTATTTAGTATATTATCGGTTTTGGTCATAGGCGTTGATATTTTATCTTCACGTGGTCCGTCCATTATGACCTAATAAACATATTATCCGTGCCGTTGTAGTGCTGTGTGCCGGGTCTAGTCTTACAGATATTACCTACCTACGCGTTTAACATTCGTTTGTTCAATAATGTTTTGGCAACAGGGTTTATTTTAGATTTTTGGGAATATTACTGTATTGTGTCCTTTAGGTATATGTATTACAAACAAATGAGGCGATTTCGACTCTTACACCATGAGTCATACAAATGTAGAAGAAAACACATTGTTGGAAAACGTTAGCTTAAGATCAAGTGAATATTCTTTTAATAATAATAATCTGTTATTATTTTTCATATATAATATCTTTATAACATTTAAAAATGTTATAGGTACATACCTATATATATATATATATATATATATTGTATAGGTACATACATTTAAATTATAAAGAAAACAAAAATCAGGTACCAAATGAATATTAGAAATAAGAACTTAATTGTATAGAATCTTAAGACAAGGTAGATAGAAATTCATTGTTTTTTTTTTTCTAGGCCACCATATTACAGATTTATAAATATTCTCCTTTTATTCAAATATGTCAATAGTGTATAACCTTAAATACATAATTAGATATCTTCGCTATCACTTCAATGATTTTGGTTTTATCTTTCTTTGGTTAAAACTAAAAAATAATTTTACCTAATCTTAATGGCCTGTTAAATAACTGGGTAAATAATACAAATATAACTTTGGGCACGAGTTAGATATTTTTACATCATTTAAAGTGTAAACAAATACTAATTTTATTTTAAATCATAAATAATAATATCCACTTAGCAAAATATAGATTTATGTTTAATAATAATATAATAAATTTAATACTATAGATACTATCAAATTATACATTTTTAATTGAAAGTGAATTCTTATTATGGATACAAATTGATCCAGGTAATGATCAATTATTAGTTTAAATGTGTGCACATAGGATATATTATGTACACCTATTTAATTTCAATCACAATTTAAAAGTAGATGCTTCAATAAATTATTTTATCTACCTATATGGCTATATCTACTTGGTGGGGTGAATATGTATGTGTTTTATTTATATATTTGATTGTTTAGATCAGCGGATCTGTACGCAAATACATTTTTTGATAAGTGAAAAAAAAAGATAAGTTATAGTGTAGTTCATTAAGCCGTTAATAATAATAAAAATTTATTAAATCCTTATAATTATGAAAATTTAATATAAAAGCTCTATACTTTTAAAATAACGTATACATTTTAATTTTTGATTAGTAAAAATAAAAAAGTTAATAACTATGACAAAAATTTCAAAATGTTTAACTTGTACTCTTGATAGGAAAAAGTTTAGGATCGCTTATTCTTATTATATATATCTAAGAAACATTGCATTTATTTTTAAGGTTTTTTAATAATTATCTATTGCAGCGTTCCCCAAACTTTTTTTCCGTCGGACCCCTTAGAGATAGTAAAAATGATCGCGGACCCCTCCCCCNATATATGCGGACCTCTAGGGGTCCGCGGACCACAGTTTGGGAAACGCTGATCTATTGCATGTCTCAATGGTTTAATACCTAATTTCATTAAAAATTACGCCAAAATTAACTTTACAATCATAAAATTTCATACAAACATTTCTAGTACCAAACAGTACTAGTGTTGTTATAAGAATCCTCTGATTTAATTATATGCTATCTACCTGTTATATGAGACTACATTGAAAAGGTTTCAAAAATATATAGGTAAGTTTTATTTTTTATGTAGCTAAAAATATGTTAATTTTGCTTTATTGTTTTGTTTAGAACTCATTAAATCACTATAATTATTTTCTGTAATGCAAAATATAAATCATTTTCTTAATATTCAAGTTTTAAATCCAGTGACAACAATAATCTGATACACATCCAATAAAATAAGTGCTTAATTTTTTAATACCGGTATATTTACAATAATTTGTTTTACGAAATAGAATAGCTCAATATTTCTGTTACTTAAATTGAATAGTTATCATAGAGAATAGAAAAAAGTCCATAAAAGTGTCAGCTGTGTTCCTAAATATTAATACAAATTTAACAATTTCTGATTATTTCGAAATGTATATCTATCTAGTTTTTATTGTGAAATTTGGCGTATTGATATTATTTTTAGTTATTTTTTATTCATAAATTGGTATTTTTGGGGTTTTTTTCTTTGTATCTAACTAGTAAAAATTAATATGCGATTATTAAATTTTAATATTCTTCCACGCAATTTAAATTAATTTCCAGTTTACTACCATACAGATATTTAGGTATTTACGAAAATAAATATTTTATAAAAATAAAGTCACATAAAATGTATGATTTATAACTTGTTGTTAATTTAAATGTTGACTGATAAGATTACATATCAGGCTACAGTTCTATGACTTGCTAAAAAAATTATTTATAGCTACAAAACTCCAAAGAAAGACGTATCTACCTAAATCCTAGATTAAAAAATACACAGTTTATTGAAAGTAACGTAAAATATATCTGACACCTATGTCATACCATATGCTTATATTTACCGTCTCAGCACTAACTAACCGACAAAATACTTATAATTACTTTACTAGGAATATGATTGCCATATTATTTTTCAATTGATTATAAATACTGTTTCATTTATAATCAATGGTTACTATGTTACATGTGTTGTAGGAATGCAGTAAAAATAACATAATTTAATATTTTATGGTCACCACCTAACAACTTTTAAACTTAGATTAAATTAAAAACAAAATTACCATTAGCACTATCCACCATTTTGTAAGATATAATTTATAGAACACATGTGTGTGAACGAATTCCCGATTGTATAAAAATAATGTTATTGCTACTTATGTCCATTACATATTCATATTTTGTTTTTTTCCATAGTTAAAACACAAACTTTGTTGATAATGTAGATACTTACTTATTTAAATTTAAACCAGAGTTAATTAAAGTATAGCTATTGCCTTGTTTCTGTATGTTTAAATATGTTTTAAGGCATTGATAACAATTGTTGTTTAAATATTGTATGTACCTGTGGTGCTTAATGTCAATTAACTTTAAACAACATTTTTTCTTATACAAAATCACATCATATATTTAATTAAATTATCCTAATTATTTAATAACACTGATGGAATATAAAATAATTGTTTTATAAATGCATAATATTTGATAACCTTTACATTTTGTAATTCAATTTGTAGGTAGGTATTTTAATATATTATAACAACATTTTTCTTACCTAATGTTAATCTGTCAATTGTATTTGTGTACTTATATTTAATTATACCATCAAATGATTATTATAATAAAAACTAAACATTTTTGTTGATTTTTTTTATCGCCAAGTAGTGTATATAGACTAAGTGATAAATAAGAAAATTATAAAATTACTGATTCATTGTTACCTATACAAATATAAGTACTTGCATTATTAATACGTTTTAATACATATTAAGTAGGTGTAGGCACATGTCTAAATAGTATGTAATAATATTAATTTTATACTCAAAAAATACATTCCTCTTAATTTTACAAAAATTTTATTCTTTTTTGATATTTAAGAATTATCTTGACACCAGCAGTATATTATTGCTATTATTTAGGTAGTTGAATAATTTGTAAATCCCGACCACTCTATTTAATAATAGTGAATTACAATTACCATGCCTAGATATATATTTATATGTAGTTCCACACTTAATATTTTATTTGAAGAATTGTGTGACCAATAAAAACAATTTCTTTCAAAAATACTAAATATTATTTTATTTGTAGGCCTTTTCCAGTGTGTAATATGACATATTACTTATTATACTTCATATACTTAATGATCAATTTTAGTTGAAATGTACTTATTATAATAAGTTATCATAATTAATTTGTTAATATTTGATTGATTGATTGTTATACCCAAAAAAATAAATATATTGCATTTAAGTTAAATGTACCTATATTTCAAGTTTTTATTTTATTTAATTATTCACGAAGTACTAGTATTAACTTATTAAGTAATTATTAAGGGTTGAATATAACTTTTTAAATCTTATTTCATAATAAAATTTAAATACTTGTTTATTCTCAAAAATAATACTGTTTCTAAGTAGATAATCATAATTTGTTAGTTATATTTATCGGCATAATTAATAATTGATGAGACATAATTTTGGCACATTACATACTATACTCTATTTACCGTAAGTTGACCCACTTGCTCGATAAAAACCCCTCGAAAAAATCCCCCCCCAAAAAAACCTCTGTATGCACGGTCACGGCGGCAGTTTGCTGCCTACTACGACGAGCAACAACAATCGTCAAATACCGCTGACCAATCACAGATTACGGTGGCTCAGTAAACATGCGCGGAAGCGAGTCAACTTACGGAACTTACGGCGAATAGAGTATAACATTATTAATTTCTGATAGTATTAATTCAAAATTAAATGTGTATAAATCAATTCTACATACATATGTAGTAAAAGTCCTAAAAATAGAATAAATAAATAAATTACATATGTATAGATAAATAGGTACTGAATGGAGTTTAAAAATGTTTGATTTTTTTTATTTATTGTTGGTTAAATTATAAAAGTATTAATTATTATTTATTATATTATAATTTTTAAGGATCGCACATAATACATGGTGGAAATAATATGCAATAAAAAACTGATAAATTAATAATAGCTTAATAGCTTTTGTAATTAATATATTATTTTTGTTCAACTGTTTATAATAATCAGGGTTGATAATAAACTTCTATAAGCTTAAACACAATTTTATTTACTATTCTATTTTAATAAAAATATTAATATCTATTTATATACTTGTAATTTACAATTGTATTTTTATTACTATCAAAAAGAAAATAATGCATATGTATCAAATAAATAGATAAGATTTGGAATATTTAAGTAAATTATAATTTATTTTAGATGAGCATAAGCATATTCAGACTAACGTGTAGGACAGGTAGCCATGTGCTCAGAACTAGTCTATGCAGGGGTTATTTGAACTATTTATAGTAATGTGCAATAGAATTCCAAATTTATCATATTAAAATTGTTCGAATAATATAACTTTGTATTGTAAAATTTAAATTATTCATGGGATAATTTGTAGACTTTAAGTTCCAGTTGGTTCTTATTATATAACGAAGATAATAACAATGTATAATTAATAAAATAATGCTTAGAGCTATACTTAAATTTAATTTAGCGCTGTGTACAAGTTATAACAATGTAATAGATTTAATAACTAATTTTATTTGTACGCTTATATATGGCGCATATTTGATGATCTTTGTTTTGGTGGTAGGGGTTCATCGTGTTGGCAGTATTTAAATGTTTAATCGTTCATGCACGAATTGGTGTACTCTTATTTTGAATATAGTATAAATCTAATTATATTACCTAGTTATTAATTGATTTTTTTTGTTTTATATATTTAAGTCTAATTTTGTTATCCTATTTTAATTTTTTTTTATGTAAGTTTGAGATTGCTTTATAATATTTTTTAAGATTATTTGTTTGTTTGATGATAAATATTACAAAATTGTTTAACATAACCAAATGTATTATTTATATTTTAGTGGCAAACAAAGAGCTTTGGTCCAGTTAAAACTGTTATGGAAGCTGTACAACAGACAGTAATACAACTGGACCGTGCTGCCATGCCTTCTCAAGCTCAAATGGCTTATTCTCAAAGAAATCCTCAAATTCACGGGTACTTAAACACTAAGTTTTAATTACTAATTTTATTGCTAAATTCTTTAGTAATTATTCAATTCTTGAACTTTATTCCTAATTTTCACTTTCAAAAAGTATTAGTACAAAATGTTCTGTTATTATGCTATAAGGATACATTTATGTTTTATCTTATTAGTTTTAAGTCATCAAATAATTTTTGTTTAAATAAGGACTGAACTTGCTTATTAAGTTAGATTTCCCATTAAATTTATTACTCACCAATGAATACTAACTGAATAATAAAGTGAAAGTAGAAAAAAAGTACATTTTATATATACACTATGTGTCCCTAGAAAAAGGGTCCACTTTACCACTCATTACTCTGTTTTTGTTGCGCATGCTCAAAATACAAGAGTTAAACAAATTGTAAGTCGTAAGACTTTAAGATCCATTAGTCTAGTACTCTAGTTTAATGTCCAGAAAACAGAATTGAATAATATTTATAGGGTTATGAAAGGTAAAGTGAATCCTGTTTCAGCGGGACACATGGTATATATAAAGGTTTACGAGTCATTTATAATTGAAATATAATTTGATAATTTCAAAAAAAACCTTATCTTTAATACTTTCAAACTATTTTTAATTAGCTTAAACTAATATATTTATTAATAATTATTAATTAGGCATAGCTGTGTATAATTTTATTTGAAAGTACCTATTTAATAATTTATGTGTTGTAAATTATAATTAATTGTCAACCATTTTTTTTTTCTAGACGAAATAATAACCATGGTGTGGTACAAGTACCAGGAGAGAATGGGCCTTACAAGCCATCATCTGCTGGTACTGGCCCAGTTCATAATAATTTTGGGTACCCGGGTAATGTAAGATATGTGTCTCAACCTGTTTATATGTCAGGTACAACTACTACATCAAATGCCTATAGAGATGCACCATTTCATTCTAGAGCATTAAATGTAAGTTGTGAAACATAAACATGTGCTCATGTTTATTATATTGTTTATATTTTATAAATGTAAATAATTTATATTATTGATTATATTATAATATGTTTTAGCCATTAGAGAAAACTTAATATTTTTGTAAACATCTCAAGCTATTTAATAATATGTAGCCTGTTCAAGTTATTTAATTTTTCTGGAAACAAGCTGCCATTTTTATTAACTAATTATTTTAATGGCTTTTAATATATATAATACATATAAACATAATAATATAAATGTATACAACGATATTATTTAGGTTAGTAATGTTTTAATATTTTCATGTTTTTAAGATACCTGATAGAGGAGTTACAATTGGTGTTCCTTTTGAATTAACTAGAAGTGATATGATGCCTACTGTAGCCAGGCAAAATCGTATATCTTTGTTGTCAGGAACAAGTGATTATTATCAACGAAGTCGTTTACAGTAAGTTAAAATGAATGACATCTATATTTAGTGTTTATAATGTAAATTATTATAATTTTAAAACAATGTTATTTTTAGAATGGAACATTATCGAGATGAATCATTGAACCATAATTCACATAATACAGTTTCTATGAACTTTATGAGGGAAAGACCAGATCATGGTCCTCCGCCACCTTTGAAGAAACCAAAATTACTTCATCCAGTTTCTCCTCAACCTCCTCTTAAAATTGATATATCTGTAAGTATCAAATTTTCCTATATAAAAAATTATTTTGCATATTATAATAATTTAAGTTAAATATTAAACCATCTCTAGGATCCTCCTTCTACAAGTGCATACAATCCTCAAGTAGAAGCTATTTCCCCTACAATTGATGAACCCACCACTGAAGCAAAAAAAGTTAATGATATTGCTCCAAAATTAAATAAAATTGAGAGTGATATCAATAATATAACTCAAGAAATTGAAGATTTGATCAAGTTAAAAGTAAAAATAAACTTAAAATTTTATGATTGTGATATGTATTAATATATATATATATATTAATAACATAATATATTAATTTAAAATATATTTTATAGGAAAATTACGAACAAAAAGAATTAAATTCTGAAGTTGTTAAGGTAGAACCTGAAGAAGATACAAAAAAAGAATGTGAAGAAGAAGATATAATGGTTCATTTGACTCCAGTTCAGCGAATTTATGCATCCAACAGGGTATATTTGATTTTATTTTAAAATGTATTTTCACTAACAAAAAAGTAAACAGTGTAGACAGAAATTTTTAAGAACTTATGTTAAAAATTAATTTTTAGAAAAAAGCATACGAATCCAGAATGAGTTTAGAAATATTTGCCAACAAGACCGATCTTGTAAGTATATTATTATTACTATCAATTACATATATGATTATCACGAAAATAAATATTAGAATTATATTGAAATAAATTATATTGCTAATTTACCTAACAAAAATTCTATTTATTCATATTTATTTATATTCTATTCTGATTTCATATTCAAATATATTTTTATATTTTTGTCTAAGTTATATAATTTAATGGCAGAAAATGACAACAATTACATTATTCTTTTGATTTACAGCCTTTGTATAACCAACCATCAGATGCTGATATTTATCACGAAAATAGAAGAAAGTAAGAATTTGTGTTACTTCATAGATAAATTAATTTTTTACAATATTTTTGCAATTTTCCTTTTTTAATGGTTAAACTATTGATTGCTATGATATTCTTCTTTAATGTTAATTAAGTATTATGTTTTCTTGTGGTATTAAGTTTTCTGAGAAAATGGTTGTTTTATAATTTAAATGTATCCACACAGTGATTGATCTATCGTAAAATATTAACTCTAAAAGTAATCATTACCTAACTTTGGTTTTCAAATAGTGACCTATATTAAAATGTACATGTATAGATATAGTATTAATTTAAATAAATTTTGATATTAAGATTTTTGGTTTCTGTCAATCAGTTAAGAAGATATTCCATTTATAAGTTTGGGTCGAGTAGAGTAGTAGCTGAGGTACAGCACCCAGCTTTTTAATAATAATAATCCACCACTCTCCTGACTCAAACTCAAAAATGGAATGTTTCGTTAACTGATTGACCAAAATCAAACATTTTAATACCAAAATTAATTTAAATTAATACTAAATTTATACATAGACTTTTTAATATGTAGGTAACCATTTAAAAATTAAAAGTAGATAGTGATTTTACTCTCAAAAATAATGGTGACAAAAATAACAAATGTAAAATTGTAGAGCAGCCTGTTTCTTAAATCTTTTGGTTATTCCAAAATACTTTCTGAGATTAGAGTATCTTTGATAGGTCACTGTATATAATAATTTTGTATCATCACAAATTTCATATGTTTTACTTATAAATGTTTATTTCTTTTTTGAATAATAATAATTTTATATCTCATATATCGTTAATGTTATATTTAATGTTTTATTTTCTATTATTAGATATTCATTATTTAAGTCAAGACTATTGGAGCATTTAAGGAAAAAGAAAATGGAACAACAGCAAAAGAAAACCGAAATAACTGATACTTATTCAAAATTGTATAAAGATTGGATACGCAGAGTTGAAAAAATTGAAAGCTCACAAAAACGAAAAGCAAAAGAAGCTAAACATAGAGAACTATTTGAGAAGGTGTTCCCAGAATTAAGAAAGGCGCGTGAAGATAAAGAAAGGTTTAACAGAGTTGGTGCTCGTATTAAAAGTGAAGCAGACCTAGAAGAGATAATGGACAGTTTACAAGAACAAGAAGTATATTTATGAGATAGTTGTATTATTATTATGTTTTGTATTTATTTTTTTTTTTTTTTTTAATTTAGATGGAAGATAAAAAAATGAGGTCTTATGCAGTTATTCCTCCACTTATGCTAGATCCACATGAACGACATTTAACATATTTGAATAATAATGGACTTGTATTAGATTATAAAACAGAATTTAATGAAAGAAAGTATGTTAATATTTGGACACAGCCAGAAAAAGATGTTTTTAGAGATCGTTTTATTGCTCATCCTAAAAATTTTGGCGCGATTGCATCTTATCTTGATAAAAAATGTCCTTCGGATTGTGTACAATATTATTATCTCAGTAAACCCAAAGAAGAGTACAAAAGACTATTAAGTAAGCATTGTAAAAAAATTGAAAATAAGTATGAAATTATGTAAACATTTTATTTTGTTAAGGAAAAGCTAAGTGGCAGGCAAGACGTCGTACTGCTCAACGAACACCTGCTAGTAGTTCATTGAATTCATTAGACATATTAAATTCAACTTCTATTGGAGTAACTACTAGACTTCAACGAGAGCGCCAAGGTAGTGAAGCAGCATCATCAAATTTAGCGCAAGCTTCTGCAGCTCAAAATGCAATTCCTGAAAATGAAGAGCTTCCTGCATGTACAGAAATATCTGTTGGCACTGAACAAGGTGCTAATAATAATGAAGTTGACAATACACAAGCTAGTAAAGATCAAAGCATTGAATCTGTTAAAAATTTAATACAAGCATCTGCTGCACCACATACAAGGTAAATAAAGAGTAAATATTATAATTTATATAAGTAATTTAAAACTTAAAAAATTACAGTTTTAGTTAATGAAAGGGTATATGAAATAAGTAAAGCTGATGTTAATAATATGGTAATGGTTAGGGATTTATTATTTCTTAAATAAAAATTATCATAATAAGCACATCAATAATTCATTAAATATTTAATTAAATATAATTTATATTAAATACTATTTATGTTCAAATGTAGTAACTATAATATAACTTACATCTAGTATTTTTAAGTACAATTATAAAATACAAACGAATAAAATTACACATGTTTAAATTTTCTCAATTATTTGCATGTACAAAGTATTTTTCTAATACAAATTATAGCTTAATATTAATACATTATAATTAACTGTAATGATAGTACAATTTAATATTTAACATTTATTTATTTTTATTGAGTATTTATGAGTATTCAGTAAAATTCAGTTTAATAGATAAATGTTTATGATAAATTATTTTTAGTGAATTAAAATCTGAGTCAAAAAAGAAAGAAAGACGGAAAGATGATAAACTAAAAGGAGAAAATACAAGTACAAGTACAGATGAAGAATTAATGGATTCTCAGCGTAAGTTATATTTTTATTAAAAGTTAATACTGCAAAAAATGGCGTTATAATTTAATGATTAAAATTAAAGCAAATTGGAGATTTAAAGGCGTGTGGTTAAAAAACAATAGCATATTTCTGCGACTGACATTATTGTTTATTAATTTACAAAAAATAATAAAACAAATTTAAAGTTTATTTATTTTGCAGTATTTTCTATGTTTATGAACAAAATAATAGCTTGGAAATTTTGATCCACATTGTCTACATGGATAATATTGAATTGAAGAATTATTTTTTTTATCCAATTTATTATTATTCATCAAATTTAAATTTAAGTGTCTATTAACATGTTTTTCATAACAATACTTACTTTTAAATGGATGATTGCAGTATTCACAGTTATATGTTTGTTTTAGTGTTGATTTCCTTTCTTCTTCACCTTTGTAATTTTCATTTAGTACTCTGTAAAATTTTACTGGTCCGTCACAACTTGCTATATCCAAAATAACATTTTCTTTTCTCATTGGTGGCTTGAAATTTGATTTTTCTGATATTTTTAATGTTCTGTTTTCATTTGGTTTTTGTATTACTGTACCATTTATTAGTGATGGTAGTTTAGCTATTGGCTTTATTATATTTTGATCTTGAGTTATTAAAAATGAACGGCATACATCTGATGCTTGTGGCATATGAAGAGTATGAGTTGCTAAAAGAACAGAGTGTATGTTGTTATTATTTAGTTTAAGCACTCCAGTATAAATGTATGATAATATTATTGAAAAAGTATCATCTGTAATATTTGGAAGAAATATTTTATTTGTATCACAATTAGATAATGATCTAAAGTAACCACTGTATTGTGCAAGTAGCTCTCGGTGAGATAAAAAAGCACGTAATCTGTTATTTAAGGACATCACATACACAGTTATATCAGGTGGCATAAAACGATACATGATCGTATCGTTATAAAACTGATGAAATAATGATGGTTGTTAAAATATTCATTGTGGTTTAGTCTGGGCCTTATTGGTTGACGAAGGGCGCTCTCTTTAGCATCTCTTCCGGTCCGTTTAATTTTAATTCATTTCATAACTATTTCACGTTCTGGCAATATTTGCTATCTCGTTATCCATGTACCCTTTATTTACTTCCTTTTCCCATGAGTATTTCCTTTAACCTTTAATTAATTACTGTATTTAAATTATTGTATTAATCATTTAAAAATAAATGTAACATGATTTGATGTTCAGGAAAATATAAAATATATATATATACATTTAAATAAATTTCGAGCAGACAATAGTACATTTACTTTATAAATATAATATGTACCAAATGATAATGTATGCATTTATTGAGAGTACTTTTATAAAGTATATTTTAAATTTAATTCAAGTATTTTTGTGCTAAGTCTCATGAAATTTAGTTATATTAATTAAGATGAATTATCTTTAAAATATTTCCAAAAGTTAAATTTTCCTTATTTTATTTAAAAGCAATTTAATTATGAAGTTATATTCAAATTTATAATTTATTTATAGTGTATTACATTTAAGTATAAATATTTAATAAGACAAGAATCCAATAAAAGCATTATATTTAATTAATTAAATAATTTATGTAACTAAGTTAATAATTATGTATCAGCAAAAATTTTAAATTAATATTATCATGATTCATGATGAAAAACTAAAATAAACTTGAAAAAAAAAAGAAGTGAAATATTATTTAGTATTTACCAACCAATTTATACGCTTCAATTAACTTTATTCCCTCTGGAGTATGAGAAGTTTGCTGTTCATCAATTATGTACAGCTAACACAATGGTCGGGGTTGGATTGTATTCCATGTTCCCAAGAGAATTTATGGAACTGCTTACTACATCAGTTATTAAGTTATTAAAAAATAAATTATTTGTATTTTAATGTGCTCTTTTAGGTATTTGAATATTTAAAAGATACAGACAAAATTGGAATAATTATTTATAAGAAAAATATTTATTTTGTTTTAAACTTATAAATCGGTACTAACTCAATAATTAATCATTAGCATTATTTATAAATTACTTTATATTTTAGATTCTGAGTGGCGCGGGGAGTGCATTAGTTTTACAATGTTTATTTTTTGGGGGGTTTTATTTTTATGTGAACACTTTCTACCACAAAGCATATTCCGATTATCAAGTATAGCATCTTTTCTGAAAGGAAATGTTCTCTAGGTGGTACTTAAATGAGGTCATTTTTTGAAATTCTCATTAATATTGGAGACAATGAGAAAAACCTCGGTCATTAGGTTGAAAAAGATTAAAAGATTAAAAATAAGGCTGTCATTGGCACCTGTTTTTATTTATTTTTTGTTATTATTAAGTTTTTACTATTTTAATCTTTTTTAAACAATCATTGTTACTATGGAACATTGTTGTAATCATTTTACCATAATATGATATATAAACTTAATTGTATTGTTGACAAAGCAACACTATTAACTGAACTCCGCTCAGATTTTTTTTTCGCACAGATGTACATTAAATTACCATCTGTATCCTATCTTCCCAATTTCCCACCTACAACACCTACATTGTTGAGATTGTTTTTTGATTTAATTTTGTTAATGAGAAAAAACCGAAAAATTTTAATATTTGTTGTTATTTTTTTTCTTTTTTTTGCTATAATTTGGTTAGACATATTACTTATTTCTTCAAGAAACTGGACATTTCCACTGAATACTTTATTTATACTTTCTAGACATGGTGTAATGATCAAATGATCAAAACATTCTGAACCATTTATCACCATTGAAAATTGCTTAGTTTTTATTTAGGATTTTGTGGATCCAATTGTTTTGACTCGGCTAATATGTTTGTAAATTTAACATGAGTTTCATCATAAATTGTACTTGGTGATAAAAAAAAAAAGTTGAGTTTAATGTAATTTTTTTTTTATAATTGTTTAAATTTAGAATCAATTTAGATAAATAACAATTTATCGTTGTGTACAGATATAAATTAAATTACTAGTTATCCTACCTTCCAAACTTCTTCTCGATTACAGTTTTACACCTATCATCATTATCAGCTCTTTTTATAATACAGTGAAACCTGTCTTTAACGTACAAAATAATAAGGTCCCTCCTGAAAGATATTAATTTCGTTGTATTTCGACCTGTCTATAATGGACTCTTTCTATTACAGACACTGACATTAATATTTTTGCCAATAACCTTGATTATGGATAATTATCTTACTTCAAAATATATAACGTGTACATACATATCACACAACAGCGTCGCCAGTCTATTTCGAATACTGATTATGACAGATATCATGTTTGAGGTAATAAGTTTAAAATTAATTATGAGGATGAAAATAACCAAAATCACGTATAAAACATAAATTCTGTTCAGTGTTACGATATTATTATAGTGTTGTACATTTTTCTCTATCCTTTTTAATTTTTTCTTTACAATGCTACCTCCTATATTTGTCTATAACAGATATTTTTTATGGTCCTGCAACTGTCCGTTATATACAGGTTTCACTGTATATTTATTTATTATTTTCCATTTTTTTTTTCTGTTCACTTTACTTATTTGATAAGGTTTTTTATCACATTTTTATTAAAATGTAATATTATCCCCAAACAATTCAATTTTTTTTTTTTGAAATGCATCTCATCTACAACTTTTTACTTTAGTTTATTAGTAACTTTTTGATTTCATTATGCTAAACGTGTGTGTTTATTTTTTACATTTTTAATTCATATAATTTGTTTGGTATGTCTGTATGAGTACAAGTACCAACTACATTAATACCTAAATTCTATATTTGACATTCAAATTAAAATGTGTTATTAATTGAACAAATGTTTAAGCATTTTTGCTGAGTAATACATAGTTTATTATACCAATTTGACATAAATAAATTATTATTCAATTCAATTTGATTAAAAGTTATTAATATGTCTATGGGCATGCATTTTTCATTATTATTTTAATCAGTCTTGTTATGATAATTTCATTTTAAATAACTCAATATTTTCATTTATTTTAGTAAATTAATATAATTTATACTACACAATATAATTTATAATCTTATTATGTTTAAAGAAATAAATTGTATTCATTGTATATTAAAATATAATTTTTTTTCATTTTGTAACATTATAATAAATAACAATAAATCTAATGAATTTATAAATTTGTCTGGTGCACTTAAAATAATAATTGTTTACAAGTAATACATTCTACTATTGACATGATGTTATAGATGAGACTGGGTCAAAAGGAGATGTACCTAAAGGTGTTTGTGCTGTTTGTAAATCAGAAAATGTAGCATGCCCTAGAACTCTTAATCCTTCAGATGCAGCTCAATATGGTGTTAAGCCAGAAGATATTACTCCCGGAGCTCGAGTTTGTAATACTTGTCGTTGCAAAGTTGTTAGATCCCAAAATCGCCGTGTTATATATTGTCCACTACCATCCTGCCCTACTGTTCAGTCCAATAGTAGAAGACCCGTTAAAAGATTGCGTCCATTACCCGCTAAGTGGAATACAGCTCAAGATATTATAGCTTCAGAATTTCGTAAGTAGTTAAATTAATTTTTTTTTTAGATATGTTTATTAATATTTTAATTTTATCTTTGTTTTTAGAAATCGGTCCTACCACAACAAAATGTTGTTCAGCTTGTTTTAATCGTATCCAAAGACGATTAATGGCACTTGGTGTAGTTGGTACTTCAAACACAATAAGTGCTGATACTTTGGATGGGTGGACTGATGAAGAAACTAACGCCTTAAAGAAAGGAATTCGTGAGCATGGCACTCGTTGGAGTGAAATAAGCAAATTAATTGGACCAAATAAAAGTCATTATCAATGCAAAGAGTTTTATTTTAGTTTTAGAAAAAAATTGGGTTTAGACCTCTTAGTACAAGAATATAAAAAGGTATACTATTTAAAATATTTATCAAAATTAAAAATCAAAACGAAGAATATTTAATTTATATAAAGATAATATTTAATTTATCTATTTAGACAAATGGCAGTGAACAAAAACCTGCTTTAACAGACGAAGAAGAGTCTGGGTCAAGTACTTCAAGCTGTGATGAAACTATTCTAGTATTATGTGATAGTGATACTCAAAGTGCACCTTCACCAACAAACACTTTACCTCAAACATCCCCTACACGAGATACTACTAGTCCATCACAAGTCAAATTGACAACTAAAGAGACTCAGATAGATAATGAAAATAATATTCGTTCAACTGCTGTGAAAGAAGATTATGATAGTTCAGCTACTGAAACTGCAGATGAAGGCACTGGAGGTACTGCTGAAAATGAGTCAAATGTATTACAGTTGCAACATTCCAATAGTGAAACTGAGAAAAAAGAAAAAATTGTATCTGATTTAAGTGTGTCAGATATTTTGTCTGATGTAATCGAAAAACAATTTACTAAAGAACATTCTAACCGAGAAGTAAGAAGGTTTATCTAATTAATCTTGTCTTTATTAATTATATAATTTTTATTTTTTTTTTTCAATAGAAGGAGAATGGTTCCATGCCTACTATATCATCTATACTTCTAGATCCAGAGTATCCAATTAAAGATAGAAATACTGTATCTAATAATAATGAAAACAAACAGCAATCAATGGCTACAATATCAGTTGTCCCTCCACCACCTAGAGAACTGCATAACAAAGATGGATTAGTAGTAGTTCAAGTACAATCTTCTAAAATATCTGATGTTAGAATTCCTGAGGGTGTAACTCTTGATTTAAGTATTAAAAGACCGAGAGATGGAAATTCTTATTCTGATCCACCTCCTATTAAACATGCTCAACCGCCGCCACCGCCACCTGGTGCAATGTATAGAACACCTCCGACTCAAATTCACGACACAAATACATTTTATTCTCCACAGGTAAATTTTTTTTAAAAGCCTAGATAATCATAATCCTAGAGTCGCAGTTATATTATCTTTTGTTTTTTAAGTATGCTGAGTTAGGACGAAGTGGCAAGCAAGGTGAAATATATTGGACTAAAATATCACCTGCAAATAATCACGTTATGGTTCATTCACCCCAATCTGTTCCCCATGTGACTGTTAAACAAACTTCTCATATAAAATTACCTAATAAAGTTAGTTAATAAATAAAGTTAATAAAAACTTAATAACCTGTAAATAAGTTTCTGATTTAATTTTTTACATCAAATCACTTTAGGTAACATCACCACAGTTGTCTGTTGCAAATGTTGTATCTTCAAAATTGTCTCCAAACATATTGAATAACTCTAAAGCTTCTGGTTCTATTATGCATGGTACCCCTGTTTCTGCTGCAACTTTATATATACCATCACAAACAAATCGGTATTCTCAGTCATCACAAGCTGCTGGAGGTTCAATTACACAAGGCACTCCAGTTCACCAACGTATGTTACAAAGTTCAAATCAAAATATAAATACAGATTTTTATCAAAAACGTAATCCTCCACAACCTCAATACCAATCAAGACAGCCTCATTTTATTGAACAACGGCAAATTATTATGAATGATTATATAACTTCTCAGCAAATGCATTCTAATGTCGCTGCTCAATTTCCTCGAGTACAAAAGACTCCAGTGACTAGTCCAATGTATTACCCACCAACTCGTCAAGGTGTAATACAACGTCATAATACTGCTCCTAAAGCAACTTCTCCTCAAAGTTATCCTCCAGGACACGAAGCACTGGGATCGTTGGTTGATGTGGCAATTAGACAACCCAGCTTACCTGTTCCTTTGAATCATTCTGAAGATCGACATAGGGAACAAGATCGTTATATAAGAGGGTCTCCTGTACCAAAACAACATATGTACAGAGAGCAAAGGCATGAGCAAATACAGAGAGAACGCGAAATTGCTGTGCAAAGAGAACTTGCAGCAGTAGCCCAAATAAGAGAACAGCAGCAAAGAGAGCAGTATTTAAGAGATAAACAAATTATGAATCATCGACTTACTCCTGAACAACATTCAAGGATGGTAGCCGCTTCTTTGCAACAGCAACATCAACAGCATCAGCATCAGCATCAACAGCAACAGCATCAGCAGCAGCAACAACAACAGCATCAACAGCAACAACACCACCAGCAACAACAACAACAACAGCAGCAGCAGCAGCAGCAGCATCAACAGCAACATCAACAGAGGCAGCAAGAACAATCTCGAGTAATGCAAATACCATCTTCAGCTTCGTCGTTTCAACAATCAAGATCAAACACACCTGTATCTAGGCATCAAGAACCACCATCCAATATACAAAAGTAAAATTAATTCTTGGTTTTATATCAAACAATTAATATTTAAAGTAAAAATTATAACTTTTTGAACGAATATTTAGTTTAAAATAATAATGAAAGCCTTGACAAATATAACTTATACAGATAGACTGTGATTTTTATTTTATGTTCAGATGGGCTTAAAAGTATTGGTTAATGATTCAAATTATGTCATTCATCTAAATATTTTTTTTTTTTTTACAATGGCTTTTTATTGAAATCTATGATAGTAACATCTTTGGTTTAATAATTTTCATGGTTTTGCATTACTATTTTAAATTATATATTAATTATATTTTATATCAATAACTAATTTATAAATTAATATTAAATTTGGATATTTTTTAAATTTGAATTTTCTTTATTTTAGTAGAGATAATGCTGCTAGTGGTAGAATTTCAAGACAGGGTATGGAACCTCATGCTTTAACTGCAGCTAACTTAATTGATGCCATTATTACACATCAGATAAATCAAAGTAATGATGGTTCTGGACATCCCCCTAATGCTGCTCCTGTAAACAATCAACCACATGTTCAACAACAACGAGCTGGTGATAAATTATTTCAAGTAAGTTATATAAAACTGTCCTTAATTTTATTGTTATAAACAGTCTTTCAAAATAAAAAAATAATTGCAAGGTAGTTTCATTGCAATTGCATCTGAATACAAAATAATTTTTCAAATGGATTGTAACAGTTGTATATGACAATTAAATTAAACGTATTTATTATTTACAAAATTATGCACAATAACAATGAAGTGATCCACTGATTACTGATTAAAACTGATAATTAAATAACCAAAAATCTTAGAATCAAAAATCAAGAATATTATATTATTATCTATTTGTTAAAGCACTATGAATAAAATAATCATCCCCATAACTTTTATTAATTGCTCACCTTATTAGTTTTTTTTTTTTCATATTTTTCAATTTAAAAATAGCTTCAGCAGTGAGGCCATCATACCTGATTTAAAAATGTAGTTCTATGCATATTTTAATAGTTTGTTAAAAATATATTTAACTTTAATTAAATTCCTTAGGCATTCCCAGAGGCAAATGAAAAACAAAATATAAAACCTAGAGCTAGTCCAGAAGTAAGTCGACCCGGAGAATCATATCCTCCAGAACATACATTCAAGGAATATCCATCTTATATGTTAACTGCTGGTTTTGAACCTCATACATGGAAATTGCGTCGTGCTTTGCAACAAAAAGAATTTGAACAACAAATGAAAGATGACAATAATCGTGTTCGTTTTTATCCAAATCAAGCAGATATACCTTTGTCACCTCTAGATTATGTTAAAAACAGGATTGCTGAAGTTATGCGAACTTCAGATGATGACAACAAAAATGAACAGGCTTACACTTATCCATTTTCAGCAGCAATCAATATGTCTGCATCGGCTACTCAAAAAAATACTGAAACTTCTGATACAACAGGTAGTGGCGGTGGTTCTATGTTAACAGCTCAGTATGAGCCGATGTCTGATGATGACTAGTATTTCTTCCATAACACAGGGTACATATGTGTTTAAAAAGATTTTTAAGTTTAAAAATCTAGTCTTTATTTTTATTTTTTATTTGTAAAACCAATTAAATGACCTATTTGCTTTTGCTTGTGAAATACAGGTAACATACATGTCTTGGGTACATTTAAAATAAATGTATTAAATGCAATTGTACATGTTATGAATTAAGTAAGACGCTAAGTATTAATTTATATCAGTTTCTTTTAATTTTCATTAGTATACTTTATAATTTGCATTATGGTTTTACTTGTTGAAATATTGAAGTATAAACATTTTTATAATTTTTAACGTACTTCCTTTATGAAACTAAATGTTTGATTGGTTGACACAAAGAATAATTGTATGAAACATTTATAGTTTATTTGTTATTTAATACATTTAACCTAATACTCGATAGTTCAATATTATTTGTACTACTATTTGTTATATGTCTTATCAAAATTATTATTTTATTGTGGATTTTACATTAAATAATTGTACTATTTAGTAATTTTTTTTTAATTAAACCGTTAATCACCGTAAACTTTTATATATTTATCTGTATGTGTTATGTAGAGACAAGTTAATTGTCATACTTGTTCACAATATATTTATTATTTTACATAAAAATCTTTGTACTTTTAAATTGGAAAAACAAAATATACATATTTCAATAAATTTATATTTTTCAGTTTTGTGAATTGAAAGTTAAAAATCTCATATTTATTTTAAATATCTTCTTTTACTGTCAGACTCGATACAAGCCTTTAAATTTAGTTAATTATATTATTTATGTACTGAAAGATCGATCAAATGATAATTTTATTGAATATTTTTCATTTATAAATTTACTATTTTAATTTTAAAACAACTATCATTGAATTCATTTTACTACATTCATTTGTTCCCATTAAAATAGATATACTATAAGTTTATGAAGTTTTTATATATTGTAATATATTATACATTAAAGTTTTCTGAACTTTAAATTTAAATCTAAATATTTCATTGTTGTTTTCTGTTTGTAAATTATATTTTAAAATTAAATTATTAAATTTATGTTGTTATGGAAACAAATTATATATAGCGAATAAATATATATTATTATTTGAATCAGTTTCAAATAAATAAAAAGAAATTATAATAATTTTTGTGTCAACCTATTAAATTTATTCATTATTAGTACTCAATATGTTACTATTGGTTGAGTAACCGATAATTGTTAGATGGTGTTATATTTTGTATTATTCATTAAGCTTCTATTTGTGTACAGTAAAACCAATTATAACTGTGTATATTAATATCTTATAATGTTTATAATGTGTAAATTCCCTCCATTATACTTTTGTTCGTTTTTTTTTTTTAGGCATCAAAATGTAAATATTAGATATATTGAAAATATTACTTTTATATAAGCATTTTATTTATTTTTTATTATAATTTTTTTTTATTGTTGAACATTTTTAATTAATGGTAATTGTAAAAAACCTGCAATATTTTTAGTCTTGAATTAACAATATTTGTATTGTGTAAATGTAGTAGGTAATCATATAAGCTGAAGGACATACTTTTAATAACCTAACAGTTGTGATAAATATATTGATCTATTCTTAGGTATTTGTTATCCAAATGATTTAATAAATGTGATGAAACAAAACAATTTTTTGTCTTTTAAATTCAATTTGTTCTTGGGAACACCCCGTTTTGTCATGACATAACCCATTTTCTAATCCCGTAAGTCTAAAAACTTGGTATTTTGCATAGAGTTCTTATAACATTGTTTATTGGTTTTCATAGATATGATAAATTTTTTTTATATAGATTTATGGATTTTTTTAGCCCCTCTCCCCCTTGAATTTTGATATATTATGATATATCCTTTATTAGTGTATGGCGTAACCTTGAATCGCTTCGCTCGCTAACTGAAGTGTAAGCTCATAACATATTTAAATGTAAAATTATGATACTGTTGATGGGTTACTTGAAGTTATTTAATTTATATCTGTAACTTACGATAAACCATTGATAACAAAATTTGAATCTGAGCAAAATTCAATTATAAATGTTTTGAAATGTAATATTTCTGATTTTTGTCAACATTTTATCTTAAAACATTAAGATAAAGATTCTAGGTATAAGATATTCATAAGATATAAGATTCTCTAAATCATTTGTATTATAAATTAAAGTACTATATCACGCTCAACTTGTTTTTTTTTACTACTAAGTACTTACAACTAATGAACCTTGTGTTAATTTTTTTAAGCATTTCTGTTTGGTCAAACAATTTTGTCCATAACCTACTAAAGAAATACAAGCAAAAAACTCGAAAATGTAAAATGCTTATAAATACCTAATAAATCACACCGTAGTAACTTAAAACCTATACAAACAAAATCTATCTAAAACTCTGATTTGTTATCAAAATTACAGAATCACAAGGGATAAATAAATTTATCCAAGACAAACATTTATTACATTGGCAATGAATCCTGGATAAAAAAAGACTAACATACTTCGCACGTGGGTGGGCCACTGTTGAAGATAGTAGAGGGGAAATTTAATGTATATCTGTAAGCAACATTAAACTATTTAATTACTAATTACTAAAAAAAAAAAATTCTGAGCTGAGTTTAATTGATAAAGTGTTGCTTTGTTAACAATGTCCATGTTATATTATGGTGAAATATTTACATAGGCATAATATATTTTCTTTAATATTATTTGTTTATTATTGTCCTAATTTTTATTTTCATTTATTAGGAAAATCAAAATATGACTTTCCTAAATTACCATCCCAGTCAGATTTTCATTCAGAAAAAGTTCTACACTTGTAAATTGGAGCAAGATTCTTGTGGAAAAGTTATCCACAGATATATAAAAATACAAAATTCAGAATTTTTAAATTGTAACTGTTTCATTGTTCACACGGATTAGCAGAATTTAAAATGGCTGTTACTTAGAAACTATCGGATATAAGGGTGTCATACATTAAAATTTTCAGAAAAATAATTTTTACAGATTGGTTTTCTTAAAATTTTCCGAAAATAAAAAAAAAGTTATTTTTTTAATAAAAAAAAAAATTAAATTAAATTTAAAGATTTGTAGTCCTTTTTCGTATGAGTAATATAAAAAACCAGAATTAACTTATCTTAATTATCTCCGGAGACATTCAATGGGTATATCTTCGTGGGACAATATATGATACTGTATATTGTCCTCTTTAAAGCATATTTGTCATGATCTAATAGTTATAGGTTCATACCTCTTATCATCTTAGGGATCTCTAGTTCAAACCCGAGTTTTAAATAATCTTTTTTGTAATTTTTTTCCACTTTTACCTTAACATGAGAAAAACAAATACATTTTGGTTGTACTTAGAAACTCAATCCATCGCTCGCTCGGACTATTTCAATCGCAAAATACCCGTCGATTTGTTGTGCAAATTTTTCTACTAGAAATCTTGCTTCGATATATCAAATGTAGTTTATTTTTTGAAAGTCAATTATACCTCCGTGGTAACTTAGAGAGGTTATTTTTTGATTTTTCAAGCGGTTCTCATAATATTTGGAAAAAACCGGGATAAAATGTCAGAAAAACGGAAATGTACGAAATGTAAGTATTGGTAAAAGATTAGTATGATCTTCTTTTTTGTGTACAACTTTTTTATTAGCAATTTTGCTCAGATTTAAAATGATAGCACTTTTTCTGAAAGGAAATCTGACTGGGAAGATGCTTTAGAAAGGTCATTTTTCGATTTTCTAAATAATTTTCCTAGCAAATATAAAAAAAACATGAGAAAGCTAGGAAAAACGGGATAATTAATACAATATTAAACAAATATTATTAAAGAAAATGTATAATTTTTATTTAATATAAATATTCTCCAAATTTGAACTGTTCTTATAACGTCATCTATCATTATCTTTTGTAACTACGATTAAATATAATGCTTGTATTTAATGTGTTATCTATATATCTGTGGTCGTAATCATAGACTTATAAACCTATATTATTAGGTCTATGCAACATACTATGCATGTGTAAATGTGTGATAGTTTATAATTGATAAGAAATAACAATGTTTTTTTTTTAAATACCTGATACTTAATTTCAACTATTAATAATTATCAATTATTAAATTATTATTTTAAATTTTTAAGTAACGTGTTTGTAGAATATAATAGAAATACATATTTAATTATTTTTTTTTTAATAAAAAATCAAAAGTAGGTACGAATTTAATTTTCAAACTATTTCTACTTATTTTACATCATGACCACAAATTTCACTAGTAGTTTGTAACAAATATATGTATTTATGTTATAGGCTCATCTTTGAAGGAATATGAAACTAGATTAATGAACATATTTGTGAAATTATTTACTGATTTCTAGGTAAGTGAACCTTTTAAAAAAAAAATAAAAGATTAATTATCATGTTACACTTGTCACGTAAAATGTATGCAAAAAAAGTGGATTTTAATATTTTACTCCAAAATTTCTACTCTTCTTGGCAAAATAATTTATCAACCTCGATAAAAACTTTCAAGAAAAGTATGCCAACTTTAGTAAACGAAGATAAAACAATTTCCAAAAAAACAAATCCTGTCATAGACCAGATCCAAGGTGATTTTAAAATTATAAAGTGTGTGGGGTGTAAACCTGCATTTGACTTTAAACCATTATCATTAAATATGTTGAAAAAAATCAGATATTGTCTTAAAGTAGATAATTTAACTAATTATTGTGGTGATCGTAGCTATTATTTCCTCGGACCGTTGGCAAAAATTGAACATGCTCTTGTCAAATACACTTTAGACAAATTAATTAAAAATGGTTTCAAATTAATTTCAGTTCCAGATATATTACCAGATGAATTAATTAATAGATGTGGTATGGATACAGTTGGTGAACGAAATCAAGTTTACTCACTTGATGATAATCATTACGGTAATAAATGGTGCCTATCTGGTACTTCTGAAATGGCTCTAGCTGGTTCTTTAATGAACAAAAATATATCTAAAGATAAACTTCCTCTAAAACTGTGTGCAGTTAGTCGTTGTTATAGAGCTGAAGTATCAAGTATTGCTGAAGAAAAAGGAATTTATAGAGTACATCAGTTTACTAAAGTTGAAATGTTTGGAGCATGTTTACCAGAAGAATCAGAAAATATGGCTCTTTATTTCCGAAATCTTCAAGAAGAGTTATTTCAGCCACTTGGCTTACATTATCGTGTTTTAGATATGGCCAAACATGAGCTTGGAACTCAAGCATATCGTAAATATGACATTGAAGCTTGGATGCCAGGGCGTAATAAATATGGGGAAATTTCAAGTTGTAGTGATTGTACAAATTATCAAGCAAAAAGATTGGGTATTCGTTCAGATAACATTTATTTACATACTGTTAATGGAACAGCATGTGCTGTTCCCAGATTAATCATTGCTCTAGCTGAAACTCATCAAACAGCTGATGGAACACTAAAATTGCCCGAGAAACTTAATAGTTATGTTAGAGGACACAATTTATTAAACATTCAATCTAATTTTCCTAAGTTCACTCCTGTACAAGCACATAGATATAAAATAATTTAAAATTTATATTCAAATTATACACATTAATAATGTTATAGTACCTATAATATAAGTCATTAAATTATAAATATATGAATCTATAATTATTGTAGATTACTTATATAATGTTTAAAATATATTTTGTTTCTTTAATTAATAATTAATATTTAATTTTCAGTTACAATCCATAATGGGAGAATTCACCATGTTGCGATCAATGTTAAACATATTAAATAGTAATAATAAAAAAAAAAAAGCTGTTATAGAATCATTACTTATTCTATTAGATACTTATGATATATATGGAGAATTTGATTTATTTAGTTTGATTGTGACTAGTACACACAATTTATGCTTTGACATTTTTAATCCTCAATGTGAAAATTCAATTTGGAAAGATTCAGATGTTTCATTAGATAATTTAAAATCACTGTTAATTTATTTCATTGATATAATTGAAAAACACAGTAGGGAAGATATTATTAAATTATTCCAACATTGTATAGAATTAACAAACAAAATTGATTTTAAAAATTGTTCCCATCAACAAATTAGCAATATCGGATTTTGTATGCAAAAATTGTATAGCATTGTATATACTATAGAAAAAGGTGATTGTACACATCTTAACCACTTAAGAAATACATTAATAAATGTACTTAATGAACCATTTTTAAATAAAAACAAATTAGATGCTGTGTTAATGTTTTTAAGCAATATTGTGTCTATTAATTATATGCCAACACTATGGGAAAAAACTAAATCGTTGATTAAAACTCATCCTAATCGTTTAATAAGTTTACTATTCAACTTGCAATGTTTATTATTTGATTGTTTGTGCGTTGATGTTATATTGAATGATGATGATTTTTGGAATCTGTTGTGTAATTTATTGAATTGTGAAAACAATCTTATTAGAACTTACAATAATGTAATTCTTAAACTATCATGTTCTCAATTATTAAATGAAAATATCAATTATTGTCCTAGCAAAAACAGGGAACAATGCGTTAAATTATGGAATGATTATGTGGTTGTAATGGAAACTCTAGAAAATTCTCAACAGCATTTAACATTACCAATTTTAAGTACTGCTACAAGTCTTGTATCTAAGAAAAATAAAGATGATAGCGATGACTATAAATTGCCTTTAGAATGGATTACAGCAATGTATTATAAAATGTCTAAGCATAGTTCTAAATACGTTGTTTTAGCTAGTATAGATATAATCACAAACATGCCAATTGTATCATTAAAAAAAAATAAACTATTATTACAATCATTTCTTGATTCATTAAACAATGTATTTTTATATAAAATGTCTAGTGAAATTAATGTTGAGCAACCTCAATTGGAATTAATACTTACATTGTGGTTTAACAAATTATTGATGTCAAATGATGGTCATGATATATTTTGTATATTTTTGTCATACATACCAACTATTAAGTGGACAATTGTACCATTAATTTTTTTGACAAAATCGTTGAGCGATATATCATTAAATTCCCCTTTTGGATTCAATATTGTTAAATATGTGCTTAACATAAAGTCTGCAATAGACGAAATGCCAAAATCATATTTAAAGACTGTAGTATTATCATTTTTGTTTATATTTAATAGTAAATTTTTTGCTGAAATTAATACTGAATTTAATTGTGATTTATTTGATTGTATAATCATGATACATCATGAAAATACAAAATCTTGGAATTATCTAACTAATTCAGTCAAAAAAGTAAATGATTTGGATCATTTAGACAAGCAATTAACACAACATATAATTGAAAACAATAAAATGTATTCAACATCCATTGGATTGTTGATTTTATCCAATATTTGTGTTGCTCATCCAGTTAGCATTAAAATGTTGGATAAAACTTGTTCCAATACAATAGATTTATTGGATAGATTACACTTTTTGGAACATTTATTACAAGTAGAAAGTCATTTTGGTAGATCCAATACTTATGTAAGTGAAATTCTAGATAAACATATTTGGCCACTAACAACAATTTGGGTTGAAAAATGTTTAGAGAACAAAAAAGAATACGCTTGTGAAGATTCAGTTATTTGTAGTTTTCTCGATAAAGTATTATCTTCAAACAGAATAATAAATACAAACAAGATTATAAACAATTGGCTAATAAAATGTAAAGCTTCTATGGAACATAAAGGCAATTATTATGTTTTAGCAGTTTATAGCTGGATTGGAAAATATGCAACAAGAACTTCAACTGAGCACAAATTAAAGATTGATTGGATGTCATTTACTAAATATTTTATTAAGTCAGGTTATTTTTCTCTTAGAAATCAAGGTTTTTATCATTCAAGAAAACCAGGATTGCATAAAATTCCATTATTGGATATAATTGATACATTTTTCCAGTATTCTACTGTGAATTCAGTCTCTGAGGAAGAAATGTTAGACATCTTTGCTTGGTTGACTGAAAAAACTGTGGAACGTCATGATAACTATTGGAGTATATATTTCTCAACAGTTAAAACATTTTTATGTAAATTTCCAATTCAAGTTAACTCACAAAAAATAATCCAATTTGTTAAAAATTGTTGGGAATTTTTAGTCAATTGCAGAATATCTTGTTTTCCAAAAGCTATAAAAAGTTTTATTGAAATGGCTTTTCATCATAGTTTGTTATCAGAGGAAACATATGTGACTTTTCTTAAAAATGAGGTAAATCTTGTTAAATTTGTATCTCAAACAAATTGAGATTAAAATATTATATGGAATTTTAAATATAATCTATTTTACAGATTATCCAAAATATTTTAACTCAAAAATATCGTGATACATTTAATGTTTGTTTCTCGCTACTTCTTCTAAATTTTTTTAAAAAGGATCAATTAAATGTTATCACCATTTTAGAATCATATCAAATAATATCTGAATTTTTTGCTAAATGTTTATTATTTAGTATTGATCGATATGGTGCAGTTAAGTATGTTTTTTTAATACAGTAACAGTGTCTATTTTTAAGTTGTTTAATTTTTTTAGAATTGAATGGGATACATTTGAATATATACAAACATTGGGAGATTTACCTTTAATCAATAATATTTCGTAAGTTTTTAAATAATTTATTACTCAATTATATATACAATTATTCATTGAATTTTATAGATTCGAGTGTTTGGCCAATGATAGATATTTACGCTTTAGTACAATTAAATTTGTGTATAAACTAAATTCTAATATTTTGTGGAAAAATATATTAAACTTAATTGTTAAAACTGAGTCATCATTACGAGATAGAAAATTTTTTCATAACTCTAAAGCACATCGCATAAAACAAAGAGTAGTTCAAGTTTTGCTCATTGTTGCTTGTGACAAAAATCATGAGGTTTGTACTTAATTACATTCTCTAAACTGTATTTTAATATTTAATTATTTTATTTGCATTTAATGTATATTTATATATATTTTTAGCCATTAATATTTGAAGAAAATATATATAAGTGGTTATTATCAAGTTTAAAAGAAGTTTCACACATACATAGTGTTGCGTATCAATTAATATGGTTGTTGGTTATTATATATACTAAGTATCTTAGTTTTTCTGATTTTTGTAATGACTTCAAAAATGTAATTACCTATAAAATCCTAAATTATAAAAATAAGATACAATATTTTAGTATTTGTTCTAGGCTAAAGACAATCATAATTATTTGTGTAGTTTTATTTCAATAATATATCACCAACTACGATTAAAAAACAAAAAAGAATTTGAAATTGAAGCTAAAAAGCTTCTTTTACCACTATGCTTTTCAAATGGCTATAAAATACGACTTTATGCCCAGGTAAATATTTTATTACAACAGTTATTTTAAAACTATTGAACTATTATTTATTATATTCATTAATTTAAAGAATTACTTATTTGACTTAAATAATTATTAATGGTTCATTTTATGTATTAGACAACAATATGTAAATTATTTTCTGATAGTTCTGAAGAAACTAAGTGGCCATTATTATGTGAAGCTATAAGTAACATAATATCTGAGAATGAACAAACTAAAAAATATGAAAATCCATTCCATGATTTTTTTTATCAAAACTTAGATATGTTTAATTCTTTATCTTTGAAAGTAATAATATTTTATAAATTATCTCTATTAATTATTATTATGAAATAAATCTAAATTGATAAATTTGTTCTTTATAGAATGTATGTATAGAAGTACCTAGATTGTTAAACATTATTTATGAAGAACGTTTTCCAGTAAATTGGTTTAATGATTTCTCTGAGAACATGAATAATAATGATAAATATGATTTATCATCATGTTCCGTATCATCTTTTATTAAAAAAAGTACTACATCAGGTCTGTATACATGGTTAAACTTAAATAAATAATAATTATGTTTTGATAATTTGAAGCTCACAAATAATGAAAACAAGAAAAATTAGGAATTAATTTTGTTAGCTTTGTGTTATTATTATAATTTTAACTGATTGTTATCTTTTATTTGATGACAAAATACATTTTAATAAACAATACTGAATGTATTATGATTTATCCACAGAATTGTTCTGTGACTTTACATTCATAAATAATCATTGACTAATGTAAATAATAAACTTAAATTTATCCTGCACAGTATTATTTTATAATAATTCTAACTCTTATTTATTTAATTATTATTAAAATATTTGTTTAAAAATTTATTTTGTGTTTTTTAATACAATTAATGTTTTATCCAATATGGATTTAAACCTACCATAATTGTACCTATATATTATTTAAGTTTTTTATGGATTTTAGTTTTTCTCAAAGCTGTTTTTATGTGTGTTCATTTTCAAAACATGCTACCAAGAAACTAAAGGCTTTAAATTTTTAAAATTATTGCAATTTAAAATAATTATATGTTTACAAACCTAATTTTTCAGTATTATCAAATGCAATGAATGTTATCGATAATCCTCAAAATACCCAGAGAAAATATGTTCCATCTCAACCCATGAGTGAACGCGTACCTAATTCAATGTTAATAGTTGTTGCCTCTTTGATAGATAAAGTAACTAATTTAGGGGGTTTAGCGAGAACTTGCCAAGTATTTGGTGCTTCAACTTTAGTAGTTGATCATTTATCATGCACAGAAAAAAGAGAGTTTACAGCATTAAGTATGTCTGCTGAGAAACATCAATACATTATTGAGGTATCTATTCTTAGATATTATTATTTATTATTATTATTATTATCCTATAAAATTATACCAAATTTAGGTGAAAATTAAAAATTTGAAATCATATTTACAAAAAAAGAAAAATGAAGGCTATCAAATTGTGGCTGCTGAACAAACTGTAGATAGTGTTAAATTACATGGTATCAATTTACCATTCAAATGTGTTCTTCTTTTAGGGTAAATACAATATATTTATAATTTTACAATAATATTATAATATGTTAATAGTTATTATAGTAATATTAAATTTAATTTTCATAAACATAGAAATCAGGGTTGGTGTTAGTGATTTTTTATGTATAGGCAAGATCATATTTGGTTGCTTCTATGCAATCCATTAAAATTTTTGGGAGCTAAAATTTTTAGTTTTAAAAATCTTTTTTTATTACTAAACCTTCAAATATTACTTAATGTTGAGAAATTCTATAACTTAATAACTGATTCTTAATTCTATGAATATTTGTATTAATTAAAACAACTAAAAATACAAAAATTACCTCATACGTTTTGTAATACTTGGTAATTTATTTTAAATATAATAGATTCTGCAATTCGATAAAAAAATGTTGCCCTTATAAAAGTAATAGCGATGCCACCGTAGGTCTGAGCTTATGTCTGATACCAGTCCTACTAGGAACAATTTAAGTTTAATAACCTAATAATTTTTTTTTTTTAATGTTGGTTTTCAAGTGTATAATTAGAATATAAAATAAAAACAAAAGTCTGACCGATATTCTTTAGATGTTATATGGAAAAAACTTAAAATAATTTTGGTTTTACGTAATGTCCATTTATGAAAAAAGAATGGTATGGTTTTTGAATCCATTAATTAAATCAAAAAAAAATTATCTATCATAATTATTTTTAAAGTTATTGCACATAAACCATGAAAAATACAAATTTTAGAATTAATTTAAAATACATTTGAAAAATAGCTGAAAATTGATATTTTTACTATGGGTATTAGTGGTTTGAAAAATCAAAATTTGCTGAAGTTCATTAATCCGGTTTACCAAATCTGAAACCTGGATTTTGGAATATAATATGTCTGTTTATAGAATTTTTAGTATAGATTCTCATTTGAAAAATCAATAAATTTGATATTAATACAGGATACTGCTTAAATATTGTGAAAAATATTGGTTTTAACTAAACTTAAAAATTCTAAAATCAGAATTTGAATAGAATATGCAAAATGTAACCAAAGAAATGGGCTGAGCATGCTTAGCGAAGCACCCCGTATATATTGATGACAAAGCTCTTATTGAAGTTTTAGAGTGTGATTGTTGGGAATGGCTCACTCGCCTTTTTAAGTGCAGCTATGTGGTTTTCTTAACATACCTACCCTCAACCTAAAAAGTGAATATTATCCTAATTGTAAATCTAAATCTTGGTATATCACACCACTAGCGAATCTTGGAATTTAAGCGTTATTATGTACGAGTGAAAAATATTAAAAGTATCAATTTTTTGCTATTTTTCAAATAAATTTTAGATTAATTTCAAAAATGTTATTTTTTAAGGTTCATATATTAAAAATAAAATGAATATACTTCCCATGATAGGTGGGCCACTGTTGTTGGCGAAAAGTTTGTAAAGTAGGATGTAGAGAATAATTCAATGTATTTTGGTATGCAATAATTAATCATTACTAATCAAAAGCGATTCTGAGCAGAGTTTGGTTATACATGTTTTAAAAGACCCTAATATTTACGGTTTTCTTCAAAATTTGATATTAAAATTCTTATAAAAAAAAAAACTACATTAAAACTTTTTCTTATTAACTAGTGGTTAACTAGAAATCCACTTATGGAATAAATATTACACCAAGAAGCTCAAAATTAAAACGTCCATAAATAACTCAAAAATGGGTCAATGGTTTTGAAAATTGTACATCTATAAAAGACAAATATAATGTTTCTTTCCTCATTTCTGATCTCGTCAATATTTTTAACAGAACTACAAAAAAAAAAAAAAATTATAAATAATAAAAGCAATTATTTTCATAAATTTTCCAATTTTTTCTACATTATATCCTGGTTTTTCCCAATTTTTTTTGTAAACTTTTTGAAAAATCAAATAATGACCTTTAAGTTTACGTTTATTGGTTAATTGGTAAAGTACCAACTAGAAAATTTCCTTTGAGAAAAGATGCTACACTTTAAAATTAGAGCAAGATTTCTGGTAGAATTTGCTTATACTACACACCATTGTAAAGCCAATACATTTCTTGATTCGCTCAGAATGTAGGTCTCAACGGTTAATTTTTTTCAACTTAATTTACTGTCTAAACATAATATTAATATTTTTATTTCAGTAATGAAACATCTGGTATTCCACACGATTTATTATCTATTATGGACACATGTGTAGAAATAGAGCAGTTGGGTATTGTCAGATCATTAAATGTGCATGTAGCTGGATCATTATTTATTTGGGAATACACCAAACAACACTGTATCAAAATGTCTAATTAATAAAATATAATCATACTATAAATAAGTTATTTAAATTTTTTTCTTATACCAATTGATTTAAAAGTATACTAGCATCTACGTATCATTGCCAATTGTATTGCCAACCATTTCTTTTTCAGTCTTCTTCAATCTCTTTTTCCTCATATGTCTATTTCCATTATACTTCTTATTGCTCCAGATTAAAAGTTTCGGCGATGAGCCAATCCTCATCCAGTATAAAAATATCTAAGAAGCCACCCATTAGTGTTACTTGGTATTATATAATTATATATTTTCTTTAAGGTATTTCTGTAAGTGTGGGACTATGTAAATATTTTATTAGTGGATTTTGGTGGTTTTCTACGTTAGAAAATAATTGTTTATATAAAATGTCAGCTTCTTGAACTGATTTAATGACAAGGTCTTAGTGAAGGGTTAAATTAGAGATAAAGAATGAAGCGTTTGTAATTTTACAAAGTAATATTTTGAAACCAAAACGAAGATGTATATATTATATAACCTATCTATGTCCTATTGTTATATATGTATGCGAGACCCGGACAATAACAAAGAGTAATGAACAAATATTCTTACTCTTTGAAAGTATAAATATATGATCCCATATTAAATTTGGAATCAGGAATCTACGAATAAAGGAAAAATCTCAAAAGAGATTTCAACAGACCAAATATACTAAAATGTTTGTAAGTCAATAGGCTAGAATGGGCAAACACTGTATGGCAAGTAAAGCAAAAACAAGTACATAAGGTTTTAATCACTGTTTTACTCAACAAACCCAACGGGAAAAGACTAAGAGGTAGACAGTATTGGTTTGATAGAGTAGTCAAAGATTTAGAAAACTTAGGGACGACAAGAATTGAAGATGCTGATGATCGAAAAGTTTAGAGAGAACTAGTGGAAGCAGCTTGGAAGGGCCAAAAAAAAAAATGTATTTTTTAGCTGAACCCCAGAGTTGAGTTCCATGTGTCCAAATTGGCTCCAAGAGTGTTTTGTAAACTAATTTTTAATGTTCAAGCTTGTAAATTTGTTTCTAGTTATAATAGTTAACGAATTGAGCATTAAGAATTGGTCTTTTTGATTGTAATGTTTGTTCTTGTTAACCTCTTATCAAGGTTTAAATCTAAATATTTTACAATATACAGGATTGGTATATTTTTGAATTATAAAATAACCAATTTTCGACTAATGATAATTCTTGTTCTACTATCAAATATTAACGGGATACTAGTAATTGGACAAAGGAAAATTGAATACCTTAAAATTTAGGGAGGGGGAAGTGGTAATCGATAAAAAAGACTAAAGAAAAAAGAATACAGAAAAACTTAAAAATTTAGTTAGATTAAAGTTTAAAAAAAAAGATGACACTGGGGACGGGTGCGGTAGGTGGATAATAGGGAAGGTGGGATACATAGTTATTTAATTTTTATCTACAACCAACGATAAACCATTGATAACGAAAAACAATTCTGAGCCAAGTTCGGTTATAAATGTTTTGAAAGGTCATAATATTTAGTATTTTTGTCAAAATCTGACATTCAAATTCCTTTCTAAAAAAAAAATACTACATATAAAAATCTATTTATTTTTTTTCTATAAAGTACGACATTTAGGAATATCCTATTAAATTTTCAAGTATTTCTGTTTAGTCTAACAATTTTATCCACTGCTGAGTACTTATTAAATAAAAATTACTTACAAAACTAGCAAAATTAAAATGTTTATAATTAGCCCAAAAATTGATCAACTGTTTTGAAAATTTGACCATGTCTAAAAAAAGCAAATTTTGGTTTTTATCAAAATTTTAAGTCTTTATGAATATATTAAACTAAAGTACATAAAAAAAAAAACAAAATTAAGAATAATAAAAGAATTATTTTTGAATATTTTCCCGTACTTTTTTTCTCTTTTTTACTCAATTATTAAAAATACTACAAAGAAAATCAAAAAAATGAGTATTTTCTTCACCAACTAGATTAAAAATTGAATAAAAAAAAATACTCTTGTCGTTTATCTATTGGAGTAATATTTATGGTGGAAAACATAAATCGCGTAAATTTAAAATAATGAAGTCGTTGTGCCATGATTTGGAAAATCATGTTTTTGGTTTTTTCCAATTATTATGAAAAATACATTAGATATCGAAAAACGACTTGCCTGTCTTTGGCGAAATCAACAAAATCGATCTTTTGTCATTTTTGGATTGGAACAATATTTTTGATACAAAATATCGTGTTAACAATAAAAAACAATGAAAACGGTAACGTCACGGCGCGGCCCACTACACCGTAAATATTCTCAGTTTTATCTATAATTTTCTTTCGGTTTTTTCGGATTATTTCTAAAACCTCTTGAAAAATCAAAAAACAACAAACAGGAGCTTGACATATCACATTGCCTTAAAGTATACTTCTCTAACTGTCTATTGATGAAAGAAAACGCAGTGCACCGAATTTCCTTCTATTTTTATTCTGACTTTAAAGTAAAGTCGACCATCTCGTCTGGTTAAATGCACCAAATCATATGTACGTTTGTAAATTTAGTACGCAGTAACTCCCTATCAGTGCCTAGCTTCCCTTAAATATTTCGTGATCTTAAAGCGGGGGTCGGGCACATTCTTTTGAGACCCAAGGTTCAATATGCCCCGAAATGGGTCGAAAATTCGGTTTTAAAATATTACTATTTTAACATGTTATTTCCTACCATTTGTGACCGGGAAACGAGTCGTTAAAGGGGGTGTTCCTAGCTGAGCAAACCTTCGTCGACAATATTGTCTTAAAGTACACTTTTCCAGTTGTCTTTTTATGAAAGACAACGTGGTGCCCTGAATTTCCTTCTATTTTTAAACATGCCTCAAAAGTTGATCACCTCGTTCGGATTACTGCGACACGTAACTTGAATTTTTTTAGCGCCTTTTAAATGGTTTCATATCGTGCAATTTTTGTACCTATTTTTACCGTCTTTATAAGATACTGAACGGAAAGGTATTATCAATATTTTTTGTTTTTCTGAGTCCGTTCGGTTCTCACCACGATTTAAGATATACATAAATTAAGATATATAATATATATATATATATATATCCTAAACCGTGATTCTCATTGGTTGGCACTGGTCCTCAACTCACCGTGTCGTTTCGTTTCGTGAGTTTTAAAAACGAGACGTTTTTTTTTAATTGCACAAAATAATTTTTACCTGTCGTTATACTAACCTAACAACAAAAATTATCACTCACTATCACTATTAATTTACAATTCACCAAAATGCGCGGTTATTATTATCGCATATTTTTTTAAAAATATAATATCATTATTATATTATATTAATTATGAATATTTATTATTATTTTGTCATCAATATTTTATTGTCTGCACTTTCTTTAGGTTTTTTATTATTCATACTATTTTCTGTCAAAAAAGGCGATGTCATAGAATTATTTCCTAAATAGTGTCCACTTTATTAATATACCTAATTATTTTGATTTTAGTTAATAATATATTGCTATTTTTAATAGTTACGTTCTACAGACTATTGGTTCTACTAGTAGGTATTAATTTTAAAATCAATGGTACAACCTATATTAAAATACCTACTTGGTATTGTACTTACTACTACTGGTATGTGATTTTATATCCTAAGTACAGTTGTGTGAAGTGTTTAATACAACAAACTTTTTACTTTTAGTGCATATCTGTTCCAAAAAAGTTTTTCATTTTACGTTTACAAAACATTAGATATTATTTACCTTCACAAAGTTCATATTGAATTTAAACTAGTATTTAAATTGAATATAAAATCATATTTAATTTTAATTTTAAATTAAATTATTAAAAAATTAAAATTTGAATACTAATTAAATTTATTATTAAAATGAAAACACGAAAATGACGTTACCAGCTATAATCAGCAAGTCCAAAAGTTGAATTTATTAAAATTAGTGATTTTAAATAGTTTTTAAGGGGTAAAATACAACAACCTCGGGAGAACTGATAAAGTGATAAAGTACTGGCCAGTGATTGTCAGCATAGAATAAAGATACTGATCACTAGTTTTTAGTTTTTGGTCATAACTATATTGACTATCTTATATAGCCTTATTTATTTAATATTAATTGTAATGGAAAATGCCATAGAAAATCTCCTTAATGTGAAAGTTAAAAAATTAAATAAATCCATAAGTGGCGGCTGTGTTAATTCTGCTTCAGTTTATCAAACAGAAGACAATAAATTATTATTTGTAAAACAAAACTCAAATGATGGGGTAATGTATTATTTTCTTATTTATACATTATATATATACACCTATTGTATATGTAAATAAAATAAAAAAGAGGTATAAATATATTTAATTTTGTATTTATAGTCGGAAAAGATGTTCTATGGAGAATTAGAAAGCTTAAAAGCTATACGCAGTACTAAAACAGTTTTAGTTCCTAATCCTATCGCCACAGGTTATACAGATGGTCAATATTTTATTATAATGGAATATCTAAATATGACCTCATTAAATAAAATATGCTCAGCTGAATTGGGCAGTCAACTAGCGGATATGCATTTGAATAATTTACAAGGAGAACAACCAAATATAAATCAATTTGGATTTCATGTTGAAACATGTTGTGGATTTTTACCTCAAAATAACACATGGACCAATGATTGGCTTGTATAAAAATCAATAATTAGAACTTTTTAAAATTCAGTTTATAGGATGTAGATTTTCATTTCAGACATTTTTTATAGAAAATCGATTGGCTTATCAAATACAATTATTGCAATCAAATTCAGACCACAGTTCTAGTAAAAAGGTAGGCACCATTGTTGTTTAAGTTAAAAGTAAATACAATTCATTTTTTAATAAATGTTAATTAATGATTTTTTAAAAGAAAGTTATTGAAAATTATTGGCCTCAGCTAAAACAAATTATTCCAAAGTTTTTTGAAGGTATTAAAGTAAAGCCATCTTTAGTTCATGGAGACTTATGGTCAGGAAATGCAGCCCAAACAAATTTGAAATCAGGTTAAATTAATTCATGTATGATAAAGACACCAGTGAACGCTACTTGCATATGTTATGGGCAATGGGCATATTGTCTGGGCAATTTGATTCTGCCCTGGTATTTTGAATCACAAATATAAATAAGTTAACTATTTTTTTATTTAATTATTTCTTCTTCTCCTTCACCTTCGTCCCAACTGTTTGGGGTCAGCCACCCTCGTTCCAAACTTTCACTTGAACCGATCTACCACCTCACATACATTAGCTGTGCTCATATCATTCTCAATAGCATCCAAACATCTTTTCAGTTTTTAATTTAATGTTACTAATAATTATATGATTGAAAAAATTAATTAATATTTTATTATTACCTATTTATTTGTATATGATTTACATGGTATTTATAAACTTAGCCTTTATACTTATAATATATATAAGGCTAGCTAATGAATATATGACTATTTTGGATATGAAAATACAATTTAAAACTTTAGTTAAGTACGTATTTATAGGTTTATATTTGTGGTTCAAATTTCCCCACATTACATGTGACATATCAACAATGATTTAAAAGAAATCATACATTTTAAGAAATGTCACTAATAAACCATACTATTTAATGAATGATTATACAAATCAAACATTAAAGTTCTCAAAATTTGTTTGTGACATACACTGGTAGATTTTTTTTTTTCTAATAGGTATATGTGAAAAATCTGTTCCATTAACCCTAGGTAACCCCTCGTTAGTCACCAATTATAGACTAATTTCAATTTTAGGACATATTTCTAAAATTGTTGAGTCCTTAGTCTTAGACTCAATTCAGCCTTTGGTTAACTCAATTTTAGCTACTGAGTAACATGGTTTTCACCCAGACAGATCTACTGTTACTTGTAATCTCTACTTCTGCAATTACATGCTTGGTTCTTTTAAAGATGGATCGCAAGTTAATGTCATCTATACCGACTTTGCTAAGGCATTTCGATACAGTAAATCATGAGGTTCTTATTTCAATACTTTGTGCTTAAGGATTTAATGATCCAATCCTATCCTGATTCAATTAATTTTAATTTAATAGATCACAATGGGTTAATATGTTCATCACAAAATTTGATATATTTCTACCTACATCTGGCGTACCGCATGATGGCCATTTCTCCCCACTTCTATTCTTGCTGTTTGTTAATAGTGCTTGCTCCTCCCTCAAGCATAGCCAACTTCTCTGTTTTGTTGCAACATGAAAATTTTTCTGAAAATTAATACTGTTGAGGATTGGCTCAATAATCGTCAATAGACGATCTCAATAATTTCTATGTCTGAGCTGATACTCTAAATCTCTCATTGAATATTAATAAATGCTGGTCAATGGTCAAAATTCACAAGAAGTCATTCTCCTACTACTTGTTATACTTTGTATGGCTCCAACCTAATTCCTGGTGATTCTAACATTTGTAATCTTGGCTTTACTTTTACTTCCTCTCTTTGTCCTCGTGCTTACATTGATAAAATTTCTACTTTGCCTTACTAATTATTTAAAAAAACGAGGTAATTAATCCTAAGATGAAGTTAATCAATGAGGATTCGCCATTTCTTCCATAAAATTGTGTTACTAAATTATCTTATTTTTGTTTTTTGTTTGTTTCTTTTTGTTATCTTTTACACTTGTGTCTTTATTCCACATTTATAATATGTATCATATATTGTCAACTTACACCATAATTGTAACCTGGGCTCATCTTTAATAAATAAATAAATATATTTTCATTTTGAATAGGTAATTAAAATTTTTTAAATTTAATTCTGCATTATTCGATACAGAAGTAAATAACCTTTTATTTAAGGTCAAATATTATTAGACTGAATGTTTTATATTGCATGAACTGGGATACACTGGTGTCTATCTTATTATTAATAAACAAAACCTATTTTATGCAAATACTTATGATTTACTATATATTTATTATTTATAGTTATTTTTGATCCAGCTGCATTCTATGGTCACCATGAATATGATATTGCATCTACTACTTTATTTGGTGGTTATTCCAATGAATTTTATGATGCATATTTTAGAAAAATACCAAAAGAAAATGGTTTTGAATATAGAATGTCTTTATACCATTTGTTTCATTATCTAAATCATTGGTATGATTATATTTTTAAGAATAAATATTAAGAATAATAATATTTTTCATGTAATATATTATTTTTTAGGAACCATTTTGGAGGACAATATATTAGCTCAACAATAAATACATTTGAAGAATGCTTCAATGCATATAAATACCTTTAGTTTTCTTAATTCTATTTCAGTGTGAATTTTAATTTTAATTTAAAAAATTATGCTTCAAAAAATTAAAATTGTTACTACTTACTTTCTTCCAATGAATTTACATTATAGTAGGTAATATATTTAGAAGAATATTATTACATTTTAATTAAATTAAAAATGTTGAATATTAACATAATTAATAGTTTGTTGAATATTTATATTTTTTTAATAACATTCCATTGAAATAAATGTTAATATATAATTTGTATTTAAAATAATAAACTATTAATGATGCACTATTACACTCTAATTACCCACAAAACAACAAATTTAAAAGTGGAATATTTTGCCAGCGGTTAAACAGGAGTTAAAAATGTTAACATTAAATTGTATTTTAACTAAAACTTCATCTATTTATAGAATTTTTAATATATATTGATATTTGAGAATCAAAAATGGGTAGTGGTTTATATTAAAATTTACAATACCATTTATTATTTATTTAGTAAATTTATTTATTAAGGTATAATAATAATAATAATAATAATAATATGTTAATATTTGAAAATTCATACTATAAAAAAAAAAAATTAAATTAATGATGTAACTTCTTGTAAAACTACTAAAATGTAAACAATTAAGAAATAATTCAAACAAAGACTGGAACAGTTTAATTCTAAATAGTTAGTTTGGGGTTGGCACCAGTCAATTGACTAAAAATAATTTGACTAGTCAAAAGCCTGATTCTAAGTTGCGTAAATATTTGTTATGCTAATGTTAATTCATAGTTCAAAAATCTTTGTGAAGTTCTGAATGGTGTTTTTACAATTAATAAATTCTATTATCTAAATAAGTAATAAATAATCTTAAGGGGAAATGGTTTGGCCGGTTTTACTGTTCTAGATCAAAGAGTCAAAAGTAAAATTCTAGCCACTACTGCTCACTTTATTTTAATTATGAAAACATATTTGAAATGTTTATTTATTATTTATGTTTTGTAGGAAACATTTATTAGATTATTTATTTAGATAATTATGTACATGATAAATACCTTTTTTTTTTTTAAAAAATAATCTGTACTTTCATTATTAAAAACTAATTATAATACCTAGTTATAAGGCATAAAATAATATTTATTGATGTAATTACAGCTAGACACTAAAGCCTATAGTGTAAATTTAGTTGATAAAAATTTAATAAAAACAATATAAAATATAGTTAAACTTAACATTTAGGATTTAAATATTATAGAGCAGTATCTAAAAAATAAACAACATTAATTATGTTGGTAATCAAAAAATACTTAATAGTAATAGTATAATTATTTGAGAAGAGAGATTTCAGTTTAGTTTGGGTTAAATCTCTAATTGCTTTCATATAAAAAAAAATTAACATTTATTTACCCCTTATTGGTGATGAAGTTTGGACTTACTCTGTAGACATTAAATTTGAAATATAATATAAATTAAATGTATAAATAACTATTTCAATATTTTCTTATACTTTCCTATATCTTTAATATTATTTAATAGTAGAATATACCAATCAAACTTCCATCAACTGTCATGAACATAGAGGTATATGTTCATTGTAATATTACACTATTAAATTGTAGATTTTACAGGGTATAAAGAAAACAAAAATTGGAATTTTGGATCAACTTTTACTAAGTCATTGCATTTTTAAAAAGAGTGCCCCTTTTGACAAGTTTTTTAAAATAATTATAAATTGAAGTTTATTGGGTATTGCTACTAAAATACTAGAGTAATTACTTTTGTTTATACCTACTATTAATGAATGGCTAGTGTCAGATTTAGACTGGGGGTCACCAAGGAATTACTAAATAGGAAGCCATATGATTTTTATTATAAAATTAAAAAAATACACCAAGAAATTATATTTTTTAACTCAAGTAATATTAATGTTGAAAATAATTCTTTTTTGAAATCATACAATGTTTTGTAAATTATAAAAACAAATTATTACGCTTTATCAGCTATTGCCTATGCCCGATTATATGTTCACGGTATTTATTTTGTCCTCGTGGGGGACAGTAGAAGTACTACAATAGTAGGACCATGTTATTTCCCCAAATTTAATTGCCAGATGCTATCTTTTTAATTATGTTTTACTGATATAAATATATAATATTACAAAACATTAAAACAACAAAAAAAATGAAAGAAATTTTATCAATTAAACATTTTCCTTTTACAAATAATTAGAAACATGGGTTTATTTTTTGGTTGGTACTATGTGGAGTAAATTGTTTGACCAAACACAAATAGATATAGGACCTATACTATAGGTACTTGACAATTTAACTGGAGATTCATTTTAAGTTGTACTTTGTGGTAAAAAATTGTTTAGTGTAATATAGTAGTTTTTATTATAAGCATTTTGAGAAAAAATTGTTTAATAATATTTATGTGAGCTATAGATTTATGTTTTAAAAGACTGTAATATTTACGATTTTTGTTAAAATATGAGATTAAAATTCTGATAAATAAAAAACTATTTCAATTTGTCAACATTTTTTTTTGACCACTAAGTACAACCTATAATGAACGTCGTGTTAAATTATTAAGTATTTTAGTTTGGTTAAACAAAAAAAATCTACATTGTAACTATTAAATTAAAAAACTTGCATACATAAAATGCTCAACATTTGCTAAAATGTTATGAACATTTTACCAAGTCTGGAAAAGACAAACATAATTTTGTTGTCAAAATGTCAAGTCCACGAATATTTATAACTGAATTACAATACAAAAAAAAAAAAAAAAAATTGAAATTAATGAAAGCATTATTATTTCTATTAACTTTCCGGTTTTGATCGACTAGTAAGAAAACTATTTTCAAATTATTTAGATCCAAAATGTAACAAAAAGATCCCTTGTCGTTTTTCCATTAGAACAATATACCTGTCAATCAGGATTTTTTGAAAGGGGGTGTCACATGTACATTAAAAAAAAAAATATCTCTTAACACATTTATATTACTTAAACAATGAAGTAGGGGAGTGCCCAGAAGACAAATTTGTAATTATAAGCGTATCTACACTAAAGTGTAAATTAATCTAGGCATGTAGAAAAAATTTAAACTTTTTATTAAAACAAACAAATCTTTTGTGGATGGAAGAGACGATGCAAAATTATCGATATGAATAAATATTGTTACTTTTCTTTCAATACGAATATTGATACTTACCTTCAGTCTATAGCGGACCATAAACCATAGGCGTGCGCTTGGGGGGAGGGGGGTGGTAGGCCTCGACCCCTCCTGTGCCTTTGGCTTTTTCATTAATAAATGCATAGATATGTGATATTAGATAGCGAACTAACTGCATTTTATATGAAAAAATTGAACCCAGTTAATATCTCATTCATTAGAATTATCTATTTAGATTATCTGTATAGAATTATCTATTATATCTGTTATAAGATAATATAAAAATTGATGATGTAATTTATACATTTAAAAATCTTACTCCAGTGGACGGAAGGATGGAGTTGTAAATAGTTATGAAAATAAAAATTTCTTATAAATTGTGTAAGTTTTAATGATTTTTGTTATAGGTATTATTATTATTATGTATTTTTAATATCTTTAAAGTTTAAATAGTATTTATTTTTATGTTTTCTTATTGAATTAAATAAATAGGTACTTTATAAAATTTACAATTTAATATTTAACTATAGGTACTAGTAGTCATTAGTATAAGAATCGTTGGTTAACAATTTAACATCCACTATAATTATTTTGACATTTATTATTTATTTACTTTTTAATATTTATATTAGCATTAATAAATTTAAAAAAAAAAAAACTTTAAAATATATTAGAAGCTAAATTGACCTATAGGCAGTTTAAAATGTTTGTAAATATATTTGGATACTTTTCATGTTATAAGAAGGTGTAATAATAAATAAAAATATATATTATTATAAATAACTACAGATTAGGTACCTATTGTTTATTAATTATGTGGTAAGGTAAGGGGAAGTATGTGACATTGTGACAGATTATGAAGATTTACCACTATTTACAGGAAAGTTAGCATGTTTTATACCCATTGTTTCAGTTACATTAACTTCGAATGCCGACGTGATACACACGAGCCGAAAACGAGATTACCACAATAAATGCGAGAAAAGCGATTTGACGAGCCGGTAACCGTTATTATGGTCGTTTACGGGTTATTATGGCCGTGGTCAAAGATTACGGTCATAGTTCATGGGGAAGAACAACAGCGATCTCGGTTTTTATTCGTCCGATTCGATCGAAACTTTAAAGCGTTCAACGGCGCAATCGCAATGTAGGCGTAACTCCCGCCAACATATCTTGTTTTTGTTGGTATTGTCTATATTCTATATTTACATTCTACATACCAGTTGATCCATTTAAGTGGGTATACACATTATCTCGGAAAGTATTAACTTTTTCCAGAATTTGTTTTCTAGAACATTTAAGAAACAAGCTACTCTAAAATTGTATATTTATATCACCCTTATTTTTGGGGGTAAAATTACAACCTACTTTTGATTTTCAAACAACAACCATATTAAAAAGTCCATACATAAATGGAATATTAGTTAAAACACATTTTAGTGTTTAAATTTTTGATTTCTGTCAATCCATTGACGAGATATTCCACTTTCAAGTTTGGGTTGGAGAAGAGTAGTGGAGTATTATTTGTGTGGCGGTACGGCGCGCGGCCTGTTAATAATGTACCATTACTCTCCTCCAACCCAAACTTAAAAGTGAGATATCTCGTCAACAGCTTAATAGAAATCAAAAATGTCAACATTAAAATTTATTTTAATTTAGTTAATACCCCATCTATTTATGTACATTTTAATATAGATTGCTATTTGAAAATCAAAAGTAGATAGTGGTTTTACCCCCCAAAAATAAGGGTGTCAAAAAATAACATAAATATAAAACTGTAGAGCAGTTCGTTTCTTAAATGTTCTAGAAAACAAATTCTGGAAAAAGTTAATACTTTCTGAGATAATAAGTGTATCCACTTAAATGAATCGCCCGGTAATGCACCGAGATACATAGTGTTTTCGGTTTCTTGTTGTGTCAAACTTGTTCGTGTGATTTTTTTTCTCTACGTAGAAAATACGTCAATGATGCCGTTGCCACAACCGTCCGTATTCTGTTGAGGTATGATTGTGATAATTGATGTTCCAATACAAAGTCGTCATCGGCAAGTCACGAGAATATGACGGTGCGTCTTGAATTTATACCTATGACGGCACAGAAACAAATATTTATATTTTATATAATATTATTAAGTATGCATTTTTTTTTGGAGATCACGGTGTTGTTCTCTTTAACTACTATTCATTCAAATCATCACATAAAATGTAAAACCAAAAGACCTCGAAAGTCAAAATTGTTTTTAAATAGCTGATAACCAATGTTTTGAAAATTGTACTTTGTTTGAAAAGAGCATTAGAGTAATAGTAAAAATATATTTTAATATATTCGGTGAGATTTTCGGACTCGACAATTGTTTTTAATAAAATAATTAAGTAAAAACAAAATTATTAAAATGGTTAATACTCGTAAATAAATATGTAAATAAAAAATTAATTAATTAATAAATGCGTTGCTTGGAGTATTATGATAAGTGTATTATACGACCGGTTTCGAATTAAAAATTCATCATCAGGTATCATCAGTCAAAATGTAAAACGCGAAATTTTTGTTACTGACTTACAGTAACACAAAATATAATTAAATTTAACAGAAACCGTTATTATGTAAATATTAAGGTATTATTTACATAATATATCCGATCTGCATCCGTTCCGTTTTCTAAAATTCATGAAACAAAAAGTAATTGTTACGCAAATTGTTTTACGGAAATTAAATAATTTTTTGTTTATTCTTGTTCCAGGACCGTATTTATGATTTTGGCACTTACGGGCAACAACACTTTGTCCCTCCCCCCGACTTTGCTTACGATTAATTTTGTAACTTATTAAGTAGTTATATTAATTATAGGGATTTATGGTATCTAACTTAGTGTTTAGATAAAAAAACGGTTATAATGTAAACCGGAGTAAGCTTCCTGGTAGAAAAAGTGTTAATATAAAAAAAAAAAACCGAGTTGATACTAGGGACGGGTGCAGCCACTGTTGTAGGTGGGAAGTTAGGAGGGTAAGATACATGAGGTTATTTCATTTATATCTGTAAGCAACGATAAACCATTTATGCGAAAGACGATTCCGAGCGCAGTTCGGTAATACATAATATGCAGTGCCGTATTTTTTTTTTTGTGATTTTCGTTTAAATTTGATTTCAAAACGCTTATTAAAGAACAAATTCAACAAAAATATGGCTTCTTGTCGTTTTTCAATTGGCGCAATATTTGTGCTAGAAAACTTAATAGGTACTTATTTAAAATAACGAAATCGTGAAAAAATCGTATTTTTTTTCCAAGTTATTCGTTTTTATTTTAAATACTGTTTCGAAAATCAAAAAATGACTTATGCATTTATTAAGTAGATAAAATTGACTTTCAGAAAAAGAGCTACATTTCGGAGCAAGTTTTCTGGGATAAAAGTGGTCTACAGTATACAAAAAAAAAAAAAAAATACCATTGTAAAAAATTATTAATTAATTGTATATTGTATAAAGTATATTCAAGTAAGTTTAATGGTGCAGTTGGTTTTTTTGATTTTCGAATTAGTTTTCATAATAATCGGGAAAAAACGTAGGCAGGTTAAGTTAAAAAAAAATACGGCACTTCAAATTATGTATTCCGAACTGCGCTAAAAACTGTCTTTTGTCAGAAATGGTTTATCGTTGTTTACAAATATAAATGAAATAACCTTATTTATCCTACCTTCCCCACTATCCAAATACAACAGTGGCAGCAATTATCCAGTATCAGCTCTATTTTTTGTAATTTTAAAATTAAAAAGACGGACATACTTCGCCCGTGGGTGGGCCACTGTTATAGGTGAGAAGTTAGGAAAGTAGAGGGAAGATTTAATGTATATCTGTACGCAACGATTAATCATTGCTAACGAAAAACGTTTCTGAGTGAAGTTCGATTAATGGTGTTGCACTTTGTCAACAATATACATATCACATTATGGTAAAGTAATTACATATTATATATGCATTATATATTTTCTTTAATAATATTTATAGTAAATAAATATCTAAAAAATAATGTGTAGGTATATAAAAATAAAAAATAAATAAATGAATGAATGCGTTGCATTCATTTATTTTTAATTCCATTATGTACATTTTTTATTTATATATTTATTTACGAGTATTAACTATTTTAATAATTTTGTTTTTACTTCATTATTTTATAAAGTTAATATTTGTTTAATATTGTATTTATTTTCCCGGTTAAAATCTCATTTATTGGGAAAATTCCTGGGAAAATCAAAAAATGACCTCCTTAAAAGACCAACCTAGAAAAATTTAATTTCAGAAAAGGTGCTCTACCTGTAAAACCAATACATTCTCGCTACTCTCAGAAACTAAACAAATTAGCTAATAATTGTTTTAAAATTATAATTTTAAGTTAAGACATGAATATTTAACTATAACAACCGCATAATTTCCACCATAATATCATGACTGTAGTAGAACCACGGAATATATTTTTTATACATTATATAATTTCGTACATTATATAATAGTACACTTAAGGGAATTAGGTATCTTATAATAATTAATAATATTATGTTATCGTATTATTTCATTAGAAAATTAATTTTATTTATTGCCTGGATGTGTGCACACATTACGGACATTTTTCGCGTAATACCTATATCCAACGAATGAATGCTATATGTCAATCGGCCTTGGTTGTTGAAGGGTTTAATAACAAGATTGATGTTTTGGAAAAGTGTCACCCGTATGTTATTATACTCCCGTTGAAACTGACCGTTTCTCGTTAGCTAGAGTATACGCGAGATAAAGAGGCAGTGACGAGAGACGTCGTTCCACTAGGCGGGCCTAGTCCGTAACTTTACGGTACACTGTACAAAATAAATATCGAGCGTTCCGGCGGCGGCGCCTCTCTGCCCCTACGTTTTCGCCAGTCCCGCCCAAGGTCGCGGCGTCTGCGCCGGGACAATGCAAGTTTCGCGCTCATCGTCACGCACGTTGCTATTGCGAGCAACCGTGTGACGGTCGCCGGTCGGGCGACGGGAGAGACTTTGGCGTGAGCCGTAAACGCCTGGGGCGGAGGGAGGTGGGCGGCAGTACGTGAAGTTACGATAACGCCGCCGCCTTCGCGTAGTGCGTATACTCGATCAGTAGAACACGAGCTCGCGTTGTATGTGGCCATCGTTACTCTTTCGTGCATAACACCGCTCTTCTCGGTAAAGACCGCAAGCGATTTCTTTTAATCTGTGCATTGTGGTATTGCCGTTGTTAACTACACAATATTAACGCTATGCGTATTTTATTCTTGCAGTTCTGCATAAAGAGCAGGTAATACGAACGTAAACCATAGTAGGTAGGTAACTAGTTCGTTTGATTTTTAAGTGAGAAAATGAAAAGCAAGGCTGCAAGTAGCAAAAAAATCACCAGACTTATACACGCCGCCGGAAATTCGTGTAAGTTGACAGTTTTTATTAAGTGTCCGAAAATATTATAATTACCTTAATAATTATGTATTTTTTATCAAATGTATGACCTTTAAACTCTCAACATATAGCGTGCCTACCGTATGTTAAATGTTGATTGCTTATTGACAATGATCTATATAGTATAGTAAGATCGGTAGTTAGTCATGAACTCGTCTTCATGAAAATTTAAAAATTTAATTTGCATTATCTACCGATAATGATAGTTCCTTCCGAGAACACGATAATTTGTGCCATAAATCCATTATGTCATAATTAATCTGAATAGTTTTTGAAAATAGATAATTTATTTTTATTAACTATAATTGATTAAGTACCTATAGTTTAATTTTTTTTTTACGAATTTTATAATTTAAACCGCTTTACGACTGCTGTTTTTTACGTAGGTATCCCCAAATACCTGATAACACAGACAGGATTAATTAAGGGGAGGGAAGAGGTTGTGAATTTCAAAACATTTCTGAACTGCGGGTGTTTGGTAAATTAAGGGTAAATTATTAAATAGGCGAAGCTACACTTTTACAGCATAACATGGGCATTTTTAAAATTGCTGCACATTATGCAACTATACGTATTAGGTGGGTACGTAAGAAAATTAAATTTCAAATTCGGATCGTGGCGGAGTTAAATCCCAACCTCCTGGTTGCACCGCTGGGCACATACATTTTAAATCATTATTTAATTAACCGTCAATAATAGCTTAATAAGTTATGATAACAAGTATACTAGTTACCTAGTGGTAATAATTTCTATATAAAGTTGTTGTAATTAAAAACATGTAAAATCAATAATAGGTAAGTAGTGCAAAGAAAATAAAGAGTTTTGATTTAATTAACAAATGGATCAACTTATATTTTTTTATTAATTTTTGTAGGTAGTACCTATACCTAAATACATGAGTAGTACCTTCTTCTTTTCCTTTATCGGTTTTTTGCTGTTTTGACTATTTCTTTCCATTGTTCTTTATTTAACGTTAGGTCGCACGCATTGTGTCGGTACCCAGTTTGGTATTTATTTTTGTCAGTGTCTTGATCTTTCTTGTCGATTTAGCTAATCGGACGTGGTATTCCTAATAGTCTTAAAACTTTTTAGCTTTTCTGATATATATTTTTGTTTAACGACATAAGGTTGAGTGGGTTGACACATATGTCCCACCCATTATATTCTAACCTTAAAATAGGTAGAAAATTGCGCATAGTCGTGGCTTATTGTTTAATTTTTGGATTTAGGAGAGTACCTACAACCGCTTAAGAAAAAAAAAATATTTTACTCTTAATTTTTCGTATTAGACATTATACATACTATATGAACATAAAGACATTTAAATTTTCAGGTATGAACATTTTTTTCATCATCATTTTTATGCCCCCTTTTAATCGTATTCAAATTTAAATGCTACCTGTGAACTTACACCTTTCTTGTACCTTAAAAATCAATAAGTGAGGGACTTTTTAATTTTTATTTCGATGGTTGTATCTCACATAGTACTATTTTCCTATAGACATAGGAAAACCTTATTTTTTATAGCCTGTATTATAATTAACTATTATATTATGTTTGTTATTATTGCTTTTAAGACAGAAACAATTTTTATTAATTTTAATTATTCTAATTATTCGTGTAAAATGAGTTCATTGGAAATTGTAAATTCGAAAAAAAAAAAATAAGTTTTTCTGAATTTCTAAATATACATACGTCATGTCCATATGCTGGATTTCTAAAACACCGCTGTTTACATAATAAACTAAAATTCAAACAAATTACTAAGAAAAAAAAAATGTATTGCAATACTTAATATTGGACAAGTTGATGAATTTCTTATTTAAAAAAAAAAATATCTACGTATAATTATTGGATTTATTTTTAGGTACTTATTATGATTTTGGTCATGCATCATACAAAAAAGAACTATACGGAGTTAGTTACTATGGTATTATTATTTAAATAAACGCACAAATTCTTTGTTATTACTTGTTAGCTATGGTAGTAAAAACAATGGCATGATAAAAATTGAACAGATGGAGGTTTGTTTGTAACACTTGAGTAAACATGTGATTATTTTGAAGGGTTACCTACATTATGTTATAAAGTATTATAACATATAAATATAATTTAATTTTTATGTAGGTAATATAGTTTATTTAGTATTATCATAATTGATAAAAATATAAAGCTTATTGTTGTATTTTATAAAATTTATTTATCTGTACAATTATACAGATATAGTACCCGTATACTATAAATACAATTTAGAACTGAAAGTAAATCATAAATTTGATGAACCATCAAAGTAACTACCCTCCTAATTATCCTAATCATCACTGATCTTCTATGATTCTAATATATACATCTTAAAGGCATTAAAAGTTGTTTAAAAAAAAAAAAAAATATTTTATTTCCTTGAATAATAACGGACTGACATCGACAGTAAATATTTTAAATATAGCTGAACACACAAGAGCGGAATTTTTCCGCACTTGAAATTTCGCATGTTTGACGTTCGCTTACGTATTTACAGACCGTATTCGAGTTAGGTCTATTTCGAAATTTAACTTAGATGGTTTTAGAAGTTTTACAAAACTTAACCTACCTGTTGGTCAAGACTTAATAACACTCCAGGAAACCTAGTGCGTCTTAAGTGTAAACCTAAAATTGACTACTTTCCATTATAGTCAGTGGAAAGCCTCCTTAGGTTTAAATAAAACAGATTTTAAATGAAAAAACCTTTGATCTTAAGTAGTAGTGTTTTGGAGCGTATACCCATTTACCATTTAGTAAATTAGCGTATACCTTGTAAAAATAGTACTAATTCGCACGTATACGATCGTATATGCTTTTAAGTTTTTTAAACAAAATGTGCGTATAGTTTTTACATGGCATAAAAATTAACAATCTACCTATATTATATTTTTTTATTATAAGCCTTTTATTAATTATATTAAGTTAAAACTGTGTAACAATTAGATTAAAAAGGATTGGTTATTACTACGTGTCCACGTATTATTTAAGTTTTTATATCTTTTATGTGATTAAAGTTTCATGTTATTGCTAATTACGAGCTTTTTTTTTTGTTATACCTACGTAGGTTGCCTTTTAAGTTTTGCGATAAGATTACACCTGGGTTACTACGTCAAATCTTATAATATGACATTTTTACAATATACATTATCTAATAGTTTTGCAATACAAGTATTATTAGTAGGATTTACAGCGACTTAGAAAATTCATTACACCGAAAATGGAATTAAATCGTAAAAATTTTCGTGCAATGATTTATTACGACTTTCGACGTGGATTAACTCAACAAAAATGTGTCGATCAACTTGTTTTGATTTTTGACGATAAAGCGCCACACCGGACCACCGTGTTTAGCTGGTTTGCTGAATTTAATCGTGGTCGTCGTTCGCTTTAGGATAAAATTTCGTGAAGGTCGTCCAAAATCGGTGGTTTTGCCAGAAAACATCGACGCTATAAGATAAGATAAAACTAAACCACCATGTGACTTATTATGAAATTGAGGCATCTCTAGGCATGAGTTCCACTAGTGTTCATTCAATATTACATGAACATTTGGTAGTGAACAAAATTTGTTCACGTTGGATTCTACACAATTTGACACTAGCTCAAAAAAAGATTCGTATAGATCGGTGTTCAGAAATGTTGAAAAAAACATTGCATTTCAAAAGACGTCTATAAGATTATGACGGGTGATGAATCATGGATTTATACGTATGATCCGAAAAGTAAACAGTAATCGATTATATGGGTCTTTCAATGTGACCCAATACAATAAAAGTTGTTCGCGCACGAAGCTCTTTAAAGCAAATGGTCGCCTGTTTTTTCGACATACCTAGACATGTGGCAACTGTAGTATTAGAACAACGTAGGATGGTTAATTCTGAATGATACACAACCATTTGCTTTCCAAAAGTCTTCGGAGAAATAAGGAAAAAAAAACCGCCAAAGACGGATCATTCTTCACCACGAACATGTGAGCTCTTACAAATCAACTCAAACAACCGCCTAACTTACCAGTTAAAACATTCAATTGATGGGCCATATAGCCCGGATTTGGCACCTAATGACTTCTTTTTATTCCCACTCATAAAAAAAATTACGTGCTCAACGTTTTCCGACGCCTAAAAAAGCAGTTGATGCGTTCAAAATGCATGTTTTGGAGGTATCTCAATTGAATTCAAACGCATGCAATAGTGTATTGATATTCGTGAAGAATATTTTGAAAGAGAATAGAACCATTTTTAATGTTACATTATAGTTTTTTGTCGCAAAACTTAAAAGGTAATCTACGTATATTTAACAAGGTTTCAAAAATAAAAAAAATAATATTTTGTCAAAAATTAAATTTTGTATGAATACATTTTATAATCATACTTTTTTTATTCGATAATGGATTTCATATCAAATTTAGTATGTTAGTTTTTTTATTGAACGTTGGTGTGAGTTTATAGTTAATAGTAAAACAAAATTAGTTAAAAGAATTATTAAGTTAAATCTGAGCTGTGAAAAACAGTTTTTAATACTTATTGGTATTGGAACATAAATACAAGTTTACAAAACTGGGTAGCAAAATAATTATTTTTTAAAATTTGTATATCTATGAATGTACTATGTAAGAGTCTTATAAAATAGTAGTGAGCAGCTTTTCGTGAATCTGATTAGTTTTGTGCTTATAAAATCACAATATTCTTTGCTTTAATTCATAAATAATCGTATACCCTATATGTTTTTTACGAAAAGAACACTGGGTTTCAGTATTTCCCGCATATCTATTTAAAATAGATTTACAATATTAGAATATTGTAATGTTTAAATAATAATAATCAGGATAATGATGTATTTACATAATTTCGTATAACTGACTTCCTACAAAATATGTGTTATCTACTGCATGAAAATCACGAACCATCATAGCATCATGGCAGTAAATCTGTGCATGTGTTATAATGGACATTGGAAAATGGTACCCATTTACATAGAATAAATTATAATATTTTGTAAAATTGTCAAATTTATGAATTCTATATGTAGATATTTAAATTATAAAATAATAAAGTAAATAAATATATGAAAAAAAATGTATACGTAAAAATAAAATAAATAAATGAGTATCACAGTCCTGATGATGAATTTTTAATTCGAAACCGGTCGTATAATACACTTATAATACTTCAGCGACGCATTGATTCATTTATTTGTTTTATTTTTATGTATACATTTTTTATTTATATATTTATTTAATTTATTTATATATTTAAGTCATACATATTTTCTAAGTGTTCTCCAAATTTGATTGGGTCAGCTGTTTATAATTAAAATTAATCATAATTAATTAAAATAATTGAATCTATTTCAAAAGTGTATAATAATATTAGTAACTATAGTTTCTCGTTTTAGTATTATGTCATCAATTTACTATTATCCATTACCTATTGAGTCTTATATTATATAATGGCGCCTATTCCTACACAACTATACCCATATTGTACTCAATCACTCGTTTACTAATAAGTTAATTGAACAAGTCATGCGTAATTGAATTGTAGATAGAAGTACCCATATTATACTATAAACAATTAATTTATAAAGTCACAAAGTTAAAAATACATTTTATAGTTAAACTGTTCGTATTCCACATTAAAACAATGTGTATGAGTACCATTTAAAAAAAAGAGCTGATACTGGGGACGGGTGTGGCCACCGTTGTATGTGGGTAGTTGGGAATGTAGGATACATAGAGTTATTTTATTTATACCTGTAATTAACTATAAACCATTGTTAACGAAAACGATTCTGTGTAAAGAAAAAATCTAAAATAAAAAGAATAATTTGAAAAAAATGAAAAAAAAATTCACACCATACTATGACCAATAGATCCTGGGTTAGAATTAACCCTCACTCAGAATTAAAAATATAGTATTTATTTATGACCTTCACAATCATAATTTTTTCATAAAAGGTCTATTTTCAATACATACATTTCTTCTAGTTTTATATTAGATTCTGAGTGTTCTATGACGTTTTGTATTTTTTCGTTTAAGCTCTTTTTGGACTAGCAAAAATACTCAGATTTTTTAATGTGATACATTAAAAGATGCTAATTTTTCGATATTTCTAATATTTTTTTTAAATTTCTTATACTTTTTTTGAAAAATTGGTTTATTTTTACTTATTTTGGTTAGGATTTGCACCAGTTTTTTCACAAAGGTCCACAAAAGCGTGGAATTTCCGGAAAATGGTACTTTATTTGAAATCTTTATCGAAATTTACAACAGTTCACTTGTTATAGTTTTTTTCTTCAAAAATACTTTTTGGTTTTTAAAAAGGTTCCAAATTAATCGATTCTTACTTTAAAAGATGTGAATTTTTCGCCTGGAAGTACTTATTTGGAAAAAATGTCTTATATGAGAAATCCGAATAATGTTTGTTCAAAGTATTAAAATTCCTTACATATTTGTTCCAAATTTTGTAGCTTCTCAAGAAATGTTTGTTCGAAGAAAAAATAAAAGATGACCAATAAATATATTCAAAATATTGATATTGCAACAATTGTCTGTTCGATCTACTATATTTTCAATAAATATTATTTTTATAATAATTTGTCTAGATACTTATTTGATTCTGGAAATTCTAATTCTTTTCGATCAATAAAAAAACTAAAATATAAATAAACAAATAAACTCAAATACCCATATACAGCAGTGGTCTACTTGTGAACAGTATCAATTTTTTATTTTCCTATTTTTACTTTTTGTGTTAAAAATTTAAACATAATTTGATAATTATTATAAGTTCAATTTATTTACTGAAATTGTGATAATTCTTGACGAATTACTAAAAATAAATTAAATAAAGAATGTATTTTTAAATTATTAAAAATACAAATTATTTACCTAGTATAATAATCATCGCTGTAATCATTCATTCTTCTAGACTGCATATCAGAGAGGGGTATACTGTATATTTTTTAGAAAATTAAATTTTTTCACCGAAAATAAATATTTTGTATGTAGATACTTATTTTTAATTTTATTGTTAAAAAATAAAAACTAAAATATTTCTGTTAGTCCTCTCCTACCAAATAATCTTACATATAATAATATGTCCTTGAGAGTGATATTATTACTATTCTATTTATACAAATGAATTAGTTATAGGTACACGAATTTCAGTTCATAATCTGGATTATGTTAATATCGAGCGCTTACTCCCATGTAAATTTCATACAGATTTCATTTATTTGAAATAGGTTATAATGTGCAGGATGTCTAAAGAATTATACAGTTGAATATTTTATTTTAAATTTATATAAGATGTTCTTATATTTTAACAAGTTATGGAATTGCACTGTATGTGTTTACTAAATTATCTATTTTTAATGGTTATTTATACAATAAACTTTGAAATAATAAAATATGACAGTTAAAAAAAATTGGTAACCATTAACCAAGTATAATATGCTTATAGGAATAAATCAATGTAAATTAAATATTTCAATTTTTAAATAATTACAGGATATTTTTCAAATTCTTAATGTACTTTTATTTTGTTACCTAGGAAGTTTTAATATTGGCTAATATGAATTTTTATCAAAATAAATATCAACTGATATTAAAATTTAAAATTACCTAACAGGCACAGTTGTTGGTTACGTATCTAGTCATCTCGCTTAGCTTGAAATAAGCACCAGTCATTATAAAATAATAATAATATTATGAATAATATCAGCCATCTACTTGTTAGTCGAATCAACAACCATAACTATATGTACCAGTAATTACGAACAGATAGACACAACCGGGATAAAAAGTATCTAAACTTATGTTCAGAAACCTAATACTCTTATATCTATACTTATTATTATTAATAAAACAAGGTAAAGTATTAAAGGTATTTTATAAGTACCTAATACATCAATAAGTTAAATAATATTATTTTATTTATTTATCTACCTAAGTGTAAAAAAACAATATGTATAGAAGTTTGGAATAAATAATCACTGTTCGTAATTGTATTATAATATTGGAAATATAATAATTTAAGTTAATAGCAAAAAATAATAATAAAACATTTGGAAACTTTTTGAATCAATAAATTGTATGCTTTTTATTTGCTCAGGTCCGAGTTTAAATTTGTCTTAAATTCATCTAAATAAACCGTGTACGTAGGTAATATTAATGATTGTATCAACTTTTTTTCGAATAACATAAAAAATAAAAATATTATATGTGACGTCGAACAAAACATCATTTCCATGCTTTGTCTCAGTAAAAGAAAAAAAAAATGTGAAATGTATTATTTTCTGGTCAAGGCTATTGGTAATATCGTTTCAATATTTATAGTTACACTACAGTGTATAATATTATTATATATATATATATATATATATAAGATGTAATGTGTATATGTGTGAGTATGCGTGTGTGATATAGAAAAACTATAATATGAAGCAATAAACAATATATTTGAAAACATAAATATCCCCACCCTCATTGTATGTGTTTATTATAAACTGGATTGATTTCTTTATACATTGCCATTTTTGCTTACGTTCATTGGATATAGTATGTATTACAACAGTTTAGTGTGAAAGTAAATTTGTACTGTTCAAGTTATGACAAATTACTAATAGACTATTATATGGACTATTCTTATGAAATATTAATATAATATTAACAATTTTACTATATATTAGTTTTAGTTAAACTAGAGTAATGAACTTATGAACATAGGCGTGCGCAGAACTTTGGTACTGGTACGGCACAATTTTTCTTATAGGTAACGATTATTTTGTGGTAATACTACAGTCAAAGCCAATAATTTTACATTTTATTTGAAATTGTATACCATAGTACAACAATAAATTTAAACAATTTTAAAATAGACACTGTGTAATTACTAATATATAAACTGTTTGTACTGTTTGTAGTGATAATTAATATTAAATATTAATACTTTTAGGTAATTAAGTTATATTATATTAAATATGTATAAATACCAGAGTAATACAGAAAATATAAAAACAAAAAGCTATAAAAAAAAAAAATAATAATATAGTATTTCATCAATCTATAACAATCCGTATCTTATGTATCATGATGTTGTAACATTTTGTCTCAAATCGTTTTATCAGGATTAAGTTACTAACATTTATAATAAAGAAACGTATAGGACCGTGGTCTTACCAATAAAACAACAGAATATATTATTATTATTATTCGTAATATTTTAAGACAAATTTCGTATTGAAAAATACAATAAAAACATGTTTTTTTTTTTAGACAAAGTTAGGAAATCGAAATTCAAGAAACTAAAGATCAATACAGGTACGGCATAGGTACGCATTACCCGTGCGCAAGCCTATTGGTTATAAAAATAAGTATTTGTTTGAACAAAATCCGAATATCGAGTTATTGAAATCCAATGTAAGACATGTCATGTATTAACAATTGGAAAGAAATAATTATTTATCTTATTCAAAAGATGTAGATCAGAGTCGTGTAGCATATTATATTGTCATTAACATTTTATACGACTCTAAAAACAGTGAAGACGTATGAGTAGTAAGAATACCTAAACTTTTTAAAGATTTTTGAAATAAATTCAAATTGACTATAAGAAGGTAGTAACAAAATAAAATTAAGATTAAACCTATTCACTCTTCTATTGAAAATTAAAATTATATAATATTTAAAATGACTTTTAAAAATATCTAGGATATCTACATAAATACATAAACAATATAGGCAAATAATTTAATCGTAGGTACGTAATTCGTATAATTCGTATAATTCGTATAGTAAGTTGCGAAATTGATATTTTAAAAGCTAATAAAAAAAATTATCTGTGCTAATTTTTGAATTATAATTTAAATAATGTGGGTATGTATGCGCTTAATAATATAATGTCAATTATACCATCATGATTTCATTATATATTTTTTTCGTTTCTAAGATTTATGAAAATAATAAAAATGTGTTACGCTATAAATCTTTGAAGCGTACTCAAACTCAACCAACTAACGATAACAATAGATTAAGCCATGCGCCATATAGGTACCCACTACCATGAAATCTTTTTGATTCTGATAATTATAAAAAAATACTTGTAATTATGTTACTTTTTAAATTTTAATTAGTGTTAATGGCATTAACGCTAAATATTATAAATACGTAAATTAAAATCATGTATCTAAATTATTGATATTTTGTCAAAAAGGTGGTTGAATACGATTCGTTTTTTTGTGTTTCTAGACAAATAATCTGGAGTGGAATAAACATGATTGCAGTAATCCAACTTTTAGTGTGAAAAATGATTTGACTCCATACTTGACAGCAATACTTCTTTTTTTATGTTTTGTATGGAAAATATCTTAGTTTAAATTGATTTGTTCTAACACATTTTAATACGAGTTTATTTTAAGAAAAATGGCTAACTCATCGTGTACTTTAAACTAAATAAAAATCCCAACAAATTATTCTTACAAAACAGATAAGAATTGAAATGTTTTCAAAGTTTAAATTGGACAAACGGTAGTAGCTGAATTGTACTCCGGAATATTTGGTCTATGACTCTGAAACGTCATATTCGACATATTCGTCTGTAAAAACGGACGTACCTCTTCATTTTAAATAAGTATTGGGTAGTAGATTAGTGGAAAAGTATTACATTAAAAGGTATTTTAAAATTAGAAAAACTTGTGAAAATCGTTTTAAAACTACTTACGTTTATTTAAGAAAATTATTAAGCATTATTTTATATAATAGGTAATCCGTTAGGTACCTAGTAAAACCGATTTAACATTTGTAAATTATTTAACATAATATTTATGTTCAGTCTTGTTGATAGTTCCTTCCATAGTCCTTAAACCTTAATATTGAACCATAGGAATAAGAACGGTACTTCCGTAAAAAACGTCTCCATTTTCGCTGTATTACAAATGCACTGATCCGTGCAATAACAGTAAAACTGATTATGATATTAAAAAAATAAAAAAATGTATATAGTCATTGTTCATTATTGTTACTTGTTAAAAAAAACTAAAACAGTACAGTATATTATTTTTATTTACTACCTTAAAAAATATAAATTGTTATAAACTCAATAGCTTTAAATAGCACGATGAATTATACATTTATACAAATAATTTGTATGGTAATACAATATAATATGTAATCTTTGTTGTAAATTTTACATCAGTAGCACTTATGTTGATTTGGAGTTGGGAGTTTAAGATATATAATGTTTTTTTAAATTTATATCTGTACAAAACGATAAATAATTGCTGACGAAATACGATTCTGAGCTCGGTTAAACACGCGTTCAAGTGTCGTGATTTTTAAACTTTTCGATAAAATTTAAATTTAAATTACTTATAAAAATATTATTACATTTCTATCCATTTTTTTTTTTGCCATAAAATTCGACATATGATGAACCTCGTGTCAAATTTTTAACTATTTTGGCTTGGTCAAACAGTTTTATTCAAAAAATAGTACGCAAAATTTTATGGTTTACAATATTTGAAATTGAAACGCGTATACATATGAAAAAAAACTACTGCATGATACTAAAATTTTTTTTTTTGAATACTTAGATCAACATAATTATACGGGATTTTCTGAAAATTATCAAGCATTAAAAATTGTATCCACATAAAACCAAAAACTAAAATTATTCCAAAATGTAAAATGCCTATAATTAACTTTGAAAGCGCTACAGAGTTTTAAATATTTTACCACGTCTAGAAAATGCTAATCTAAGTGTTTTATGAAAATTTTAGGTTACTACAATTATTTTTCCCCGAGTAACATAAAATAAACAAAATCACAAAGAGTGAAACTATCGTTTTATTAGTAAACATTCCCGTTTATACTAAAATTTTCTCGGTTTAACTTTGTTGTTATGAAAACTATAAAGAAAATCAATAAATGACCACCTCAGTACATTAACCACATCCGAAATGTTACAAAAAAAGGTTACAAGTAATTTATAAATCGGTTAAGATTTTTGGTAGAAAAGTTAATAGAAAAAAAAACACACATCATAGGAAATCCGAAAAAATCTACGCTGTGTTCAAAATTTAAAAAAAGTTATCCCGTTGTTGTTTCCCCTGGTAGTGAAGGCGAGGCCCTGAACCGATCGCGAAAGTTTTCAGATAACATAAAATCGGCCGTCTTTGATGGTGTAGGGTAATGAGTATAGATAGCGAATACCTGTTATATAAAAAAATAATACAAAAGCTGATACACGGGGCCGGGTACAGCCACTGTTTTAAATGGAAAGTTAGGAAGATATGTTATACTAAGACTAACCGGCCATACTAATCAGTGATCAGATCAGTATTTTGAAATAAGCTAAAGTTATAATAGTAATAAGACGTTCAAAATTATAAATATTTGTCTGTTTTTTCACTAACAAGTAATTAGTAAGTAATAACTATTAACTATTATTATTAATTATTACTCCTATATAATAATTATTATTAATTGGAGGCACCCGAAGGTGAAAATTCAGGAGGGGAGATAGCCTTAATTTTATTATTAATCAAACACTTTTATTAATGTATTACGTGTATTTTTATAAATGTTTAAAGGTATTATAAATAATATAATATTAAATTTTACACTTATAACTAATTGAATACAAATTGCAATTTTATTTTATTTTTTTCAATTTAATCAACAACTTTTTTTGTTAAATTAAGTTCTTTAACTTTTTTCCTATGCAAACTTAACATACATAATCCGGATAAACGATTCTCTCATATTAGATAATCGCAAGTCAGCTATCCACAAAAAATATTCACAAATGATCGGCTTCATACTTCAAATCATAGGGCCTAAATCATTGTATATTATGATAATAAATTAACGAAATTGTATTATTACAAAATATAGTTCTCGACTAGATACTAATAATGAATTTTGGAATTTTGAAAAACTGAATTTGGAAATAATCATCTTAACTTGCTGGAAAGCTAGGGCTCTAGAGGGGAATGGTCCTCCACTTGTGGGCGCCTTTGCTATCAATATTATTTGTACTTATAAGTCTACCGAAATGATTACAATTTACAATGTAATTATATTAAGATGTATACAATTACAAAAAAGGAAACAAAGTTTTTATAACTATAGTTCAGTGTAAGTACAGTTATAAGTAGAATATATGCAATATAGGTATTTTAAATTTCAATAATAATAATAATACATTTTTATTCAGTTTGATGAAGGAAAATTAATTTTACAATATTACTAAGGAAAAGTAGTTTACTAGTAGTTTAAAAATAAATAATCGGTAATTTTACATCACTACCTATTATAAAATTAAAAAAAGATAATATTTTGAAGAACAAAACAATGTATTTCAATTTTAAAATTAATTTTTTAAATGTTTCAGTCATTTAAAAATGTTGAATTAGTCCTTTTTTCTAAATGATGTATTGAACGTTATATTTAAAATGATACATAGAAAAACGGAAATATTGTTCTCTTTAAATTTTGTAATATTACTATAAAACTAAATTTATTCCAGTTCTGCATAATCTGCGTAAAGATATTTTTGATATAATGCCGGTTAGTTGATTGGACTGTCACAGTTGCGCATGTGGGTATCACGTTTTCTTTAACAGATTATTTTTATGACTAAATCAGCGTGGCATTTTCAGAATCATTAGATTTCCTGTTTAATAATCGGTTGGGACAGCACAATTAATTATAATGTTCGGTACGAGTTTTGTTGTCGTAAATTGAATTTATAATACTATAATTTATATCAAAATTATCTATAACTGAACCGGGAATGATTTGCTATTACAAGATAATAGTGTAAATAATAGTAATAATAATAATAGTTTTCTTGTTCATGACAACCAAATTATGATCAATGTCACCAAGGTAATCCATGAATAAAAAAAAAAAAATAAATAAACAATTATATATTCGTACCAAAAATACCTGAAAACCCCTATTTTACTCCCTTTGGGGTTGAATTTTAAAAACCCCTTGCTTAGCGGATGCCTACGTCATAAAAGCTCTTTATATGCTAAATTTCAGCTCGATCCGTTCAGTGATTTATGACGAATCAGTCAATTAAGACATGTTGATGCATTATGTAATCGTCTTCATCGTAATTAAACGATGATTTATCGAAAGGTACTTAAAATTTTAAAAGCATATTTTACTAAACAAATAAATAATGGTAAAATTGCTCACTTTACACATGAACGATTTTTATTAAAATTATTGAAAGTTACATATGTCTAGTTCTCGGTAATTTTTATTTACATTCTTAATGACATTATTATAGAAATAATTATTTTTAATAATGCCCTACACCTATTATACCTAATATACCTATTATAAAATATTAGTTAAAATAACAATATCAAATTATTGTTTATAGATTACTAGATAAATGATTTTACTTATTATAAACTATGGTTAATAATGGTTTGGAAAATATTTATCAAATTTGTATTTATATTCTGAACGATAAGTACAAATTAAACATATTATATTGGTTCTATAAAAATGTATATTTATTTTTATCTTAAGCTGTTTACACTTTAAAGGGGTGAGAAGAAAGGTTCTTTAATATTTTTAAGTTAGCTTATTTTCTGGTAATAAATTTGATTTAGTTTGTTTAGAATAGTTCGGTTACTTCTACACTTGCGCAAAAATCGGTTAACTTTTAACAAATTGACAGACACTTTTAATATAATTTTTACTGCTATATTAGTAGTGCTATACCTGTATCCAAAATCTATGTAAATTGTTAGTATGAACTGCCGTAATGTGGCAGTCCACTGTCTTCTATGATTTGATACCATTGAAATTAGGTCTGCTGAATAATACTAATACTGTTGAAACAGTATTGACGTAATATGACATTTTACATATTAATGCTATAGCATTAATGTCCGTCAATGTGTTAAAGAAACTATAATTGCAAGTCATTTTCAACAAAATCAACAATATCGTTTTAGTATTATTGTTGCGATTTAAAAAATAATAATTCTTCTAGCCATGGATTTAAAATTGCTAATAATGATAATTTGTTTACTATTAAACAGATGTAAATACAATTCTAAATATGTGTTGTTCATTTCTTAGAATTTATTAAAAATGAAATATAAACTCATCATACGTGTTTTACTTAATTTTAAAATGACCATGTGTGTGAAATGTGTTTTAGAAGTTCTAAGTTTGTTTTGGCAAAATAATCAATCCTCCTCAGATTTAATATTCTATATTTATGCTTATAACCTGAATACAATTAAACATGTTGTTCACAAAATATATTAATTTGTGACACTGTATACAATGTTACAGTATAAGTATAGTTACTAACTTTTTTTTTTTAATTTACAAGTCAATTATTAGTATTAGTAGGCTCATGATTTGGGCATGATATTAGGAGAAAAGAATCAGAGACAATTAGAAATGTAATGAAAATAAACGAAATAAAAATAGTTGGATATGATTGAGAATGATATGAGAACGTAAGACAATATAATATCTTTTTCTAGAGAGAAATATTTACATTTTTGGTCTAAATTTATTGAAATTTTGAAAATTTTAATCTTTATAGTTGTTTTATCGCTTTGAAAGATTAATCTTTTATTATCTGCATTTTTGGATCCCTTCAATAAGAATAATATTCTTTTTTTTTAGATCTAAGTTAAGCGAGGAATGTATTGGTTTTTCAATGATGTTTATTATTTAGTTTTATTTTCTATTAATTTTTTTAAACCCTACATGGAAAAAGACCGCTAAGAATTTCTAACCTAACCCGAGAATCACCAACTACCGAATGATGGATGGATCTAGAGTTTGGGAACTTTGATCAGCTATTTTTGATAAGCAATTTTGTTGGATTAATAATTAAGACCAAGGGCCCCAGGATTTGTTTTTACGAGGGGGAAAGCTAAATAAAATTATTAAAAGTAACCCGGTATGGCTGATATATATACAGACAAGGGTAGTATTCTGAATATTTGAAAAATACTAATTTTATGAGTATTCATTAGGTACTATGTTTTAAATATATTAAAAAGTATTTTATTTCTTGAAAAAAATACTTATTCATAAACTTTTCTTATTGTATTTAATGCTTAACCTCTAAAATGTGTGTTTATTTTCTCGGAAAACTTTTTCGATTAGTAAAAATCAGAGTAAAAATAATTGTTCTGCGAAGGCACTCCACCAGGCATACTACTGCACACCCATAGATAATAATTAATTGATAGGCCATGTTATCAGACTCAGACGTTTTTTAATTTTCTATCTCATTCAGCAATAATGTAATTATTTGCAGTTATAATTGGGGAATACCCGTGACTAAACAAGCCAAATAGAATAAAGATATGATTTTAATATTACAGACAATAATTACTATCTCTCTACTATGCGTAAATTTACAGTTCGTTTTTAAAAGCCGAAGAAGCTAATTTTACAAAACTTTACTGTGGATTAAAAAACCCCTGAACCACCCCCTAAAACCGATACTGCAACTACCACACATACATGCATGCATGCATGTAAATTAGTTTTTAGTTTGAGGAAAAATAATCTTATTTAGATGTATATTTGTTGTTCATTTATTGTACTTAAACCCTAGAATTTATTTACTAATATACCACTGGTCAAAACTAAATGGTATCAATTGTAGTTAAAATAAATAATAGGTAACTAAATTTATGAATGTTTACTGATCAGTTGCCTAGTACCTACACATATACGAATTAATTATTATTAATTATGATTACAATAAACTCTGCAATAATTTATGATTGGATTGGGGAGGGGGCGGAACTGAGAAACAGAGCTTCTCCGGTTTTTTTATTATTATTTTTTTTTTTTTCTGGAAGTCTTATCAAGTATTTCTGTTGGAAATTTGGGACAACGTATATTTTTGCATATTTTTAAGACATGTACTCGTATTTTTTATTATTATTATTAATTTAATATTTATTGTTCAGGAATAAATTATTTTCATTATTATTTTGACTGTATTTACCATTGTTGAGTTATCACTCTTTAATTTTTTCAATTCAAACATTGGAAATTAATACTAAAATACAATCTTACAAATACCTACAATAATCCTTTTACAGATCATTTAACATGATTATATGAACTTTGTAAAGCTTTCACCACATACACGACAAACTTTTTCTGTATTCAAAATGTCTTTAAATATCGTATTGTTGGAGTTTGTTATAGTCGTTGATTTATAGTGAAATTGACATTGTTATGTGTACAGTAGAAAGCCCAACAATATCTGAAAAAGAGAAGCGATTTTACACGTGTCTTGCAAAGTTTTAATTTACATTTCTATAGTACGAGAATAAATAATTTGGGAAGGAAAATGGAATTGACTATTTTTAAATGTTTTTGGAAAACATCTAATTTAAAAACCATTAAATCATAGTATAGTTCACAAAATAAAGATTTTCGTAAATATTTATAATGTATTTACATTATCAAAGGTAAGATAAAAAAGAAACTATAAAAGTTTTCTTAGAGTTTATCTTAATAATATGAACAAACTCGGATAGTTGGTGTTGGAAATTAAATGGTAGTAGAGTTAGTTCGACGTCAGTAATTTGTAATTACTAATAGATATTATTGCCGAAAACAGCGTTTGTAGACGGGTGTGTGAATATTTAATTTCGCCATGTGCGATATCCACATCGTGTTAGCTATTCGTACTTTAAAGAGAAGTAATTTGCACGATAATCGGATAGTGGACGTGCACCCCGAAAAGAATGCCGTGGCATTTCATCCGAAATGCACTGGTCACGTTTGTTATTAGTCACCCCTATTTTTACGTGTGTTCGGAAAATCCGTTGGATCGCCGCCGCCGCGCCGCCACTATCGGTTACACCCGTTTGTGTGTGCCGTATAAACGGTCGGACGGTGAGAGACGTATGTACGCGTATCTGAACAACGGTGAAGCGGCGCGGGTAACAACCGTGGTAGTTGTACGACGGTTTTGTGCGGGAAGGGGATGGTCGGGGGATTGTCGAGGAAATATTGCCGTGCCCGAACTTGGTAGATAGGTACGCGTTACGACTTGTACGAGTTCACGTGTGTGAACGCCGCTTGCCCGGTTCCCACCGCGTGCGCACTAAAACCGGTTACTTGCCAACGCCATCGGGCACTGTGGTCGTCGGTTGAACATTGGGGGGGGACGGTTCCTCTGAGAATGTACGTTACGAAATTTTTATAGCGACGCCACTACACTAGTCGCACGGGTTCGTTCGCAACGGTCGTTTGTTTGTCGTTTTCGTCTCCCCTCGCCGTTCAGTCGCCGCCACCGCTGGCGCGCGTTCTTTCCCCCACCCCATTCGTCTTCCCTAATATTAGTGTATAATAATTCAGTACCGTTAAAAATTCTCCTGTTTAGGAATTAAATTTTTTATTAATCATTGATTTTTGTTTTTCCTTTGCAAATTCTGTTTTTCCCCAAATGTCTTCTGACGTGTTTAAATCGTGATACTCGCGGTTGTGGTGCGCGCGCAGCACGTTGTCGTCCGTGCGGCCGTCCCCGTCCTGTTCGGTGTGATGCCGTTGTCTTTCAAAAAGATCTTCTCTCGAAAACTACTGTTCAGCCCCAAAGTCATGGGCGGCGCAGCGTCTCATCACGAACCATTGGACCGAGTCGCCAACCACGCAAGCTCGTCGTTCAGACGTTCGGCCAGTTGTCGTCACAGCAAAGCCAATAAGGTACTTACTATGCCGTCCAGTAACGGCCACAATAACGTCAGACGGTGGTCGTCGAACACGCGTTATTCTCGATTGAATAGTCTTTGTAAAATATGTAAAATCCCGTTTGTTGCAATCGTCTTCGTTCCCAGCCGTGGTTCTTGCCGACGTGCTACTGTGCGCGACCTTGCTCGCGCATATCGTCGTGTAATAATATTATGCTAATAATATAAATTTAAAATTATTCACGTAGCTATAACACGATATAACGTTCACGTTTTCAGAATAGAAATACACACAGTCGCACATTGTTTAATGTCCTGTGGGCGTTTTACCGATAGATAATTACTAAGTTTTGCGACTTGCCAGAGACAATAAACATACAATATTATATTATAACACGATTTCGCAGTAGGTACCTACCATTGTACTCGTCCAATCGGTAGTTTTTACGAGTTACGACATTGTGTAGTAATTTTTTTTTCATTTAAACACTCGAAAACCAAACGACTTGAATGTCGAAATGCGTTTCATAGTACCATGTGAACTTTATTACATTTTAATCATTTTATAGCGTCTAGAAAATGTATAATTAATCTCGGAAACTAGGTTGTTTCCATTTGGTATTTATCTACGACTTACTTAAGGTATAATACGAAATTACAGGTACCAGGTACTTACGGAATATCAAATAATGTTCTCTAAGCATCCGCCGAGTGCCTACGCAATTTGTTTCGTTTTTTAAATTATTGAATGTAATGTTGATGGTTAACGCATAAAACCATGTACCAAGGTATCAAAAATATCAACCAACTATTTAAGAATTAACGATACCAGGTATAATATGTACCTTTTTTAATATTAAATTAATGAATATTTGATCTAACTTCACAGTACCTATGTGTAAGCAAATAGGTACCTACCTAAATATATTATTTTATGATAGGTTTTTGATGTTTTTAAAATAATTATTCTATTGTAGATGGGTACAATGTAGACATATTTTATTTGCAGTTTGTAGTTTCACATCCTTACGACCTTACCATCGATTTAAATCCATTAATACCTATTAATTTTTATTAATTAATACCTGATTCATTTTGAATCAGTGGGTGCTTAAAATAGTAAAATGGCATTTCACGAGTATGTGCCCCTAGAGGAATTTAAATATTTTAACGCGAGACTCTATGTAAACATTTATAATATATAGGTATATACCTACTTCTATACAAAAAAAATACTGATCTTTTTGGAAAGGTATTTTAACAAACATACCTACGTGGTTAAAAAATAAGAATAAAATCGATATACTGTTATTTTGACATATAGCTAGGTATATTGAATTTCTTAAAAATGTATTTGTGTAAATGGTTTATAAATAGAATCGAAGAAAACGAAGGTATGAACATTTTGTCTAGATTCTGAATGACTGAGATTCAACTCAAATGCTCAATAGGTTATGGTTACCTATATCTTAACGTATCAAGTTCAGTACCGATATAGACAAACGTGTATTTATTAACCGTTTTCGGCGGGGAGGTGCTCTTTTTAAATACCATTCTGAGGCTCCAAAACCCGTGCTACTTTAATATAACACGACTATTTCAAAATAACAATTTTGGATAAAGGCTGCAGCCACCTCAACCCCGCCCATAAATACACCCCCATAGGTAAAGTTGGTATCTGATAAAAATTATGTATACCTAGGTATCTATAAAATATATTACTGATAAATGATATTTAATAAGTATTAAACAATATCATATTTAACAGTTCAACACTGCGAGATATTAAAGACATGGCGATATGTAATATCGAATAATATAATATTAGGTACATACCTACTTACTTTTTTTGTGTGAATTATTTTCTAGCATAAATTCATTAACGCAAATAGAATGGAGGGTTGGGCTCCCGAAACTCAATTAAGCGGCCTCTCCAAATCAAGTTCTCGTCAAGTAATCGCCTACTATTAAGTATACCTAGTTTTTTTAATCATTAATTATTATGGAGGGTTTAAGTGTCGTCTCTAAAGAAAACAAAAATATTTATATATATGTATATTTTGGCTACTTGCGCCTACGCATAAGTCGGCATTAATTGACTGTATCCATAAAAAATAATGGCAAAGTCTTTTATGTATGCCATTTTTATTTTCTAACCTAAACTTGTAAAGCCCCTTGTAAAATATACCGGTTTAATAAAATGTTCAATATAAATTTTTTTATGAAATACTATTAACCCAAGACAGCCCAATTGGCGCCATCAAATCGAAAGCTTTAGGACAGGGGTCTTCAACCCACTGCCCGCGATCACATTTGAAGTATAGCATGTCATTTCTGTTTAGATAAAACTAGAACGGCTATAAGCCATCGCTTTCGAAAAAATTAGGAAAAATGCATTACGATAAATTAAATTACTTACCTACATAAAAATGTTGACTGTTATCATCCAAATATGGAAAAATTGATTACCTAGCGAAAAATAATGTCAGTTATCGCATTAAAAATAATGTGTCATTCAAAATTGAAATATGTTAATCTATATAGGTATGTTTTGATAGTAATAGTAGTAATGAAGTAAAAGTTTGTAATTTAAAATTTAATCGTACAAATTATAATAAAACTGAATTTTTCTATAAAATACATGTTTTTACTACGAATGCGGCCCGCGAGATTTGTATAAAATAATTTGTGCCCTCTGCATATAAAGGTTGAAGACCCCTGAAGCCCCCTTGGGCTTTAATATAATAGTATAATACTTATACTACAGTATTTAAGCAATTAAGTATCTGTTCGAACGAGATTTAAAATAAGCTAAATTTATGTGTGATGTATTGCAACTATTTTTTATTTTTTTTAAACATTACCATTTTTTTTACGTTGATAAAACTAAATTATGTGTATAGAATATTAATAGCTGATATTTATGTAATAAATCAAAAATAATTACGTATTAAACGTAATTAAATTAAGTCATAATAACTTATAAATGTAAATAATTATCCCACTCTAAAGCGATTATTAAAATATTTTTAAAAACTGTACCTATATAATACTATTATTATTATAATATTTCATTAGTACTCGCATAAAATAATGAATGGTAAAGTTAATAAACATACTATGGGTAATTATTATTATTGAACGTTATAGAATGTTTCACGATCATAGTGTTTAGTTTGTCTTACGGTGGGGATAATATGCGAACTCTATAATCCCACTAGCTATAGGCGCATACTACGAAAAATCTGAACTCTGTATAGTGAGACATTCTGCAAACTATGCATAATTTATTGTGGCGACTTTAATGGGCAATAGAAATGTTAATACGAAGAGATTATTATTATTTTTTAAATATATAGTTGCAGTTGATAAAAAAAAAAAAAACAAAAATCATTTTCCTAGTTGAATAATTTGTCGTATTAGTTGGAAAACCATATTATTAATAATTATATTACCTATTCGTCGTTATTACGTTAATTCCAGAGATAATTCGTCAAAATTACAATAGTTGTAATAACCTTATCGTATTCAATAATTACAATAATAACCGTAGACATATTATTAACCTGTGTACGGTTCTTTAGTCACTCCCCGTATATTGTATTGTGAGTTAACACAAGAGAGATAAAGATAGTAGATTGTATAGTATCCATATCTTTCCTACTCACTCGATACCATTCGATAGTATCTAGTACCTTCCCCATTCGTTCGATGTTCCCTTATGTTTTCTATGTCTAGGATCCGTCCATAGGTTAATAAGTCTCAGACTTCTTTTTACGGCAGGCCAAATCTGAGATACTCTTTGTTTGGCATCGTGGGTCGACATTTTTTAGAGGAAAAAAGAAGTAATGAAATAGAAGAATAAATGATAATAGATAAAATCTTTTTAGATTTTAGAAATGAATGTATAATATATTTTTAATCTGTATTACTCTAAATTAGTTTTATTGTGGTACGAGTAATGTACTATTAATGAGAAGTTTGGATTTGCTAGTCTTTGAAAATTTCTCGATAGTTTGCATTAAACTTCGTTGTTCCAATCAACAGCGTTGCTTATAAATGTTCGTCCTTTGATTCGGTTCTATAGTTATTAAGAAACAACATCTAACAAAAAAAAATTTATTTTATTATTTTTTTTTTAGTAAGAAATACTTTTGGTAAATGCATAAATGTATTAAAACATTAGTGAAATTTGATTTATTTAGGTGGATATTTATACTTAATACATTTTTTTTTCTTCAATTCGGTTTGCATAAGAACTTTATAGTACATGAGTACGTATATATGTACATATTACATATATTTTACACCAATGTAATAATGACGATTGCCTATGATGAAATCGTGTGCTATATTCGCTCGCCAGGATAATAAGAACCTGCAGGATATCCGCTATTTGTTTTTTTTTTTTTTTTTTTATGTTTCCGATTCATTTATCTAGAACAGCTTGAGATCGGCGGTGGTTTTGTGCAGCTAGCAAGAAAACAGCAGCGCGTCAACGTGTAGTATATTAACGTCTTATTTCCCCCTTTCGTGTTCGTATAACAATAGAACAAGGGTGGTGTAGACTCCCCTCATAGGGGTGCGTATACGAAATTTTGTGATATCCCTCATCGCGGCGGACTCTGTAATATTATTACGACGGTTTTGTCATCGCCTATACCTAGATTCCTAATACGTCGACCGGTCGACGATGGCAGTCTTGAGATCGGTTTAGTTATATTACACTGTTCGAGGTTTTTGTCGCTACTGTCTTTTTTTTTATTTATATTTTAGTAAACCTATCAAACGAGTTGCATACAGCATACCAGATGCACCACTCCCATACCATATTATTGACATATTTATAAATACACACGCACACACCGTTCAACCCCTATTGCATAATTCACGTTGCATGGCCCACGCCCAACAGAAAACATCTTGACATCCGTTATCGTTTCCGCAAGCAGCCTCCTGCTATTATAATGTGCGCCCACAAATATATTTTGTCTTTCTTCGCCGCCGCCGCCGTGCACATTTCCGGTCAATTTTAGAAACTCTTCACGTATTACAGCTCTCTGTACCTATACATCAACTATTGTGTCAATCGACCTTGTTAATTTAATTAACCGATACAATAATAAAAATATGTGTACGAGAGGCGAAATAAATTTAAAAAAAAAAAAACAACAAAAACCTATTCTTCGCCAATCGATTTTTATCACATCGCTCATTCCGGTCCATCGACATTAGTTTTTGTGCAATTATACGACGACAAGATATTCTTGTTTTTTTATATTATTTATTCTTCAGGAATGTTTCTTCGCCGGTTGACCTTGCACGGGGGCTTTCACGAGGTCGTTCACACGGACACGGACGGAACGGCGGCGGCTATAACGTAACGTTATGGCACAATTGTTGGAAAATCGATTTTTGTCTTTTTATTATTTTTGTCTTCCAGGTGGCTTATGGTAACGTGGTTGTTTACGCCGCGGGGGCTATTTTTAAAACGCACCACCGCAGATTATTTGGTGCAGCTGCATTAGTATATATTATTATTATTATTATTATTATAAGAGAGCATCTGGCTACCGCGCGTTAATATTGCGGATTTGTGTTGGTGTAGGCGTAGTCTGTGGCTGTTGAGGTTCGTCGTACCCACTGCGACTGCTGCGGTGTTCGTGTAGGTTAGGCATTACAATACGCGGCGCGTAGAGTGAGTCTCCCGACGAAGTAATGTACGTGCGTAGAATGTTGCGCCGGCAGAGGCGTTTGTAGATACCACCTTGTTTCGACGGTTACCTGATCGTCGTCGTCGTGTTAAGGGGCGTTCACACTCGGCGTTTGGTTATCACGCCGCTGTCCGTTGTTTACGTAACCACCGCTCTCTTCGATTTAATACGCTGTTGACCAATGATGTTGATGACCTAAAATGTATAACAAAGTGCTATGGTGTATGTGTATACTGCGTATACCTGCCTACCGCGTTTTATGGTATATTATCAAGTCTGTCGATCGCGGTGTTGAAATAATCATCAGCCAATAAACGTGAAATGTTTAGTTGTTGAAATGGTACACCCGCAAGCAAGAGTCTCGGCGCTAGTAAAAATAAAAAACAAAAAAAAGTTGCTTTCTTTCTGGTTCGCCGTGTTTATCGTTTAGCCTCGTACTCGACAAAAGACAATAATTATGTCAATAATATCAATGTTGCATAAATCTTTTAGACATATTATAGGCACTAATTATTAATTTTATTTTTTTAGTTGCAATTTATTATGCGTATTATAATCATTGAATTTGTTGTAAATATTGTGTAAAATAAACACCGTACAATAATAAAAAAACAGGTATCTATAATTTTCTTTTCTTTAATAGTTGCAGACCTTCAAATATTTACTATTTGTAATGTAGTTTACATTTATTTATGACGTGCATTATAATATATATATACATATACATAAATTGATACGCACAAATATGTTGTAATAATATAAATAATAATGTTGTCCTTTATTATGTGAATTTAAATTTGTTATACATTATGTGGATATCATATATAAGTGCATAGTGTATAAATTAAAATTGTCAGACAGATTTGTTGAACCCTTTAGCCTTTGAACCAGCTGTGCATTAGCAAAAATGCATCACGTTGCTATTATAATATTATGCATTACTTTTTTTGTGAAAAGGGTACGATGAAAGAGAGAGAGAGAGAGAGAGAGAGAGAAAGAGAAATGTTTTTGCTTACAGTATCGTTACACAATATAATAGATATCGTGAAGAATAATGTTAAAAATACTTCGCTTTTTTTCGTGATTTACTCTTAAAAATGTTGTGATATATTCTTTTCGTTTGTATGTTCAATTTTATAAATTATGTGACTATTATTCTTACTATAGTTAGTTATTAGATATTATTTTATTATGTTCCTGTCGTGCAATCATATAAGTTATAATATCAGTTACCTTCTCAGTCATTTAATTAATTTAATCTATTTTGTGGTTAATGGCTATATTATATTGTCTTTGCTAAAGATAATATTATTAAATATACCTAATAGTATGTTTAATATTTAAATCCTATGTTTATGCGAAAAATATCACGGATAATCAGCTATTAATTTATTAGGATTTTTTAAATAGGTACCAATTTAATACTATTTCGGGGTCCATCACACTGTCAACAAATGGATGATCTATATCCGGAAAAGCATTAATTCTATCTATATAATTCTTAATCACAATTCACATTACGCATCTCTCTAAACGAATAATTAAAATTGTTATTATTGTGAACAACGTCGTCGACCGTTGTTTTTAAGCATTATAAAACAATAGAAACAAACACTCTATCGTAGCAAATATAATATTATAACGAATTTTAATACCTATAAGTAAAAATATTATTTTATCTATACACCGTTCCGACAACGCATAATAATATTATTTTCGTGTGATTAAGAATTTCAGCAGGCGTAAGGACAGCGAATATTATTACCGCGTATGTTACAACATGGTTAGAAACTCCAGTCTATGACTCATATCACTATATATATATATATATATTGAGAAGGACTGGTCATTTTTGTAAACCGAACATAAATAATGTAGTGACTAGACACACCTGATGATAAATCCGTGTAAATTATGATACTGTAAATCATCGAACCGGCGATACTGATGAAAATCGTATGTCTTCGAATAATCGAATTATGTATAGTAGTATCTATATAGTACCATCAAATATTTTATACAATAAATTCAATGACAAATGGATATAAGTTTTGCCTTGTTGTAATAATACAATTTTATCACAATATATTGTATTCAAAAGTAAAATATTATTGTTATCGTAATATACCTGAGTCACCTGTGTTCGTATAGGAGTGATTCATTAAACAATATTAGGTTATTAGGTATTTGAATTTTAGTAGTAAGGTAAACTATAACGAGCAGAATTTCGATTAGTATTGGTATCTGCTTTAACATCAGGCTGTACACATAAGCACAATTAAAGGGTGTGTTCGGGTGTACTAAGTATAGTCAGTTTTAAAGGTAGCAATCTCAATTTTTGTTTGTGTTTATATATATATAGAAAATGTAGTATTCTGAATGTCAACTCAATATTAGTTTCTTCCTATCCGTTTTTTGAATATGTTTATAGAATCTATAAGTTATTTCGTATAAATATTGCTATATATAAATGCCAACATAATTTGTCTATTTATTTATAGATGTTATTAATTATCGGTTTTAGCTGCATAATGTGATATACTGATGATGTCAGTATAGTTATTAAGCTGTTTTGATTTTTAACTTTTTTTTAAAAATTAAAGGCGGATTCCCAAGCTATTCTGTATGCGTGTACGCGTATGTGTGGATCGCGTTGTGATTGGTTGTAGTATTCCGGTACATCATACTGTTACTAGGATACCGCAGAGTTGAACTCAAGTCAACTTTTCGACTTTTTGACTTATTACTATTTACTATTGGTTACTAATGTTTACTGATAATCATATTATTATATTATAAATATTGTGATAATCTACGTAGATCATAAACGGTGGGTGGAACATCGTTTTAATATGCACGTATACGGGATAGCTGGGAATCCTTCTTAAGAATGGAAATTGCTTCCTTGTGGTCTCAAACTTACCCCCCTCCCCCCCCCCCAAAAAAAAAATAATAAAAATAATAATCGACCAGTTGTCAAAAATGTTGTATTTCACTTAAGCATCGTGGTTTATTCAAAGTATTAATATGAAAATGTAGCTTCCCACGTAGTTCGATTTTTGTCTCATTCGTCACTAAACTGTCAATTTGCGTTTGTCTTGACTTCGTTCTCCTCGGTTTATAATTTTTATTTTGTTTGTTCATACTCCTACAATATTTAATTTTTTGCATAATATTTATAAGTAATACAATTTTAAAACGACTTTTGTAATGAAATATTGCGAAAAAATTGGTTTTGATAAAGTCAGATTTCTATATTAAATGAATAATGTCAATTATGTATATAGGTAGTATAGTATAAGTACTTTATTTAATAATTTGTTAACTTAAAAATATATGATCAAATGCATTTTCGAAGTCATGACATCTAATGTTAATTAATAATATTTTTAACAGTTTGTAGCATGGGTTGACAATATGCAGTGTTGGTAATTCAACCAGTTTTTTGGTCTTTTAGTCTCTTTCTGATAGCCCGATGTATAAAAATCGCCGGTTAGCCTTTAACCCAACCTAATTAGTCCACCCTTAATATTTTAATTTTTTTAAAATTATAAAGAGTATATATTTGTTAATTTAAAAAGTATAAAATTGCACTTATTCACCGATGTGTATACTCTTACGTTTCCTAATATGAATACTTCACTAATAATATGATTATTATCACAATCATCTTAACTTGTCAGCCCAAAAGTGTATCAAAACAATGTTCTATTTCAAAATATCTTTGTAAATATGTTTAAACTATTAATTACTTAAATAATAATAATAATAATAAAAAAATTAATATGATCTTGTATATCGCCTATTAATTTTAATTATATATATAAGCGATGGCCGACAAATATCTATATTAAAAAGAAATATCATTTTGTTGGCTGACGCCCATAAAATATGATCTAAACACAAAAATAAACAACTCATAAGTTCAAACAAATTGTATTAAAAAATATATACATATATAAAGTTTATTTCATTAAAACCATTATTAATTGAGTTTTCACAGTAATATTATAATAACTAAAGTTAAATCTGAAGCAGATAGTTTTTAAATAATAATTTAATCTATCAATTTTTGACAAATTAAACTGTTCAAAACAGTAAGTTTATACTGTATAATATACGGTATAACTATCTTAAATGATTATCAACCGCCGTCGTAATTTTTTACGATATAATACGATGCAGTAAAAATTAATTTCAAATGAACTCGATCACTGTTGTTTTTGAAATAAAAAAAAAAACACTTATATTTGAAAACTTCATGTAAATGGACGTCAAATTTTAAACTGAAACGCATATAGCACAATGGGTACAATATTGTACCAGGTAATAACATTTTTTTATTACGCTTTTATTCCATAATTAAAGTACATTACTAAATCAATTTTTCGCTTATAGGCTGTCGAACAAAATAGACAATATGCTACAATTTGGTTATCACCGTTTACCGATTATGTCTATCTAGATATTTGATAGCTGTTTTAGCTTATAATATTTATAACGCAGAATTCTTATTTTAAAAAATACATAATGTATAATTATAATATAGGTTAAGTAATTAATATGTACCCTTATAATTACCTTTAACTTGCCTTTAAAATTATAAATGAAATTTTAAATCTGTAACTTATTTACAACTATAACGGTTATTAGAAGTGAAGGTATAGTAGGTGTAATATAATAAGGGGTTAAGAGGTATAGACTCTTGTGAGTGTGAGTTTGTAAAGTAGGCAGTTTTTTTCGGAGGGCTTCAGCACTCCCAGATTTTTATCAAAATCTCGCGCCCCTGGGTGTAGATACATATGTTTAACGGATCGTCCAAATATTATAATATTATGGTGCGTCTATAAATAGTAAAACATTTTTTATGTCGTTTCCGTTGTTAATATAATATATTCACATACTTTTTACATCGGTGTCTGTTATCTGTATATATAATATATATACGAATAACACATATGCATACCATCAAGTCATGTTATAAACATTATTTTAAACTTTAATGTAATGTTTTAGTTATTTATTTTAAAAATTATTATAATACAAAAGTACGTATTAAAATATGCCTACACACGAATGTTTAAAATGATTATATTCATAATAACAACAGACTCGAATAAATTAGGTATATTAATTATACGCAACCTAAATGGGTAATAGACATTTTAAATGGTACCCACTGCAAATAATCGTGATTTTTGAACTTTGTTTAATACCCAACGACAATTTTCCAAATTTAAATCTACTGTAAATTAATATTTGTATACATGTTGAATTGCTATTTATATTACAAATATTATTCAAAATCATTTTTTATTCTAGATTAAAATAAAAAACTATATTATGGACTTATATATAAAACGTTCGAAGAACTAGCAGTCGATATGATACATATCATTTACCTAAAGGGGACTTTGAATTATATGTTATATACTCGTGTGATTAAATTTAGTTTGGGTGTCTTGTGTAATTTTTCACACGCCATTCATACCGCGGCAGGTAGCGTTCCTATCCCGTGTCCCGAAGACACTGAGATAATGGTTCTTTTTGTTGTTGGTGAGCCCCCCTCTTATGGGAATATGAACAGATGCATTACCACGTTTGAGATACATGTAATGGGGTCCAAATCGAAAAAAAAGACACTTTTCCCGTAATTTCACACAGTTTTTTCCGAATCAGTGTCACACTATCCATTGCATGTGAAATAACAATAATAACAAATTTATATTTATATACATCAATTAATATTTTACCGCATGCAATACCATCAAATGTGTTTCCTACTATAAACAATTGAATGGGTCAATGGATAAAAGGATAAAATGTTAACTGACATTTTTTTTTTTTTAATTTGATATTAGATCAAAATCGACTTGATTATGTCTATCACCCGTGTACTCTATTACAGACGCATACGAAATCTTAGAACAAAAGAAACATAAATCTATAAAGATATTCAATTGATGAATGAATTATATTTTATTATTTTTATAATTTTTGTTTATCCATAAACAAAAAGGGGAGGTTATAAAAAATGTTAACACCAATTACTATTTGTCATCCATTTCTGTGGACAAAGTTGTATTGTAGTAATATTTTCGTTTAAATTATACTGAACAATTTTAAAAATGTTAGTAAAACCTTTATAAATTTGTCTCGTCATGGTACTAGTTATTATCATCATGATATTTCATTAAAATCGAATACATTTTTATGCAAAATAGTAAACGTATACATTTCAAATTACATCGCACTCAATATTATTTATGTATACGATATATTATTATAATATGCGTCTAATAACCCTTATATGTATAGAAAACACAAGGTACCTACCTAATTTTTTTTTTTTAACATTGAACTCAGAACGGGTATGCGAGTATGATTCTGTTTTACCGGGTATAAAGTCGATTTGTTTATACAAAGACTACCATATATTATTATAATAGTAATGGTGAAAAAAAAAATCTACATAGACCTAAATTAAATACACTGCATGCCAACCAGATGTTCGGTTTTCGTTACAAAAACCATTCGACCGAGCTATTTGGATCAGCAGTCATCGTAATTTATATTTTCGTAAATATTATCGATTGAATTTTCGTAAGAGGAAGTCGGTCTGGGATTTGGACGTTAATCTGTTTGAACGACGGCCAGCGAAAGCCGTATAAGAGGAAATTGCATATTGTGGCCGTCTAATATCATAGCCTCGTGCGGCTGTGCCACGCGCACACGACACGTGTTTAATACTTTAATACTCTTCCGTTTGCCAACACACACATAGAGATATCTCGTGGGAACTATTTAAAGTTAAAAAAAATATATCCCTTAACGTGATAATCGTGAAATAAAAAGAGGTAATTAAAATTATAGACAACAAATGGCTATATTTTATGAAGGTTGGAAAGCCAAAAATGCGAAAAATAAAAACTTGTATCGTGATATTATTTAATATTTTATATGTATAAAACTTATACGGCATCTTCTATTAAATATATATTATTATAATAGAATAGAACTGGTGAAAGTGCGTATCGTTTATATTTTTTTACTGGCTGCTAGAAATAATAATAATTTATTTTTTATGTTGCACAGATAAAACATGCACAGACGTATAAATAATAATTATAATGCGTTTAAATATTTATAGTGTCACCGTCGTAGCAATCTTATCTATAGTAATAAAACCTATATTATTATGATAGCGTGTGCGTGCAATGTGTGTCTTATAGTTATAAGAACTCACATCTGAATAAAAACATATTTATTTCTCTCTTGAGTCCATTTAAATATTTTACAGTCTCTGTCAAAGCGCATATGGTTTTATAAAAAAGTTATGACGAATAAAGCATACATAATATTTTATGTTTCATGTAAGATAGAAATTGCGGTTATTGGTTTCCTACTAAATCATATTAATGTTATCATTATTATTAGTATTTTTTCTTTCTAGAAAAATTGTTCGATTATTCAATTAGAGTAATGGAGTGTATAATAACTTCTACCTAATTATTGTATCGTGTTTTAAAACACTAAAATCAATAATTTTAATATTTAACGAAAACATGCGAATAATTATTTCGTACGTAGCTATGTATAATACTATGAAGGTTCAATATTAACGATTTGATAACAATTTCGATGACAATGTATGGCAAATCACAGATTGTGTTTATTATCATGATAAGGGCATCTTTGGTCCCTGTAGGAGTCAATGTCGTATAGTTTTCAATGCAAGCATATTCAATTTTGAAAATGCGTACGACTTGTTTATAAATTAATATAATACATACACTAATTTTTAAAATACACACATTTATACCATTTAAACTAATAAATAAAGTAGAACAATTAAATAAGTCTCTCGAACCAAAGATACAGAGTTTTCAGAATTTCATGTAGTTACAATAAAATGTTCCGTAAAATACTTATTTTTTCAAAAAATACCTTATGGGCATACTTTTGGAACCATATATTCTAATATGTTACAATATTTTCATATTTTTACGGGTGAAAACTACCGTTTTTAATTTTTTAATTTTTCAAATAGCATCCCGTATAAATTCCATAAATACATGAGGTTTTAGTTTAAATACATTTTGCTGTTGATATTTTTAATTTTCATTAACAAGATATTGCATTTTTAAATTTGGGTAGAGAGAGTAGTTGACTAACATTTATATGGCGATACATCTCACATCATTTGAATTTCGTTACGCTAATCTCCCCCAATCCAATTTTAAAAGTGCTATATCTCGTCAACAAGTCGACGAAAATTAAAACTACATTTGATATATTCAATATATTTGATAACTTCATCTATTTATAGTATTTTCACTATACATTGCTATTTGAAAATCAAAAATGGTTAGTGATTTCATTCCCAAAAATAAAGGTAAAGTAATATTTTAGAATATCTCTATGATCCTAAAAATTGTTTACGTACCTATCTCATTTTTTGAAAAATAAGTGTTTTATGTAAAATTTGACTGTAAAATGAAATTCTGAAAACTCTGTTTTATAAAATTAATGTTCTGTGCTAATGATGTTATGCAACTACTACTACTACTACTACTATTCCTATAAGCAATACAGGTCATGGTGACCTTTGGCTTCTAAAACGAAGTCATGATGGACAACTTAATTTCGACACGAATCACGAATATATTATAATAATCATTTAGGGAGTTTGTCAAAACTCAATAGCAGAATAAATTAAATAGGCACCTGGTATCTTTTTTTTCATAGTCACAATTTGAATGGTACTTTATATTTCAAAATGTCAGTTATGCATGATTTTATTATATTATAATATATTAGTAGTACTTAAACACATTCCGTACAGCAATTAATTGCTTGTATTTACGTCAAAATAAGTGCAGTTTACACGGCCAAAAAAAAAAAAAAATCGCATTACAACTTTCGGGTAAAACAATAAAATATGAGCAGTATCTATAAAATTACCGTCTACTGATGGCTGTAGTGGCACTTGTCATGTTAAGTATACACCTACTATATACGCATAATATAGTGTACATCATTTTTTTTATTCCCTAGTATTCGAGCACGTGTATCACTCGAAAAACATGAATACAATGTGAGTTTCCGGACGGCGCAGGACGGGGGTGAATTTAAGGGGTACGAGTGTTGCCGAGACACAATATGGCCATCGTTCGAGAAAACTGGAATGATAGCAGCACAAAACATGATATGTATAATACGCGTGCACGTCATATCCATATGGTCCTAGTAATCGGTTATGCATTTATTACTATTCAAAAAAAAAAAAAATGTATTATTACAGGAGAATGAGAGGGAGTAGTTTAAAATAGTGCATAATATGGTTTTAATAATAAGCAATGCTTGAATTTAAAAAATAGAAAACGAAAATGTTTATAAAATAAGTACATACTTACCTATACGTTCTCCTAATTCAAACACTGTGTATAGGTCGAATTAGGTATAGATAGGAGAGTATATGTGGAGTCGGAAGCATGGATTATAAGAGGGAGGGGGTTGTACTGATTATCAATTATTTGGAATACGAGTGAATTGAGAGTTTAAAAAAGAAATAAACTCATGTAATCATGTACTGATTTTTAAATGAGCCGATTAAATGAGCCGATTAAAAAACTCCTAACCAACCTACCCTTTATTTACACCTCTGTGTTCAGGTGAAACAATGGCATCGGACGTCCGGAGATATATAGTGGATGAGAATAAGAATAACTAACGCTGGTAGAGTTAGTTTAAGCTATATATTAATTATTAATTTTCAATTGCATAATGTTTTGATTACTCAGCTTCATTTATTTTGAACAATAAATATGGTATTTATAAGTTTATGGCCGGTAATTCGATCTATATTATAGTCGTCTCGCTATAAATCACTTATTGTGGTTTTATCATCAACCACAATGAGTAGTAGGAGTAGCAGGACAACTACAAATACGTATCATCTATATAAGTATTCGGTTTCCTCCTCAAATATTCAGTTACTCCGTACACATTTTCAACGGATATCCGTCCATGTCACTGGGACACTTCTACAAGATTGTATCATTCATTAGAAGAAACGGACGTTTCGTCTAGACAATTTTTTTTTCAACGGTACATTCACGTACAGTAATTTGTTATCCATATCGTTCGGATCATTATTATTTCAAACGTATTATATTACCCTAATTCGGGTTGGAATATTTTCATGTTTTTGTTTTTATTATATGTATGTATGTGTTTGTTTTCACGGCGTTTGGTCATAGCGACTCATAACAGCAACGGCCTTCCTGGGTCTATATAGACGACAGGCGGCGCGCGCAGTGGTAACGCACGGAAATATTCGCGCTCGACCGAGCGTGAACGCGGAAGCGTCCGCCCAAAGGGTTTATCCCACGGTCATCGTTTCGCACTGATCTCCTCTGTGCTGTGGCGGTAACCTGATTAAAAAAAGTAACCGTGACGCTGACGGTCAACGCACTTGTGATGCGCGTAGACCGACGGGGTGTGTACCGTAACGCGTATACCGCAGATAGTGCCGGGGTCGCGTATTGTCGAAACGTACCTACGATAATGATGTTATATGTATGTTATTATATACAGAACGGTTGTTTTTTATTGGCTACCAATCAACGACACAGGGTATCCGAACCGGATTCGGGTTTTCAGGGTGTCCTGAGAAGATATACCCATTGTAATATCTCCAGAGATATTAAAGATAATCATATTCTGGTTTTTTTTTTTTTTTTACATATTACTTACGAGGATACAGGCAATAAATTTAAACTTTAATAAGTATTTTATATTATGGTTGAGAAACTAAAAGAGTAACTTTATTTTATTATTTACGAGAAAGTTAAATATGGTATGGCCATTTTATAGAATTTATATTATCATTATTCTGAAAATGTTGACTTATTAACTTTTATTTTCATTAAGTTTATGATGTTTAATAATTTTTTAAAGTTCAAAGAAAAAAAATTTAACTGTCAATTAGCGAAGGCGATTACAGTCTACTAAATAATTGTATATACTTTTCTAAAAAATTATTAAAAATCACGAATTTAATCAAAATAAAAACAGAATTTGATTATTTTTATTATCTTAGGAGATATTTCAATGGGTATATTATCTTCGTTGGACACTGTATAATGCGAATTACGGTCAGATGAATTTTTTTGGGCTCATGTCGATTGAAAAACGTTAGTTACAATATAATACGAGACGTTTATAAGTTTGAACAATAATGTTCCATTGTAGCATATTATACGAAATAACCGAACCTAAAAGGCGTTAAGTTTTGAAAAGAAAAAATAGTAATCGGTTTTCTTCGTACAAAAATATACCTTCCTTCGGTACACTGTAATAGTCACGACTCGCGTGAAACGTGATTTGTACACGTTTTGATAGTAAGATTGAACTCTACTGTAATACGGTGTACGAAATATTATAATATAGCTATAAGGTATACCTTCCTTAAAATCACGTTTTACGAGAAAGCCGTGAAAGCGCTCGTTTAATCCTCGATATTACCTTATAGCCGTATACCATAGTTATAGGTTACTTATTTACATGGGCGCCCACAGGAAATTTATCAGGGAGAAGCAGTGTCTTTGTAAAGTTTCGAATGACCTTTTTTTTACTTATAACCCTAAACAAAATTATATAATTATCTAATTATTAAAATTATATTTTTAAGTCCGGGAGGACGTTGCCTCGTCTTGTCCCCCCTCCAGGTGCCCATGTTTACCCGGACTATGACTATTATCATTAACCTGTGAATAAATAATATAATAATTTTGCGTTTAAAACAATTCAAACTAATTGTTTTTATAGGTGATGTGATTAAAATCATAACTTTACTTGGTTATGGAATTTCGAAAAATAAAGTACGTTACAAGCAGTGGCGTGTCCAGGAATTTTCAATGGGAGGGGATGTAACAAATAAAAATCATGAATAAAGAGTAAAATCGTTTGCTCTACCCAACTCGACTATAGGAATTGGTAATCTAAAAGTCGAATCCTATAAATAAAACCAATTTCTAAACAATACATCAAGCTTTTCCTCAGTAATCGGCTGAAATTTATGAATTTCGATATTAGATTAATCATATTTTGTTGTACTTTTAAGCCAATAGGGGTTGTATAACCTCATCTTATAATCTAATATAATGTATCGTTTGAGGTACTGCAGTGGCATACCTAATATCTTTCAATGAGGGGTGGGCTAAATTAAAAAAAAAGCTAATACTGGGGATGAGGGGTTGGGAAGGTAGGATACATAAAGTTATTTCATTTATATCTGTAAGCAACGAGAAACTATTGTTTGACGAAAGACAACTCCGAACGCAGTTCGGTAATACATAATTTGAATATTGTTGTAATTTTTTTTTTTGCGATTTTTTTTAATCGCAAATTTAAATTTGATTTCAAAATGTTTATTAAAAATAAAAAGTCGTCCAATGATTTTAAAAATTTTACCATGTCTAAGTAAGTCCAATATAAGTATTGTTACCAAGTTTTAAGTCTCTACGTGTAAATAGACGAATAACCAAATTACAACAAAAACTCCCAAAAATTAAAATTCCTTAAAAGCTCAAAAGTGGCTCGAAAGTTTTGGCGATGATATCGTAAGAAATTAAATCAAAAAGAAAACAAAAAAGGTATCTTGTGATTTTTCGATTAAATTATTTTTTTCTGCTAGAAAACGTCGTCCGTGTTTTTATTTAAAAAATGGCGTCGAAAATCGAAAAATGAGAAAGTTTACTAGGATAACACATGTCCACATCAGACTAGAACAAAGAAAAAGAAGAAAAAAAAATAAACAGCATTGTAAAACCAATAACCCCTCGCTACGTTCGGAATCTAAAAACTTGACCAGACGTTTTGAAAAATACATAATTATGTAATACAATTATTTGTACTTGATTGATAAGTAGTGCAAATGTACATTGATTATTATTTTATTGGTAATTTATCACTGAATTGGAGGGCTATAAAAGTCTAGAACTCTATAATCTGGGAACGTAAGAATCCGGAATTTAATATTCCAGAAAAATATCAATGGTTTTTAGAAAAACGTTATTTCAAAATCGTCAAAACTTGTGCGAGTATAACGCAAAAGAAGATTTTTTCTATTGATTTATTGTTTATAAAAATAATCTATATTTACAAATAGATAGTTTATCTCAAAGTAAAAATAAAAAAAAATTTACATTCGAAATTATAAACTTTTATCTGTCGGGTTTTTTTTATCATTTCATATTAAATATAATATTATATTATCCATCATTCCATCGTTTTTATCGATGGTTTAAACTTCGTGCAACACCTCGTCCATTGGATTATTTCCCTGGAAATTTTCTTCTCGACATCTCGTCGTGTTTAATTTTTAATCGACGAATTTATTTTCATTTCCAAGACCGTTTTATTTATACCGTTTAGTATTTACCACATCGTATAAAAATATAATACATAGGTATGCAGTATTGCAGTGTATATTACATGATGACGGTTTGAGTATAATAATAATTGTTTTATGATTTAATTTCACTTTTGAGAATATATTGGATTGTCGTGTCGATGATAAACAGTCCCGTTATGACATTGAAAAAAGACACAATATCATCATAAATATGTTTATTTTTCTATTTTTTTTAACTAGGTAGGTATAATATAATATAATATCTGGACACGAAAAATCAACCAAAAAAATTTGGCTCTTGACGTCTCTCACTGTCACATTTGCCATACGCGATTTAATTATTAACACAGTATGGAATAATTTTTATGTAACATTAATAATCACTTTCTAAATTAGACTTTTAATTACTCCCATATAGGTACACAATAATTATTATAGACATTCGGGTTTAGATATAATATTTTTATTTATTAAAATTATTAACAACTATTTTAAACAAATACCTACTTAATATACCTTTGATTAATTTCTAAATCTATATAGGTAGGGTTGTAAAACAAAATACATTTGCATTTTTTGTTATCGTATAAAAAATGTTTGTTAGAAAAAGTTTTTTTTTACAAAATTGTATATCAATGTACTATAATATACAAAACTATAAAGCTTTATGTTGTGGAATAATGAGTCCGACTAAATTATTATGGTCATATGTATAAAACTAGTCGGAGTCTTTATAAAGATAGTAACCCACATTGAAAGCCATCTATCGCATTACGAAATAATAATAGACAACGCACAACAGTTAGAAATAATTCTTTCCTCCAACCTGTACTAGCTTTATTTTGTAAATACTCGTATTTTATTTTTGTAAACAATAATTACTCTTGTGTTTTGACTGTATAAGTATTATGTACATAATGTAGTAGACAGTTACATTATAATTTAAAAACAAAATATTGCTGATATAGCTAGAAAAAATTAAGTAGGTATTATTATTGTTTGTAATTTTAGAAAAAAAAAAAATATCAATTGCACAAAGATTTAATTTACAGTCTTCTACTTCGTGCCTTCATTCCAGCTATTTGGAATTGGTCACGCTCATTCCAAACTTCCACTTGACTCGACCTCCTACCTCGCATGCACTCGCTGTCCTCACATCATTCTCAATAGATTTCAATTAAATTGAGAATATTACTTATAATAATAATTCAAAATAAGTTTGGTATATTGTAAGAAACAATTAAACAGGTCCATTTGTTCATCAATATATTGTTACCTAGTTAAGAAAAACAAACATTTATACATTGGGTTTGCCATTGATTTTATAATATACTTTATTAAGATTAAGTATAGGTACACTATAAAATAAATGGTGTGCTACCAGAATTTTTCTACTAAAAGTGGTATCAGATTTTATTTAGTGGATGCAGTGGAAAAAAATTCATTATTTTCCTTGTAGTTTCCTCAATAATGTGGGAAACTGTTGAAAAGTACATTTCATTTTACTACATTTTGGTTATTTTATACTTGCCCTTCCTAGACGTGATCAAATTTTGAAAACTATCTGGTGATTTTTGATGTATAACTTTTATCAAAGCTTTTACTTAAAGCAATTTGAAATTTTTTTTTAATTTTTATTTAGTTTATGTGGATAAAATTGTTTTAGCCCTGCAAAAATGCTCGAAAATTATTCGACGTTTCATCATAGGTTTTTCCAAGAAAACTATACAAATGTTGAAAATCCGAAATCACGATATTTGTATGAGTGTTGAAAGTTTTAATTTGTATACAAATCGTGACATTAATAAATATGTTTAACCAAACTTCGCTCAGATTTGTTTTTGGTTATCAATGATTAATCATTTCGTTTAGATAGAAATTTAATTACTCTTCCATATTGTATTATACCTTTCCAACATTTTTATTAAAATGTGTTAAAAAAAAAAACTGGTACACGATAAAGATCACCAGATGGGTTGACCTATAATTGAACTCAAGCACAGACCAAAAGTTGTTATCAAATTTTGATAATAACTATTATTAAATATTAATATTCTTCAAAATAGAAAAGTTTGACAAAAGTTTAAAATTCAGTAAAGCAGTATTGAGTGTTAAAAATAAGATTTTTGTATACTTAAATTATGGTTCTTATAAAGACAAATATTATCAGTTAAATGTAGTTTAAATTATTATATACACAAGTTATTTCATTTATTTGCATACAATTTATAAATATTATGAATATTAATAAAAAACATCCATGTTTTTTTTTAGATGATTTGAATGTGTATATCAGGTAGGTATTATACTATATAAATATGATCCTATGATAAATTGATGGTTGCAGCCTGTACATTATATTTTTTAATAATGTGAGGAGAAGCTTATAGCCTAAAATATACACAATATTTTTTTTTTTAAATTTGACACCTAATAGTAATAATAGTAATAATAATAATGATTAACATTATATTTTATAATTTTAAAATCAAATGTTAATTATTCATTAGGGAGTAAGAAATAAGATATGGTACAAATAATTAAATATTTTATAGGCTTAATTTTAAAGATAGAATATTTAATTATTACCAATATAGTTAATTACCTATCTACTTTTTGTGCATAAGTAGGTAGGTACTTGATTTTCTTTTAACAAAACTGAGTATTATAATTATCAGTTAATTTGAGTAGTTTTAATTGTAACTATGTAACGTAGGTATTAAATTCTAGTTTATGCGTGTGTAGGTAATACATTTATCTAACCACTAGAACCAAATTGTGACTATTTTATATCATACTATTTAGTTTTATAAAGCAGTTTCAATAAACATTTATAGATTGTTATAATAAACTTATATTCATTATATTTAAACTGCTGTAAATATTGACACTAAATTATGTTTTCCTTTTAAATATTATTTTAGAGTGGACGGTCTCCATCAAAAATGGACCGATTACGGAGAAGTTTTCGAGATAGTTTCAGACGCCGTAAAGATTTAGGAAATCACACAGGATCACCAAGTCATCATTCTACTCCAAAACCACATTTGTGGGCCATGGACGAGGCTGAAGTTAGGGCCGGAATTTGTTCCTTTCATGTTAAAGTAAATATTTTTATCAAAGCATATTATAAATTATAAATTTAAATATAAACTTAAAATTTTGATAATTTGTCATTTAACTACTTTTACTAATATTTGTTGACTTAATTAAAACAAAATTTAGCAAATTTTAATATATTATAATATCTTTTTTATTAGATGTTATATTAATATTAGTACTTACCACATTAAATTTATATTACCCCATCCAAATGTTAGACATTTGTAAAAACAGTGAAAAAAATTAATAAAAACCTATGAAAATATATTATAATACTGTGATGCTTGAATTACTAAATTTAAAAATAAATATGTATTTTGACCATGAGTCTAAAACAATATTATATTATTATCCTTAATTTATTATGAACATGTAAGAATTCAAATGAAAATAATATTTACTCAAATTATATTATATAGTTTGATATTTAAAGTATACTTAGTTCCTTATGCTTAAAGTGCATATTTAAAAATGTAACATATGAGAAACCAAGATGGTCTAAATTTCAATTAATATAAGAATATTTAATGGACAATACAAAGTATTGTTAAATTAAATTAATTTAATAATAGTTTTAAGGAATATTATCTTGGTTTTTACAGTATTTGGGCTGTGTTGAAGTATTTGAATCGAGAGGAATGGAAGTATGTGAAGAAGCATTAAAAACACTTAGGGTAAATGGTATATTCATGTGCTATTATCAAAAAATATTCAACATTGTTTTTTTTTTTAATTTTCAGGGGTCACGACGCAGACCAGTTAGAGCTATATTTTATATATCTGGAGATGGATTACGTGTTGTTGAAGAAGAAACCAAAGTAAATAATCAAAAATATATTTATGTATAGTGTATATTTTTATTATAAAATTTTTATTTGTTAGGGATTAATAGTTGACCAAACTATTGAAAAAGTTTCTTTTTGTGCACCGGACCGAAGTCACGAAAAAGGTTTCTCATATATTTGCCGAGATGGTCTTACTCGTCGGTGGATGTGTCATGGCTTTGTCGCTCTTAAAGAATCGGTAAATTTAAAAATAAAAAAATAATTTTAATTTAAACGTCTAAATAGCTATGCATAACTATGTAGGGTGACCGATTAAGTCATGCTGTTGGATGTGCTTTTCAAGAATGTCTGATTAGAAAAAACAAACGAGAAGAAGATTGCTCTGTCACAATGAATTATGATCCAAAAACATCTGTTTTCACACGAACTGGCAGTTTTAGAACTCCATCATTAACCGAACAACAATCTGAACCTAATATTCCTCTTAATGCGCCTCCACAACCTCCTCCTTTTCTTCAATCGTATAATAAAGGTATATTTTCTATTAACTATTTAACAAATATTATAAAATCATTGTAATTTGAAAAATGAATAATGATTTGTTTGATTGGTATCATTTTATTTAAAAAAAATTGATGTATTTATTCTAGATATACCAACATCAATAAAACAACTACAACAAAATCCTACAACACCCAAAGTCAGCACAAAAGCAATTGAAAGACCACATGCAACATTATCTATGTTACAACGCCAAGGATCATTCCGTGGATTCTCACAACTCAATCAAGCTTCTCCATTTAAAAGGCAGTTATCATTAAGAATATCTGAACTACCATCTAATTTGGAAAGAACAAGATCGATGAGTTTACAACCAACAGGACATCAACGCACGTCTAATAAACTTTTACAAATGAATACTCCGGGTGAGTTGAATTTAAAATGATATTCCTGAAATAAAAAAATAATAATTATTTTATTCATTTTAGTAAGTCCTATACCAGAAGCATCGCCTCGAAGTGAAAAACCTATGTCTACGACAGATCAAGTTACAGCTATGTGTCAACAAATGTCATTAGAATTAGCATTCCTTACAAATAGTACATCCAATGAAGATTTTCCAGATAAATTCAAATCAAGTGATTTAAGAAGTATAGGTAAATAATTTTGATGTTTTATTTTAATAAATGTACTAAAAATGTAATGTCAATTTTTTTTTTAGAAAATACTCCAAAACAAGGTCCAATTACTGGTAGTGAAGCATTTCTTGCTAGTATAACTAAAAAAGCAACATTAGAAACCCAAAGTAACCCTACAACTCCTAAACCTGAGTGTCGTATCAGTCCACAACAAGATGAAGGTTTTGATTCAGGTTCTAGTTTATGGAATCTAAACAATAAAGCAGTAACACCACCAACTCCTCCTGCCACTCCACCAACATCACTTCCAAGGCCAGATCAGTGGTTAGGTAAAGTGGCAGCAGTTACATTACAATCGACAGATGCCCTAATTACACCTAAAAGAAATCCACATTTAGCAGCGCATAGTCGTGCTTATTCTTTAGACACAGCTGAAGATGTTTATCGTACAAAATTGAACAGTATTTCGGCTAATCCATTTGATCCTAACTATATTGCCCCAAAACAAAATACTAATCCGTTCTTAAGTAGTCCTATATCAAATGGCCCAAGTAAAACTGTAAAAACTTTCGAGATACAAATGTGATAAACTACTAAGTTTTTCTTATCAATTCTGTTATGTTAAAATATTTTCATGGACATACGGAAAAATACGAATTGTAATATATAAAGTTGAGAGGAAGTATGCGATATTAGTTTGGTTTTCTGTATGTACATACAGAATACAGAATTAATGGTCATGAGTTATATTAACACAATTTCATATTTAGAAATAAATTAGTTTATTATGTACTACTATACAAAATTTAAAAATCAAAATCTGACATGTAGATTCAAAAATATTTTTTTCGAAGACTAAAAAATTTTATTTATAAATTAAGCCAAATATTGCTAAGTGCAATTGTTTAATTTTAAATATTTTGTTTAAATGAAGTATACTTATAAAAAATTACAGTATTTTCCTTTTAAGAAAAATATCCATAATTATTATTAATGTTTTAAAAATCAATGCGATACAAATTAATGTCCTTAACTAAACATAATCATTAATTTCAAAAAGTGCTTAAATTAAATTATATGTATGTAACTTTATTTATTTTAACTCTGTGTTATAGTTATAAATATTATATTAAAAATATAATTAATTACTATGCACTGCAATTAAAACTAAATTAATACAAATTATTTATTTGCAACCTATACATATCAATATTTTTTTAACGGTAAATTAGTAGAATAAAAAAAAAATATATATATTACATTTTGTATTAATAATAAATGTACTGACAGCCAAGGGTACTTACGAATTTGAACTAATCACACACACAGAGCTAATGGACAACATTTAATTCACACATTAATAGTTTCTAAATTATTATTATTACAATTGTTTTAGAAACCTACACAATATAAATTATAGTGTTTATTGTGTGAACCATAACGTACATAAACGCATTAACTTACTATTTTTTATTAAATAGGATTAATAATTTTAAATTTTTATATGAGTCCTAAACATTTGCCAATTTTTAACACAAGTATTATTTAATCATTATTTTTAAACATAAGAATAACTTTATATGGCATTTACTAAAGATCAAAATGTTGATGTACTTATTCTTCTATACATCTGTTAGATTAAAAACAATTCACCATATGCTCCACCATTTTAGCATTACTCATTGGCACACAATTCTGTATATTTGTCTTCTATTAAATTTAATATAATAATAACACTATATTAAATCCTTAAGCATTACATAGTAAAAATATTTCTACTTTTATTTTGCTTTCGGTTTTAATCATATAGCTTCTGAAAGAATATTTACGTTAACCGCTTTCACAGTTTTGAAACATTATAGCTTAGAAGTATATTATGATTTAAAATAAGACGCTTATAGCTGCGTATTGAATAGGGATTGCGTATTCTGTGATATTCGTGTATTCAATAGACTGCATTTTTTTTCTATTGGTACACAATAATGTTTATTATTATTATTATTATTATTATTATTATTATTATTATTATCATTATTATTACAATATTATTATTACTTTTATTATTATTATTAAGTAAATTGTACACAAGTATTTCTGATACCATAATAATATAATGCTAATCATAATGCTCTCATACAAATATGGGAAGTAAAATAATTTTACTTACATGGATTTTTAGTATTTTAAAATAATAATAATATATTGTAATAATAGTAGTGCGAATATTAATGATATTTACATACACATATATATTTATTCATATTAAACTTGTTAGTATTTTAGTTTGTATTATATTTTCTTAAAGTTAAAAATTATTAAATAAAAAAAAGAAGAAATAATATCATAATGTAATATTATTATAATTAAAAACATAATATGTAACACATAGTGTTAGTTATTAAATATATATAGATGTCTTAGATATCATAATTTGTAAAAATGGTTATTGTTATGTCCAACAGCAACAACTTAAAATATATACTATTATAAAGTATCTAACACTTGGCTAAAACTCAGTTTAACTATAATTGATAGATGATAAATGTTATGATTATTATTATTAATACATACTAATTATACATCACCTTGTAATGTTACTGGTATACGATTAATTTGTCTATTGTTATTATTTATGCATGGGGAGGATTGGTGTTTGTATTCTAGGACAAATGTATTAATAATAATATTATAATATATATATATATATATATTAACACAAATGTACAATTTATACAATATAGGCATATAATGTTATTGATATTTTTGCTAGGGGATAGTCTATAAATGAGATAACTCAGACTTTTGGATATTAAACTAACAGTATTGTTTCTAAATGACATAGTGTAATTAAAAATAATTCTTGTTTTTCAACTGACATTTAATATAAGTTATAACTTATTTAAAAAGAAAATATGTAAGACATATAGATAAGATATAATTATGTTTTACAATTATTGTGATTTTAGTGGCCTCAAAAAAAAAAAAATATACCTAATGTTACAATATTTATTATTATTATTAAATATACGTATATATATTATATTATTTAAACACTATGCTATTGGTTTTGTTATAACCAAAACAAAATAACTTACCTATTACTCTACATTGTACTTAAGAAAAAATGAAACCTTTTGTAAATTCTTAATTTTTTGTTTTTATTTTATGGTAAAACATAATAAATACAAGTTGTTAGTATTATTTTTAGATGCCTAAGAACCTTTGTACTTAATTATTGTTGTCATATGAATTATATAAATATAAAAAAGTATTAATTGTTTTTATGTCAAGTGTATTGAAGTGTTTAATTATTACCCTAAAATTAGGGACATATAAAACTCAAAACTGGGACATTTAAATTCTGTTTCAAATTATAATACTAAAATTTAGGAGTCTATTCTTCAAGTCATTGATTTTTCTTTATTTCTAGTAGACAAAAAAATATATTCTAATTTAATAAAAATGCGAGGAACTTGGTCAAAAATATTTTGATAAATTTAAATTGAAAATTGTATTAATTTATACTATATTCTAAAATTTGAATGTTGTACCAGTTCAGAAGCCACCTAGCTCCTAGTACCAATCTCTGATGCAAACTCCATTCATTTATTATACCATTAGAATCAATAAAAAATCAGGTAGGTAAAACCATCCTAATCTTTTAACACATTATATTAAGCAGAAAAAACAAAAATAAGATAGATTTTGAAGATTTTACACCTAAAAAAGTTTCTGAAATCTTGTACTACAGAAAGGTCAATCTGTAGACAGCCATCTGCCACGCATCTAATTGTAAATAGGCACCGAGTGACTATAGAGTCTCACAACAGCCTACCGTGAGGCAAATAATCTAAAAACAAGAAATAGATTTAAGTTGTTAGTTGTATCAACCTAAATTTGATCTCATTTGATTCAGAATGTTCAAATGCATTATATCAGTTTTTGGAAACATTTTTAGTGTTATAAAAATGGATACAATAAACATGGTCATACTTTTTTTTCAAATTAAAACAAAAACATATTGTTTTGTACTTTTATCCATCTTCCTAAATATAATTTTTCATGTTATCTTAAATTAAAACGAAATATTATTTATTCAAAACAATTAAGATTAGGTAAAAATAGTTCATCCAATAAACATCCAGACCAGCTGATGGCCAACCGGGTTGTCAAGAGAAGGGGTAGAACAAGACTCCAGGCCGACTGGCCAGTACACCAGGTCAGGAAGATAAGACTGCGGTCAAGGCTTAGTCAGACCTTAATTTTATACATTATTTTAAGTAAAGATGTAGCAGGAGACTTGCCCGCACATTCACACCATAACTTTTAAGTGTATTAGTAAGGTAGTCCTGTGCAAACGATCCCTCTCTGCTGTCGGTTATACTAGGAAAATAAAGGTGTAGTTTAATTATTTTATTATAACATAGAATTATTGTATCTCTATGGTCGTCTATAATCCAATAGTCACTAAACTGCAATTCGAAAACCGTATATTTCTGATTTTTGATAATTTTTACTATGATAAAATAATTATTTATACGAAATGTTTGTTATTTGAGGAACTTCAATTTACTATTTCTAAATATTTGGTAAATAATAGACCAATATTAAACCTGCCTATTGAGAAAAAAGAAACCTTAGGTACCTACATAACCTTCAACTAATATATAGCCATAGACCGTACATGACTAAAAAACAAATTTTATCAGGGGGGGGGGAGAGGGGATCTAATTTTTTGATAATCAATTTGATGACTTTTCCTAACATTTTTCTCCCTTCGGCCAAAAAATCACGGAGGGAGAGTCAAGATTTATCTGTCACAATTACAGCCTTGATCATTGGTTATAATCAACGAACCGTACCTATCTATCTACCTTCAATGTACAAACACTGTACCATCTTTCTATGGTTGATGCCATTCGAGTAGGAGAAAACCGGTTACTGGTTGATTTTATTTATGAATGCGGTCAACAGACGATATAAATGAATGTGAAAGTATCAACTATCAATTTTGTTCAGTCACTAACGTGCGTTATGACAGACGATGTCGGTTCGGCTGTGTTTTCACTCGTGTTCGTAACGTAATACAATAATGTTTACCAAATTACGTAGTGCACATCGATAATGTGCAATTTAATTTAAATTTCCCTATTACAATTTTATTGAACAATACATTTTTCTTTTAAGTGCAGAACGTTTGAATATAGTGCTACATATTATTGACGGTAACTAATACAATATAATATTTATATGAATTTATTATTATTCATTAATTCACCCAGGTAATTTTTTATTGTATTATAAAGTTGAATTTTGACTCTTGGGGTAAAAAAAATGTCTAAGTATCGGAAAATGCCAAATACAAATATTTTTCATGCCTTCCGTCTTACCAATGTTGAATTTTAGATTTTCCCATCTCCCGCAGAGATATATTAGGTTTAAAAATGTGCGTTTACGGTCTTGGACAAATTTTTACCTCTAAAGAAAGTCTGCCTTTTGGCTTCTTGTCTATAAAAAAAGTCGAAGTATTGAAAACTCATATCAAATTTTCCATTCCCCTTCCTTATCTTATCAATGTACTGCAGTTAGAATTAACATTCCAATTTCCCTAAAAAATATTCGAGATTCTAATACTTTTATTGGTTATCTACCCAAAAGCCATGTCGTTAAAGAGCTAAACAATTAAAATATCTAAATGTTGGTTGTTTGGAATTTATTAGGGCACTATGCTAATACAAAACCACTATAGCATTTTTCGACAATATTCAGCGATTAATCATTGATAACAAAAACCTATTCTGAGCGGAACTCGGTCAATAGTAGTACTTTTTTAACAAAATGTGCGATTTCACAACAACAATCTTTTAAAAAAAGATTAAAAAATTTTAAAACATAAAATTTAACAATAACAAAAAATAAATAAAAACTAATGCCAATGAAAACCTTATTTTAAACCAAAAACCCCAATTTTTTCCTTTGTTAATAATAGTTATAACTATATTAATGAGAATTTCAAAAAATGTCCTTTCCAAAGTACCAATTAGAATCATCTTAATGCAATAAAAAAGGTCTCTTGTCATGTTTTGGTTGGAGAAAAATATCTAGGAGAAATATTGTACACAGTATAAAGAAAAAAATCAAAAATGGGAGAGGGATTTAAGTCTTCTCTAATGGCTCTAATTTATTAAAAATAATTTTGCAAAATTTTGCATACTCATTCAATTGTGTTTAAGCGTTGACATTTTACTTTACAAAAAAACAATGGACCAGCATTTAAAAATAATTGATTTCAATACACCTAATAAAATTAATACTTTTTGAAATTTAAATCTTAATATCTATTACATAAATCTTGATGCCTATTTTATATTTTTTTTTTTGTGTTTATGGATGTATTGCATTGTAATTATATTTGAAAGAATATGATTTAATAAGATATAATTCACAAATTTTAAATTGTTTAATTAATAATTAATGAATATAACTACTGAATTATTATAGAAAGATATGTTGTCTTTAATACCAAATTACAGTGGAAGTAATTATCGAGCCATCATAGATAATTGTCCTATTAATCGATGGCCTCAAGATGAAATCAACATATTGGATGGAAACTGTTCATTCTGTGTTGACGTAATACTATAGGTAGTTATTAGATCTATATAGGTAAATAATATAAAAATATTTCGTTTAGTACCTAGGATGTGTTGAAGTGTCTGAACCCACAAATTCACAAATATGCTGTGAATCATTTGCAAAACTTTACCGAGAATTTGAAACAGGAATTTGTCATGCCAATCCTTCTGTGTTATGGATAACAGGATACGAGTTAAGAGTTGTGGAAAAAAAGTCAAAGGTAGATAAGAAATAGTAAAGTAATAGTAGTAGATACTAATGGAGAAGTGTAATTGTATAACTAATGTAAATATTACTTGGTTAGTATATTTTAAAAAATTATTTGTTGGGATAAACTTTTGTTTACTAAAATTTGATTAATTATTTGGTATAAAGCCGGTTAAATTGTGAGAGAGTGTTAAACTATATTTGTTTCCTTAATAAATTTAATTAAAATATAATATATATTTTTTAGAATTTAGTTTTGGCTCAAATTATGGAGAATGTATTGTTTTGTGCAACAACCACACATAATTCGGATCAGTTATTCTATACTTGCAGAGATACTTATAATGACCGATGGCTGTGTTATTTGTTTGTTGTTAAAAGAAATATGGTATGAAATTTTTCCATTTTTCATTAAATATAATATATGTATTAATCGGTCTATCAGATAAAATAATTAATTAATTTTATTTTTGATTAGAGTGATCGACTCTGCAAAGCGATTGGTTTTGCTTTCCGGATGTGTGAAAGAAGAAAAATTATACGAGAAGGACTAGAAACAAATATGACTACAAAAAATAACAGATCTACAGGATAATAAATAATACAAAAATATAATAAATGGATTTTTGTTACATTGTATATGATGTGTAATATATATGTTATCAATGATTATTGGTAATACATATTTCACATTACACTTAAAACAGATATGTTTGTACAAAATAATTACTTCTACATTTAACTATTATGTGATACCAAACTATTTTATTTCTATTATTTGTATGGCTTATGAATTGATGATTTATATTATTAATTATTATGTAGTAAGTACACAAATAGGTCCAATTGATAAAAATGTAAAAAAACCTTTACTATCATATACCTTTACCATTATATACATCATATGTCCACTGATAAAGAGTATCATTGCATCCAAGGTGGATTAATAGATAATTAGTGGATTAATGGATAATTAGTACAATTGTCTATGGATTAATCTACTTTGATTCCATCATTCCATCTATTTCATATAAATTTTACGTATTTTAGTATTTTTGAATTAGAAAAAGAAATGTCTTGTCTTATAAATATTTATGTAGATGAAAACGAATATGTCATATACAACGGAAATATAGACAATTTATAGAACTCTGTATCCTTAAATGATTTTGGCAACTCAATAATTACAGTGATTTATTATTTTTTTTTTTGTACTAAGGAAATCATTCCACCTAAACTATCTGAATTTCAGAATAGTTTTTTGAAATTGTGTAATACAATTTAAAATAACAAGTGCTAATTCTTTTTTATCCATTTTTAAATTTTGTACTAATGTATTCTAAACCACAGAGCTCTATTATCAATTATCATAATTTAGTTATTGTATTATCAGATTATCACCATAACATAAACCATAAAAAATACATAGGAAAACGTTTTAGAGAGTAACCATAGATAAGTACTTTTATTATCAATGCGAATAACGACAATTCCGCAAAATGTTTACTAAACATTGCATCGCCAAAACCATAGGCCAGATATTATCATAGATAGGAAATTTATCACCCTTCCATACTCTTCCGGTCAAAACTTTAAACTGTTATAACTCATAAACGGTAAATTTGATATTACTATGACTCATATCAAAATTTTTAAAAAAATAGTCTATTCAAAAGGGGGGGGGGTTCCTATTTGTAAATCAAAAGTATGCACTTATTTAAGGTATATGTTATAGGGGTAAACAGTTAAAAATGGTTTTAAAATAAAACGATTCCATAATAATTAGAAAAAAACAGAAATCAAATTTACTTTAAATCCTTGAGATAATTGTTGGTTAATATATGAGTAATACACAACTACAAAAGTAATTAGGTCTGTTGCATATGTAGAACATAGGAAACTATTTATCTTCATCTCTTCTAAAATCAAATCAAAAGCAGAAAGTAAATCATGTACAATATTTTACACATTTTTGTTCAATATTTTCTATAAAATAAGGGCCAGTTGCGTAGTTAAATATTGATTATCTAATCAGCGTTTAGATTTTAATTACCGATTATAATCAGGAGTGTTGTACAGTGGACGGTTGGTCTGCAATTAATCGATGTAATTAAAATAATGCAGTGTGTTACACAATACTAATTAAATCTAGCCTAAGGATAGGTTTACACGCTCAATTAAACTGCGCAAACGGACTGTACGGACTCAAGTTTGCGCAAATTTATTGTACTTGTAAATGGAAATCGTATGATTGTACAGTTTAACATTTTGATCTGTGCGAGTTCAGGCGGTACCTGGAAAAACCGTGCAGTTATAGTAGTTGCACAGTTTTCCCGTGTGTGTAAATGGATAACTGGGTTTTTAGACGGTTTTAAAATTTAATACCCACATTCAATAGTGTTTTTCTGGGGAAGGGCGATGGGGCAATTGCCTTGTTCCCAGCATTTAATTTTTTCTATATTAATGGTTTGCTTTTTATCCAAATGAAAAAAAAAAATTATGTATTTTCATGTTGCGACCCTCCCCCCCCCCCGACAATGGGACCAGATACCAGTATTATAAATATGAAATCGGAATTTGTTTACAGATAATATACGTTTATTATATGAAATAGATATCAAATATTTTATTCGAAGTATTGCCTATTGCTAGCTATACATTTTTCCAACCTGTCTGGTAATTTATGAATGTCTCGCCAAAAAAACCTGTTACTTTTTTGAGGTGAACTCGAAGTCATCGAACCATTTTTGTATACTTTCGTAAGAAGTGAAACGCTGTTTTGCATATGCATATCCCATCGATGTAATTAAAAAGTAATCAGACTGAGCCAAATCTAGTGAATAAGCCGTATGCAAAAGTATTTCCCAACTAAACGCCTCGGTCGCTTCTTTAACCAGTTTTGCAGTGTGATGGTGCACTATAATGAATCAATAACACTTGTCTTTTTTTGATATTTTGATCATTTTTTACGCAAGGCTTGATTTAAATCAATCATTTGTTGTCGGCAGCGCTGAGTAATATCAATTTCGCCAAAATGATAAATATGATTCAGTCAATAGCTTTATCCATAGTATATGATCTATGATAAAAACACTCTTTCTCTCTTCCTCATTCTGGCACATTTCCCTCTATTTTGTTGGTATAGGCATGGCCTATCCATTCTTTATTTTATTAAGCTTGTGCAATCGTAGTACAAAATAATATATGAAACCAATCAAAACATTAGTTTTATTGGTGGTCACACTGTTAAATATCACCTTTTTGCTCTTCAATTTTATTTCATGGCGGCCTCTCTGTATTACTGTATGATATATATCCTTAGATCATATACAATGGATATATGAATAGAGCCACAGTTCAATATTTTGGTGTACATGTTAACGAGCCGCCAGGTGAGTAGCCTTTACTGCACATGCGTGCCAGCGACTTGTCGCCATTGACCAACATATATTATCAGATCTATGTTTGTCACATATTATCTTAATATGGGGTGATAGTATTAATTAACCGATAATAATAATATACATTTTAATGAATTAAAACTTGAATAAGTATATTGAATTGGTAATAAACTAAAATGTGTATATAATGCCTATCAAGGTGTAATTATAATAGATCTAATAACTAATCATTTATCCGTTTTCTTCAGTTTTTTCCCATTTATTGGGAAAACTCTTGAGAAAATTAAAAAGTGATTTCCCTGAATTACTTCACCAGTCAGATATCCGTCTAAAATTTTACAATACTGTGCATTTTTATTCCTTGTCCTGCTGTAGTCTCCATCCTTTTATTGAGCAGTGTTTATCCATTATTTTAAATATTTATAAAAATATTAATAATACAATGTACTTACAAATACAATGTTAGCTAAATTAAACAATGCAAAATAGATGCATGCGCTTATAAATTATAAATTGATAATAAACAACAATTTATTATAAATAATATAAACCAAAATTTTCAAATGATAATAATATACATTGTGGAACAAAAATAAATGTTTTTATTATTTTTGCCGTGATTGTTCTCCTCTAGTTCTATCGCTTTTGCTTGATGTCGACCCACGTTTTCTCTCTATATGCGCATTCCATATGTAGGTCTATAGAAATTATAAACACACCTTGGTACCTATAATACATTATAGATAAGAACAAAATATATATGTCAATAATTTGAGATAAATATGCGACTAGTCACCTGCGCACTAAAGGCTGCTCACATGGTGACTCGTCGCTAACAATATATACATTATCGATATTACATATGGTAATCTATAGGCTGTGGCCGTTCAATCCATAGTATATAGGGTTGCCACTACGGGTTTCACCCGGATAATCCGGTTTTACATATAAATCTACGGACTACGGGTTTCAGTGAATTATTCTCCGGGTGTATATACTGTTATGTCATTCGCCAAAATATTAGATAAAAATATAAAATACGATTTATTGACTATACATAGTCGTAGATAGACGTACATAGACGTATAGGAACAACACGGTATCTTTTGCTAACATCTCTTTTTTTTTTTTTTATATTTATTAGCCTGTCTCCGGGTCTACCATCTTTCAAAGGTGGCAACCCTAATGGTATATGATCTAGGTATATATCCACCTTGATTTTTCTCATTATCTATCAATTTTTCTATCATTATTCTGATATTGATAAAATTATCTATTTCAAAAAATATAGAAATCTATGTTTTTTTCACGGTTTAAAACAGATTGCGCAACGAACCAATAGATTCTAAAGGTCCCCATACACGATCGAACAATTTGCGCAAAAACATGACTGTGCAAACACACGTAAATACACGTTCAAACGGCTTGTATGAACCTCAGTACGTTTTTGTTTATGTAGACATAATTTCCGACACAGAAATTGCTTGCGCTGTGATAATTATTGGATGTTTGACGGAAAAGAAATAAGAAAGTAGAGAATAGGGACGAAGGGATGGAAAAAAAGAGGACAGAATTTCGTTATGATCGATTAGTATCAGAACTTAAAATGAGTTCAATAGTAGACTACCAAAACTATCTTAGAATGGATGCAGATACGTTAGAGTTGTTAGAAATAATAACAATGATAAATATTAATATTTTAGTTAATGCTTAAAAAAGTAAAAGTAATAAATAAAATTCGGCACTTTAAATTTACTATAAAATTTTAAATGAACACAATAAAACGATATATCCACCATTGACGCTTGTCAAATATCGACATAGACGTTCAAACCGCTTATCAATCACCGAGCGTTGCACAAAATATTTCGGTCTTGACCGAAAACCGCAAGCTTGGTTTCAAACCATTGCGCAACTACTCAATCCATTCCATACACGATCAAAATGTTTGCACAAACATAATGGTTGCGCAAATTGTTTGATCGTGTATGGCGGCCTTTTAGGCGCAAAGTTAAATAATATAGACAGACAACACAATTAATTGTTTCGTTCGAGTTTTTCGATGAAATTTTCTTGGGAGTAAAATGAGTGGATAATCCAGATATTGAAGTGGTATCTGTTATAATTAGTTACACAATAATGTAACCATGTTCGTGGTAATATTCTCAGACCGTGTGCCGTATGGTAAATTAATCAATAAATGGTAACTATATGTTTGTCAAACATAGGTGCGTCGCATCAGCATATATTCTAGCTGATCTAGCAACGTATACTGTATAGTTCCGAAAAACTCCACTAAAATCGTTGCGGTTCTTATATGCCCTCTACTTAGGTATTCTCCATCGAAAAACTAGATCACACTACTACCACCCATAGACATATAAATACATTTATTTATGTCTATGACTACCATCCGCCGCCCATGTTGTTGACAGTCCATATTATTTTAATTCATAGTATTTTATAATATCATAGATGAAATATATTTTTCCATATACATACATGTGAATATTTAATCTAAATAATAAATATTTATAATCCCAAAAGTTATTGTACAAATAACTTATGAACTCCTTGAAAAAGTTATGTCAGAGCTTGCCTCTACCGTATATATCTGGTGTCATCAAGGTGTTATATACAAAATATGTGTAATGCGCGATCTATCTATTATATTATGTCTATGAGGTTGAGGTAGATAGATCTTAAACCAGGATCGTGACACTTATATACATTTCTATGGCTTTTTAAAGCCTACTAAACAACTGAACTAAATACATACATATATCATATATTATTTAGTTCAATGCATGTTACCCATTAATCACTCATAGATAGGTTTATGTTGGTAATTGTACAATATTATTCTTCCATGTGGCACTGGCACACTGGAGGCCTTCTTTTTCTTTAGATCATCTGTTTTGTTATTGTTTTGATTTTCTATTCATTTCATATTTATTATTTTTCATATGTAAATGTAATGTATTGGCTATTTAGTTTTTGGTGTTCTTAAAAATAAAATATTTCAGATTTGTTACACAGTAACTGAAATATTAGTAACATACTAATATGTTTTAATCATTATATTTTCATATTTGTCAATTTTCAACAATATAAATATCCTATAAAGGAAAGAAATGGATTATAATGTGAGTAAAAACATTGTTTTCTAAAAAATTTTTAAACAGATTATCAAAATATCGATTAACAGATAGACATTAAACCAAATACGTTTATTATTATTTAAATACTAATAAGTAATTAAACGTGTGTATATGCATGTTAAATCTTTAATTTTAAAGTAATTAATAGCATAATAAGTAGATAAGTGTTTAATATAGGTATCTACCTATACAATATTTAATGTAATAAATATATAATATGTGTAGGTGGTTACATCTATAATAGGTTAAATTATAATTGTTTAAAAATTCTTACACTGCCTCTATCACAGACTAGATTAATCTGTGATTTTATTTTAATCATAAACTAGGTAGTAGGTACTTAAAATTTACCTAAGTAATATATAATAAATTATTTAAGCACTTCATAATAATTTTATTTTTTTTTTAAATATATTTCACCAATCTCATGTATTTTGCTATAAGTGATTTATATATAAAATCCAATTATTGGTTACACCGATTAAAAATTGTATTATATATATCTATAGTATTATTGGTAGGTATAGTCTATTTAGGTTAAGAGTAGTACATCCAATGGTGTTTTTATAAATTGTTTTGAAAGTATATTGTATAACAGCTTGTACCTACCTTGAACCTTAAATCTTCAAATTTTACAACATTAAAGAACGTTTATAAATTTAAAAAATTAGTAATATGACACGGATAATGTTCTCATATAAAGTTTGATAGTAGGTCAATTCACTCTTGATATTAAAATTAACTGCACAGATTTGTTCCTACTGAAAATTTGTTGTGTCATATGGTTGTAAGATGGAGTACATGTAGGTATAATGTATTGTTGTTTTCTTAATGTAAAGAATAAGTTTGTGTATAACTGACAGATGGACAATATCTAAAATATATTAATTTAAGTGTTACATTAATTAAACATGATAAATATATATAAAGATCCAATAAGGCAAGATTGAGGAAGTGTTTCTATTAAATTGTATAAAACCCCTAAAACTGAAATGAAATTTATTCAGAATCATCAGATATCATTATATAATGATGTTTATAAATTGCCCTGTACCTAAAGACCTTATACTAATAGACATAAACTACCTATTAGAAAAGTATTACAAAATTTATTGCAACATAATGGACAGTTTATATAATAGTGTAATAACAAAAGACAAAATTACACCAAAAAATAACCATAAGGCTCTTTGTTTTTTCCAAGTCCGAGGTTGCTATCATTTTTTTATTATTATTATTAAGAAGTCTGCTTGTACTACACTGTACAGTGTCTATTGTATATGTAACCAGAATTATTATATAATATAATAAGGAAGTTTGTTGTGTACAGTCAAGCAATTTAAATTTTAAAGCATGACAAGATCTTGAAGTCAGATTTTTAAATTTCCATTCAAATTCTCACACTTCAAATTTTAGACAGTAAAGACAAGCAAAATGTAACCTGGGTATGACAGCTAGTTAAATACTTTATTTTCAAAATATATTTATTTAAGTTTTTCTTTTTTTAGATCTATCACATCTTAAGTTGGTAAAGTTTTGTTTAATTACTAATAATTATTAATTAGTAATTAAAACTTTTCTATGCACTTCATATATATGTTAGCGGTAATGTATGTAACACGTTATTTTATTAAATAACTAGTTGCTCTAAAAAATTCCTAAATATGCTAGTTAATATATGAATTACATGGTTTTACTAGTTAATAATAAATAGAATATCGAATGGGTTTTTGCTAATTTATATAATTTAAACCATTGTGTAATAATAAATACAAATTATATGATAATGTAAGACTTAATATTACTATTATTATTATTTTTTTTTTTAATATTTTAATAATTTAATAATTTAATAATTCTATTAAGTTGATGTTGTACAAATCAGAATAAACTTTTTGAAAGTGAATATTAATATTTTGTACATGAATGTAATAATAATTTTACATACATTAACTAAATTGTTATTGTTAGCTTATAAAATATCTACTTAGTATGTAGAATAACTAGTTGAAGTATATAATTTTGTATTCATTCAATACATTAACTGAAAATGTCCGAAAATCTATAAAATAACTAGTTGTTTTATAGAATTACGTAATTCCGCACATTAACGCTAACATATATTTATATATTTATTATGTGTTAAAACTTCATATGTATTTTATTTAAGGCCTTAGTTTATTCTATATAAATTGGTATTTTTTACACTTTTAAACTTATTAATGTATTTAAAAATAATATTTTTTTATGAAATAATTTGTAATAGTTATAAATAGTTATAATTTAGTTATAATTTTAGATAGATACCATGTTAAATTCAAATTTAAATTTATTATTTAGAGTATTGATGAAGATGATGTTGAAAAATTGCGTTTAGCAGCTCTTATGTCTCTTAAAAAGAAATCTAATGTGCGAACCAATACAATAAGTAGTACATCAGGTGAATTTTGTCATAATAAATACTTAAATGGTACTCCTTTTAATAATCCTGCAAAAAATAACAGAGGAAGATTTACTACACCAAATAGATTATATAATCAACGAATATATACAAATGTAAGTTGCTTATAATTTAATTTTGAATATATTTATGCTTATTTTATCATTGATCTAACCATTTACAGGTTGGTTTCCGGAGACCTCCTCAGACAAATAATAATTTGATTGCTATTATACCAACTGAAAGTGAAAGTGATACACAAAAGAATGGTTCAACATCTATTAATATACCTACTGTTATTAGTTCTGAACACAGGCATAATGATGACTGCACTAAGCCAAGTAATGTTCAGAATTTAAATAATGAAGGTATACATTTTCTTTCAAAAAAAAAAAAACCTTACATATTAAGTTTATTCATTGTGAAACATTAAAATGATTGGTCAATATTTAGGTATACAGAGTGGTCAAAATTTTATATTACAGCAATTTTCTCTTATAAATATATACAAAATAGAAAAAAATGTGTAATATAAACATTTTTTTGATTTATAAACATCTAAGTTATTTGTACATTATTTTTTTTTAATATCTTTTTCAGCTCAATTTTTAAAAAATCAAATAGGAACTTATAATCAAAATTCCTTATATAGATGCAGTATTATTTTAAATATATTGTAGTGTTCAAATTTTTATTTCCATTAGCACATGGACAAGATATTCTTTTTAGTTTAGGTAGGGGGAGAGTAGTGGAACACTGCTGTGTGGTGACAACGCCCAACGTTTGAATAGTGTTTCACTAACACAATATTAAAACAATATTAATTATTATTATAATTTTGATAAGTTGTTAATAAATTATAATAATAATGTAAGTAACCATAGACAATAAAGACAGTTATTGTCATCAGTTTACATGCTTTACTTATTTCATGGACCTGAGTATGGGTAATATTAACATTGCCCAACCGAATAAGATGTATCAATATTAAATAGTAATAATTGATAATAATTAGTTGCCAATTGATATTTCAGTAATTTAAATTCTTTTTCCTCTTAAAATATTCTGGGGATAAAACTGAAGTTCATAATTATATAATTGATTCTTAAGTATTAACTCTTGTATTTGATTTTTACAGTTTCTACGAAATTCAGCAGACTAGAAAATGAATCTGGATCTGAAGAAAGTGAGGATAGTGAAGCTGAAAAAGAAGAAAAAGAAGAATCAGATGATGGTGATGTATTATTTTTGGGCGAAGAAGATGAAGATTTAGATGATCTTGACAAATTAATGGATATTATGGAAGCTGAAATTGCTGGTGGAGATATTAAATCATCTAAAAAGGAAAAAAAAAGTTTAAAACAAAATAATAAAAATAAAAAAGAAAAAAATACTGAATTGAGAGTAAAAAGTAAATTGAATATTAAAGAAGATGAGCCAATTGTTATAAATCAACCTAAAGTTATTGTAGACACTAAATCACCATTAAATATACCCGAAGAAGAATTAGAATCAATAAAAACTTTGGAAGAAATTAGAAACTCGAAGTTAGAAACACAATGCAGTTCATTGAAATCTCGTATTCCATTGAGATCTCCATCTCCACTTAATAGAAAGAAGTCAATTTCTCCATATAGTAAAATTCGAAAAAGATCACCTTTATCAAGATCTCCACGAAGAAGATCTCCTTCATTAGATAGATATAGATATTCTCCAGTGCGATTTAGACCTTATCGTAGATCTTTATCACCTAGAAGATCACCAAGAAGGTTCTCACCACTAAGAGAAAAAAATCTCTCTCCAAGGAGATATTCTCCAAAATCTCGATATCCATATCGTTCTCCATCTCCGAGAAGAAGACGTAGGTCTTTATCGCGAGAAATTTCTCCTAGTAGAAGACGATTGTCTCCATTAAGAAGAAGAAGCAGATCTCCCCTCAAAATTAAATCAAAATCAAGGTCACCAAAGTTAAGACTAATTAATAGAAGAAGATCACCTAGTCCAATAAAAAAAGTTATTAGGTCAAGACCAGTATCTCCTAATATTCGACGTAAAGATAATAAGACTATAGATGATGATCACTTCAAAAAAAGAGAAAAAGTAAAAATAGTTGATAAATTAGTAGATTCAAGGCCATTAGATCCTGTTTTAGAAGCAAGAAAAAGGAAATTTGAATCTAATAAGCCAATTGAACCTACAAGTAAAAAAATTATTTTGAAAAAAACGAATTCAGTTCAAGTAGCGATTCAGACTGAAAATAATGAAAAGATAGAACCAGAAATAAAACCAAAAACTGTTATTTTGACAAAAAAAGTAAAAACAAATTCCCAATCCTCCCAAGCCCCAAAAAATATAAGCATTACAACGAATAATGATTCAGAAACAGTTAGCCTAAGAAGAATAGTAAAAGTTGATACTTCTCCAGAGAAAATAAACAGCAAAAAGAGACCAAGAATTGTTTTTGGACATGATGATACGAATGAGCCTGTTGTAGATGAAGGTTTGATATAAATTTAAAATATTTACTTATTAATTTAATAATTATAATTTTATGTTTTCAGATAATAATTTTGATCAACATAAAGAAAACCAAATTAAAGCAAATTCTAGTGCAACAAAAGTAGTACAATCTGAGACTTTAGAAGTATCTAGTACATCTGAAGGAGAGACATCTGAGGAAAATGATGAAGAAGAAAGTGAAAATGAAGACAGACAAGAATTAAGTGAAAGCAGTGAGGAATATATTGAAGAAGAAGAGGAAGAAGAGGTTCAAGGAATTCAAGAAGAAGTAGATGATAAGGAATCTATTCAACGAAATAATACTGATGATTTAAGAACAGAATTAAAACGTAGAAGAGCTCTTAGATTAAATATGGTAAAACACAAATACAAAATATTGATTTTGTTTTGATTTTATTAATTATTGATTATATCTATAGATTCAAGTGGAAGTAAAGAAAAAACCAGAATCTTTTTACCCGGCTCGTTTATTACAGTCAGCAATTAGAGGTGTTGTTGGTTCAAGGTATTATTATATTTCTATACTTAATTGAATTATAGATTAATTTGATATTAAAAGATTTTGGATTTGAAAAAATATTTTTAGAAACAACTTTGGCTAGAATTAATTTATTGGTTGTAAAATTAGTTATACATTTATTTACATTATTTAGTAATTTAAAGGCATATTGTAGGTGTGTTATATAGTATTAGTTGTCAATTGATATTGTTCATTTACATTGGTGCCCAAACATTTATTTATAAAATAATAAATAATTTATTTCTAATACAATAATTCTTAATTATTTTGTTTTAAATTTATGTAACTTCTTTATTTTAAACTAAATACTTTAATAAACAAACTACTTACCCATTTGAATGGTGTACATTTTGAATCAGTAAATTAATAATTATATTATACATCATTATTTTAATAAAATTTAAATAACTTATTAATTTAAAAAAATCAAATTATTTTATTGGTCCAAATGTATAATTTATTTCATTATTTGAGTTTCAAATTTGTGTTACCAATTAGTTAAACACAGAAAATTAAAATATTTAAGAGTTTAATTAAAATTATTTTCATAGTGGGTTAGTATAAATTATTATTAGGTTTATAAATAAATAAATACATGAATGAGTCACCCAGAGTATTATGAAACATGTATTGTACGACCGGTTTTGAATTAAAAATTCTTCATCAGGTAAAATCACATAGTCAAAAAATAAAAGGCTACTGAATATGAAAAAATAAATGAAGGAATTATACAAATTGATCGTTTTACATAGAAATAATTTATTTTAATAGGAGAGATTATTTAAAATGAGTTATTATTAGACATAGATATGTTAAGAAATATAAATTATTTGGTTATTATTTATTATCTAAAATTTATTGATAAAGATATTATTTTTAAAATCTGTTTGTATATTAAAAATATTATTAAAATTATTTTTCTTTATTTCATTGTGTGTACGTGTAATTCTTCTAAAATTGAATTGTTGTAAATGTGATTTTGGGTTATTCATTTATTTATTTATTTTTGTATTTATTTATGAGTATTAACTATTTAATAATTTTGTTTTTACTTTATTATTTTATTATTTATTATTAGGTGTTAATAGTAGTTTCTTATCAAAACTAAGTCATGACATTCTTAAATATTATTCTTATTATGTGCTTATAATTTAAAATATTAATCATAATTTATAATTTTATTAATTTTCAGTAATTCCTGTGAAGTTAAAATAAAGAAACATTCTAAATTACCAGAAATAAACATTAAAACTAACGGTATGTTATTTTAATAATATAATTATTGATTTATTATATATATTAAAATAAAATTATTATTATTTGCTATCTATTAATAATGAGATTCTATACTTATATTTGTTTTCTTTGTCCAATATATACACATAGAAATTACAACCAATTTTTTTTGAAATTAGTCTTATCAATGTAGAAAAGTGACTAGAATTATGAAAACAATAAGCATGAAGTGCACTAAAGATTGGTCAGGTTATTTTTTTCAATTTAATTGGAGTTTATTTTTATAAACATTTTTTCATAATATTTAAGTACGTATTGAAATAAAAAAAATTCTGATAAATGTTATTTATAATTCTGAATTCAATTCTATTTTCAAAATTCTTATCACTTCACTACATAAATTAAATTGATTGCAGATAAATTTGTTTAAATTATTACATTGATTATGTGTTGGACAATGAAAGAAAGTAACAGTTTTCATTTTAAAAAGTAAATACTTCCTTAAACATCAGTATATTGTATTGGTTTTTCATGAACGTTTATTTTTATTAGCAATTTTTTCCCTATTTTCAAATGTAGTGCTTTTTTGGAAGGAACTTTGACTGTTACTTTAGGATATTCCCAGGGGTTTTCATAGTAAAAAGTTTAAAACCGGGAAAATTTATGAAATCATAAATATTATGGCTTTTCAAAACATCTATAACCGAACTCCACTCAAATTCGTTCTTCATTAATAATGGTTAATCTTTTGCGTATAGATATACATTAAATTTCCCCTTTATCTTCTCAATTTCTTATCTACAACAGTAGTCTATCTTGCAAAGTTTTACTATTTGTTTTTTTATATATATATTTACATGTGTTGTGTATGTAATTTTCAAAATCTTATTCTATATTTAAAATAGCTCATTAATAGTCTCATCTTTTAGGGTATTCAGATGGTCGAAGAGTAATTGTAATGAATCGAGATAAAACTAGGACTGATACCAATATTGTTCTTCCAGAAAGTAAGTTTTTTTTTATACCGTCTTGTGTAAGTTGATAAGAAATTTCATCTCTATCTTAATCCTTTTAAATACTATTCTATAGACATTTATGTATTTATGTATCTTATCTTTCAAATTATAAATTCTTGTCATTATTAGTACACTAGAAGTTATTGAATATTCCCATATACAAATTTGAATTTTGTTTAATAAGCTTAAGCATATTTTAGTTAATTTTATTTTAAATTTTTGTTTATTTATCAGTAATTTATTATTTAGATGAAGAAGATTACAATGATGAAGTTAAATCGTATGCAAGTGTTAAACGACTAAAGGGTAAATTAAAGAAAGTTCCAGTGCATTTGAGAACAACAGGTCTTAATAATGACAGAAATATTCAAAAAGGATTAAGGAAAATCATAAAGCGTAACGTAAATGTTACAGATTTCGATCAGGTATTTGATGTCTTAGTGACATTCATTTTTTTCCTATTGGTCAATTTATTATATGGTTACCATTTTATTCCTATAATATATTTATGTATGATCCCCACATTCTACAAATTATTTACATATTGTAGTTTAGTATTTTTATATCAATCAGTTCTGATTTAAATACAAAATACATTTTTTAATAATGTTCATTATAATAATATTCATTTATTGTATGGTTACCGTTTTGTTCCTATATAATATTTTTATGATCTCTTTATCCTTATAATTATTCATATATTGTAGTTTAGTATTTTTAAAACAATCAAACAAATCCCTTTTTTTTATAATATTTAAACAAAAAATATTGAGTCATTTTTTTTCATACATTTTATCAAATTCTTAAATATGTGTTATATTATAATTCAAGATAAGCATAAATTATTCTTCTGCATTTTATTTCAAATTCATCTTTTGTAATAAAATATGATTTCTTAATTTTTGAAACATTTTCATAGTTTTCTTCACATACTATGTAGTGTTTACAAATATTCCCTTATACATGACTATTTAAAATGTCAAAAATACTAAATTTAGATGTTCCTTGAAATATAGTACTCTTTAGGTATGATAAATATTAACTTTTAAATGCTTATTGAACTTCATCTTAATTTTAATGTATGTTGTACCATTTTATGTCCCTTTTTATTGTTTTATTCTGAAAACTATTTTTGCTATCTTTTAGTTAATGATCACAATATTGAATTATTTGCTCTTGATTGTATTTTCTTTTGGAAGATTTAATTTTATGATTTCTTTAAAGAACCTTTTAAATTTTTTGATCAATTGATTGCAGTTAGAATCGTATATTTTCATTGGAGAAATTCGGCATTTATCTAATCTATATATTGATTTTTACCCAATGAAGTTGTCTATTTCATTAAAAAAAAAATATTGACAACCATCTCTATTATATATAATGAAAATATATGACACTATTTATTATAGTTTTGAAAATTAACCAAGAAGAAATTGAAGTATTTTAAAAAAAATTCTAAGATCCTAATCATAGTTTCATACAAATTTATTGTTTATTAATGAATATATTATAATATTCAACTAAAAATATTTTATATAAATAAATATCTTACGACTCATACATTACAGTACAGTACTGGAAGTTTTAAAATTGATCAATTGTCCACAATATAATAGACATAATAAAATTGCATATTTTTATGTTTTTAATAAATGTTTATGGTTTTTGATTTTGTTTTTAATGAAATTATTTGGTTAAATTGAATTAACAATAAATTCTATGTATAATATAAAACAATTATGATATGTATTAAAAATTAACTTTTTTGTTTCGCATTTATTATTTCTATCAAACTTTTTGATTAATTTAATCTGTTTATTATAAAATGCATTATATTATATTTAATAACATTAGAAAATATTTGATTACAAAATTATATTTTACTAATTAAATTTATTAAGTATATATAAAGGAATGGAGTGAATATATTTATTTATTTTTCCAGTGCTTAATAAAAAAATTTAAGTTATAAATTTAAATAATATAAAATTAATAATAAGTATAATCACTTTCAGTACTGTTAATTATGTAGTAGTTTTTGTTTGAAAAATATTCTTATAGTACAAATTCTGTTTTGTGAATATCACTCAGAATATTCAGTTTTTCGAAGATTTGTTTTTTTTCTTATAAGATAGTTTTAGTCAGTAAAATTGTACACATTTTTCACATGATAACTTTTGAAAGATACAAATTGTTTGATTAAAGGTTCTGCTTATGGTTTTGTATAAATTATTAATAATTGCTAATAACAAATTGTGAACATTTATAATTTAAAAGTTTTAACAAAATATCCAATCGGTTATAATTTTTATATTTATTGGGCTGCACATAACCTGTATGTTTGTTCAAAACTTAGTTTTAATAGTTTAAACATCAAAACAAAAACAGCAGCGGTTCCCAACTTGCGGTACATAGAATTTAAATAATTAGAGATTTCCTTTAAAATTAAGATTTCATTTTACTCTTTTATGAATATCAAACAATACAACAAGTTAATAAATGAGTTAATAATAAAATATATAAGTAAAAAAATTTAATTAAGGTTGTACTACGCGTATTGATCATAAAAGTGTTAAATATTACTTGGTGCTGAAAGGTTGGGAACCTTTGGTTTATAGAGTTAAGAAGTATCTTCTTGTCTTTGTTGAGTTGTACAATTTAGCTGCATTCGGAATCTTTTTTTTTTTTTTTTATGCAATGATTAATCTATAGTATATTTACTATAGATTACCAAATCAATGGTCTATCTATGGTGTGAAGGATGTCTGACTTTTTAATACTCGTTTTTTACACATTTTTACTGAATGAAATAAGTTTGTTTTCTTTTATACATTTTTAAATTTAAATAATAATTACATATAGATTAGATTTTAGGCATATTATAATTGTACACAATAGTGTATTACTGAATAATGTTACTGGTAAAGTGTTTAATATAGGAATTCCTTAGAAATCTTAGGAATTTTACAGAATCCCTTATATTATTTTGCAATGTATTTAATTTGAATAGTATTCTAAATTTTATTTATTATTTTATTATATTTTATTTATTCTTTACAGTCTTCAGTTGTTGCATGCCATTTTGAACTGTATACAATATTATTTTTTACATAAACATTTTTTAGTTTAATGTTAAATCATGCATGTGCATTTTACAAAGCCTTGTGCAGTTTCTCTAAACCAGGGGTTGGCAATAAGCGATTCACCGGCCAAATCTGGCCTGTGAAAAGAAAACAGACTGATAATTTTTTTTTTGTACTTTCGGTTTTTGTTATTTTTCTTTGTGTAGATCCAGAATATTCAACCGTCCGAATGTGTAATCTATATTTATGATTAGGACTTGGAACTTTATGCATTTAAAATTTACAGAAAATACCTTAGAAACGTCAAAAGAAATCTGAAAAAAATTAAAAAGCAAAAATAACAGAGGGGTTTAAATTTCCACCTCTAATCATTTAACCATTAAATTCAATTATCTAACACATGTAATTTTTCTTTTTTTATAATACTTACAATTTTATTTAAAAACTTGTGTTAATAATTTTTGTAGTGTTCGAAAACTGTATTTTATAATAAGTTGAAGCCATTAGAGGCAGGGGAGGGCTTGTTACCACTTTTTGTTAGTTTTTTTTTTTCATATGGATTTTAAGTTCTTGAAATCACAAGCCCTATTTATGATGTATTTGGTGTTTTATTATAAAATTATATAATATATTTTATTCTATGAAATAATTAAAAATATAATAATAATTGTTTTTAATACAAAAATAAATAAATAATATGTTTTTCTGAAGGTGTTAAATAAGATAGAAAACCAAATAGGTTGAGGTTAAATTTTTTTTCAAATTATCTGGCCCCACTTAGAAACTAATTGCCAACTCCTACTCTAAACTGTTGGATGACTATTATCTGTAAAATAAATGTATTTTCCAATTTTATCAATTGTTATAAAATTGGTTTAGCATAATGTGAATACCTTAAGTAAAATACTTTAAAGTTCTTTCCTAAATAATAATACCCATTGTTAACTGAAATAATATGAACATGATCACATGTTTTCAAATGTTAATGAATTATAACTATATTTACTATTTTATGTTTACTTCTATGACAGCTAAAATATTTTGACCATTTTTTTGTTCATTGTTTACATAAGGTACTGAAACTCAATCTTAAGCATACAATTTTGTTGATTTAAATTTTTAGATTACGGTTTCATTTATCTACATTTAGTTAGGATTTTTAGAGTATTTCTATTGTTTGTTTTATTGAAATGTAGGTATTGTACTTCTAACTTTTCAAGGGTAATTGCATTGTCTTGATTATTTATGTAATAATTATCATTTCATGGAAATATTGGATTATCATATTTTAAATATTTCTAGTATTTATTTTCCATTGTCAATAATTATTGATACTTCTTCTGGTACATTTAAAGTCCAAACCTAACTTTACTGCTAAATAATGCCTACTACACATTTTAATTCCAAGAAGATGTTAACACAATAACAAATATTTTTAAAGACATTAAATTTTCTTGTAATCATGAACAATATGTTAATAAGTAATTAAGATAATACATTGCTTGTACATTATGGCGATAAGATGATTTTTCACATTTTTACTATAGTACATTAATATAGTAATGTTTAATTGTATATGAACTATATACACTTAGTGGCGTGGTGAACTCAAATATTTTCAAAAATAAGAATTTTTTTCAAATACTCCTAATTAAATATTTGGCACTTTTTTTTATCACTTTCTTAAACCTTTTTATATGAACAGGCATATAAGTAGACCACTCAAAAAAAGTCAGAGCCTGCGTCTTCTAAATTATCCCCTTTACCATACCACTTTATACACTTCCTACTGGATTGAACACTTTATTAGTAACATAAACAATTTAAATTTAAACTGTTTGATATTCTACAGAAGCAACATAAATAATTTTTTTATTTCACATTTTATAAGGAGTGACTATTAATCTATGACTAGTGACTATATAATCATTTAAACATTTAATTTAAAAGAAATATTTATAATGATTTTAATAAGTTATTAAACTTGTACAATTTTAAATGTACATTGAATTTTTATAATACATATAAAATGGTGACAATGTTGTTTGCAATAGCTTATAATTTCATAGAACCTTATTGTAGTAATGGTATAGAATCAACTATATATTAACTATTCATTAATTTTTTGGTTGGCTTTTTTAGGTTAATTACTATTTATTTGTTAAGTTAATATTTTGTTATATTATTATACAATTATAAAACAAATTAAACATTTTTTTATCAACACTGTAATATTAATAAATATCCATCACTATAAAATAAAATAATACTACTATCATTTAAACTGATCTTTTTGTAGTTTTATTGTAAAATGTGTTAAAATCAGGGTTCGGTTATTTTAAAATAATTTTGAATATAATTAGCTAAAATAGTTAATTATTTTAAAGCAAGAAATAAAATATATGCAAATTATTAAAATTCGCAAAAAAAACATTTATTTTGTTTAGGAGATATTTTTGTAGTTTTTCTGAAAATAGAGACTTGCACTTATTGTGTTCTTTTATAAGTATATAGTGTATAAATCTTCTCGCTATTTTTAGAAATTAATAGCTGAAAGTGTCAATGATATGTGCCTTTTGAAGGTTTTAACTTTCAACCTCTACCTCTACCACTGTTACAATTTATACAATTTTTTTCTTTTTAATATTATAGTATTTTATTATTAAAATATTCAATTTTTTTATTTGTTTCTAATGATCTAACCTAGATTAAATTTTTAATCAATGCTAATATTAAATTAAATTTTAAAACCATTGGAGGAAATCAATACGATGAAGATGTTAGGAAAATTAATTTCAGCCTATTTTACTTTTGGGTAATTTCATACACTTTAGAAAAATTGTATTCTTTTTTAATTTTTTATATATATAATATTGATTGATTAATTCTTTATATCAATTGACTATTAACGAACCCTGATTGAAATTATAGAAACAATAATAAAATATTTTGTTTTTTATTTTATTAAATTATATGATATACTATGATAGTAAGATCATAACAAATTGATTAATTAGATAATAACATTTAGTTTTGTAAATAATTTAATCAGTGTCCATTTTACAAAAAAAAAAAATGTAACATATGTTAAATGACTTTGTTTAGATCTTGAAAATTTTTTTAATTTATATTTAGAAATTGTTTATTCTAAGAATGTTGTATGTAATATTGTGTATTACTATTGTTTATACTGTCATTGGGAAAAGACTATTTTTATATATTATTTATTTGTCATGGTCATTTTTATTAATGTAATTAATATGAGTAATTACTAATAATTTATTTGTTGTGATTACCTAAGATTACTTTAAATATATTATTGTTATTATTATATCATATGTGTTTGCCTTATATATTTATTTATTTAATTTCATAAATTATATTTCTATATAGAATACATCTATTGAACATTGATTTTAAAATTAACTCATTCATAGTTTATTTAATATTAAAATGTATTTTATTAAATTCCATAAAAAATATATATTTTCATTAATTTGGCACACAAATATGAATTTTATGTTTTTTTCTTTTGTAAAACGGACATTTTATGTAAAAAAAAAAGTATGTTATTTTTGTTTTGTTTTTTTTTTTTTACTTATTCACTCTGTTTCATATCTATTGTACCGATTCAAAAATTGTAACGTAGATATATAAGCAAACAGAATGTCAATTTTTAATAGAAATATGAATTTTTATATGTTGTCACAGATGTAGGTATCCAAAACCATTCTCTACACGACAAAACAGCAGCAGCGTCATTTTATTATTATGGACACAAAAAAAATACATATATATTTTTATAATATATAAATCATTTTCAACTTTGGATGAATATCAACTTGTGGCCACTTAAAATGTTTTGTTGCGCATGTATGTTTATTAATATTATGTATACAACATCTGTACATAGTTTATTTTTATTTTACTTTGTAATTTTGTTAGTTAAGTTAACCGATTTTGTATTATATTTTTTAATCATCTAGTAAAAAATTAATGGGAGATAATTTACTATTAAATGATTGTTTAGGTTATGTATATATTTATTATACATATATACATACATAGTAATTATATTAAGGTACCTAATTTATATATTTTTAAATATTACATTGTTATGACTACCGTTCTGTTTTTTAACTCTTAGATACTTATTATTTTGATTGATCTTTGAAAGTGAATTTGTAACCTATTGAGTGTCAGTTTGAATATAACTTTATTTTAACGATTATTGCTTTTTTTTTATCATATTGAACAATGTATATATGTAAATATATTAAATATAAATAATTTTTTTGTAAGCCAAAAATGTTTTATTATTTCAATACAATGTGTAATGAGATTTTTTGTAAATGTCTGTGATTATTTTCCATTTAACTGTTAAGTAATAAAGAATTTAAAAAAACTAATTTTTGTTTTATTTTTAATAATCTATTTAATTAACATTTGCAGTGTAGTTGGTTTCAAAAACCCTAGCCTCTGATACTATGTGTATTAGTATTGTTAATATGGAAATGGAAGTTAGCTGTACATCCATCCAACTGAAGATGAACAATTATATTTGTCTGAAAATTACATTTTTGTATGTCTTTAATGGTAATAAATTAATTATTCATATTATACAGTATTATTACAGAGAATAAATTGTTTTTTATGGGTTCACGAGAATCCAACTGCTTAAGACTCAAGATAAAATATGTTAGGTATGTCTTACCTAGATATTAATGAAAAATTAAATGTAGACTGCCGTTTTAAAATCAAGGATAATATAAAATTTTAAGTTAATTTTTAAATTTCAAAAAAAAATTATTATTTTCAGAGATATTAAGTGTCTTATAGAAAATTGATCACCATAATTATTTTATTTTATTACAAATTTGTAATAGAAACAAAATATATTATACACCTCTACTTAAATCCATAATATTACCTAAAATACTGTAAAATGATACAATAATATCAGTATGTTTAGATATTAATTCAGATACATTATTTTATTTAACTATTGTTATTTTAGTTACCAATTAAAATATTTTCTTTTGAATAGTCAATTTTATAGAAAATGTTTGTACATGTAATCAAATAATAGTGTGGGCTAGAAAGTTGGTGTGTAGTTGAATCACGTCATGAAGATCATTACAGGTACTGAAATCAACCCAATTAGAGTGGGTACCCATACTAAAGCAATGTTTGTTAAAATCAAGTCACTATCCCGATCTATCAATACTAAAGGATATAGTAACCTACTTACCTAAGAAACTGAAGTCCAGAAACCCTATATAGGACTTGGTTCCTTCAAATTAAACGACAGGAAATATAATCAAATAGGTGGATAAACGTAAATGTCCGAAATTATTCCCTCATTAAAAACCCTGTTAGCAAAGTCTCAGGATTTCACTTAAATAGAGCATAATGAACATCCTTAAACTGTATGAGGACAGAGAAAGGCAAATATAATGATTTGCTACACAAATGGGGTATGACCATAGACTGACCTTTTCTATAGAGTAGCTATAGTCACTGGTTAAACACACAGCAGTAATTTAGCCTATAATCTCATCAGTGTTGCTATTTGACATCTATTCTTATAGGTGCAATATACAAGAATATTATACTATTACCACTTTCTGTTCTTATTTCCTTATACTAGTAGGCAGAAAATAATATATTTAGTGGCGGCTATCCTAAATTATACAGGTGTATGAAAATATGAAAAGTAACCACCTATTAAGGACACAAGTAAAAAGGGGGAGGGTTACACCCATTTCAAAATTAATTTTTAATTTTTATTCAACTGCTAATTTAATTATATTAAAAATAATTGAAACTCAGAACTCCCTAATAAATAATTTATACCAATTCCTCTATCACCTACCTTCACCAATATTCATACGTGTTTTTTCCCATTATAGAGCAGGGATCTCCAACCTGTCAATCGAGATTGACTGATTCATCTTTCATGGAATATAGATAGATTGTAATAAAAATTAATTTTACTATTATTAGTCGATCGCATTGTAAATAATCAAAAAGTAAAATATTATTTTTGCGATCTTCAGCACTTATGGTACCTTAGAATTTTCGAAACATGCAAATATTCAAAAATACTGAAATCTACAAAACATTACTCGTATAACTTCAATTTCTGGCTCAACTTTGCTATGTGAGTCAATATTTTCGAGTATGACATAATACAAATAATACAATTTAGGATTATCAATCACTAATAATTAAAGTTGTTGTGGTCCAACAAATTTAGATTAATATAAGTACTAGGTACTTGACCAACTTAATTATTTTTAAAAAATAATACAATATTACATTGCAGAACAGTTGGTTGATGTCTACACTTGTTTAAAAAAACCATACCTTTAAGAGCTTATTTATTATCCTCAAATAGCCCAAATAATATAACATATCTTACATTCACCCGTAGATAACTGACAGTATTTGGCAGCACAAATACAATAAACTAGATAATTAACTAGTGATAAGAAGTGAAGTTGAAGCATAGGCCTATATTAATTTATATTCAAAAGTTTGTATACTATTTGTTTAATCTTCATGAGGTAGATGATTGTGGATTTATTGTATGAGATCTATAAGTTGAAGTGACATTAATATAAATTAATATGTATTATCTAAATCTGTGTTAAGCACCATAGACTTTATACAGTAAAATGTCTATGCTTGACACTGACCACAGATATAGATAATAAAAGTACCTATATCTGCGACACATTAATAATTATTTTAATATTTTTACTGCTAATGGTTTGTTATTAATATTATAGCCTGAGGGCCTAAATTAAGTTAGTTTAATTTTTTTTCTGAAATAAAATTTTGTTTTGTTGGTGTTCTTTTTAAATTTTCCATATTGCTTTTTTTATAATTTGGAAAACTAGGAAAGTTAACACCATTACTGGTTTCATTACAATGGATTTTGTTTTTTTGTTGTAACTTGATTAAAAATAATATTAGACTAGAAATGTTCACAAAATACTTATACTAGAACACTATATTATGCTTTTCTAGGAATGCAAATATTTTGAAAACTTTTTTTCAGCTATTTATCCACATCAACATATATTTATTTTTTGTTGATTGTGGATAAAAATATATTATTACACAACATTTTCTGAATATTTAACATCAAGTTCATTAAAAGTTAAGTTTTACTTAGTGTTCAAAAAAAAAAAAAAAATTGACTGTATGTAGAAGTATTTTTTATAAGTGTTTTAATATCAAATTTTTACAAACATTAAAATTATAATATTTCAAAATATGTATAACCAAACATTGCACAGAATCGTTTTTCATTTGCGATGGTTTATTATTGCATAAGGTTATAAATTAATAATAAATTTATGTATTCTGCATTTCCATCTACAACAGTAGGACACCCATCCCCAATATCTTAAAAAACAAAAGTTGAGACAACCAGGTTTATTTACAACTTAAAAATGTATTTAAAAATGAATCTCACTTAATTATCTAATTTTCAGGTTTTTGTAGCTATCATTTATAATAAAATAAATGTGTTAAATATCATTTTTTTACATTAAATAAATTTCTTAAATATGGGAATAAGACGTAAAACATGACAAATATTATTATAAGATAATGTTTATATTGCATTATATTGTTAATAATGTCAATTGTGTTACTATGCATAATAATTGTAATAATTTATTAAAAGTTACTAAATACAATTTGCTTTATTAAAATATTTATTGTAATTAAAAAATGTAAAAAACTCAATATAGCTTAAATAGTTTTTATAAGCTTGCCTTTGATAATGTAATACTATCATTTTTCATAATGGAATATTCCCAATGATCAAGTAAATTTAATACAAATATTAAGGCATGCTAATAAGCTACATTAATTTATATTCAAAAGTTTGTATACTATTTGTTTAATCTTCATGAGGTAGATGATTGTGAATATTATTGTGAATAAAAAATAGCCATTCTTTATGTTCGCCTTTAAATATTTCTCCTTGGGCTTCACATCCACTGTCTTTTTTTAAACACTTTAAATATCTATAAAGGTAAAATAAATCAATAAAATATTTCAAGTTGGTATGTTAATGAAATAAATCGAAAAAAAAAATACAAAAAGAAGTTTTATAATTATTAATACCTGGTTTTATTTTGAATATCAAATACAGTATATTTGAATCCTTGTTCATCTGAGTAAACAGTAGAATCAACACACTCTTCATTTTCAGAATAATTAGTCTCCTCAGTAAAATCATCTTCAATTATAGGGTTTTCTTCATCACCCCAAAATTCTACAAATTGTAATGGTTGGCTGCATTTTTCTTCTATCGCATGTGATGCATTTTTTTTTAAACTTTTCCTCCTAGCTTTAATTTTTTCACGAGCATAACTCAAAGACACACGTTTTTCAACACCAGGAAAACTAATTAACAATTATAAACATTACTAATATAGAAATCTGTCCAAATAATAATAAAATATGTATCATTAATTTAGTATACTTCACTATTTCTTCATCGTATATTTTTTTTGGTTTACTATCATCTTTCAAGCATTTTAGCATTATTTTTTCAATAAATATAGCTGCTTGTAACTCATCATCGTCCAATGATGGATGATTATGTTCACCAGAATATTCCAACATTAAAACATTATTTACTTTTGATATTGAACCTTTAACTAAGCATTTTAATTTTGTATTCATATGACACCACACGAATCTATAAAGACCAAGTTTTATAAGTTTAAAATACAAAGGAGTTGATTAATACAAAATTAAATCTTTTAACTTACCTTCTTCCTTTTCTCATTGAATATAAAAATCCCATATCATCTCTATAAAGTGTATATTCTTGCCACATACCTGAAACTAAAGTCACACAAACTAATTTAACTTCATCACATGATTTAGGTGGTTGTCTTATCCTAGCCATGCTCCGCCATGCCATTCGGTAAGGAATTTTATCTGCTACATCATGAAACCTATAAATAAATAAATATTTAAATAAATACATTTGAGAACTTAAGTTTTTCATATTTATGCATTTACAAAATTATAGTATTCATATTTAAAAAACACATTTAATAATTTGTATACGTATATAGTTTGCTGTATTGTATAAAGTTTATTAAAAACCGTTAATTGAAATATTACAAAAATGTGATGTATAATATGTATATAACCGGCCAGAAGGGATTTTTCCTAATTAATACTTAAATAATATTGGTAATGCGTTTGACTAATGATAGCTGAACCAGTAAAGAAAATTTCCTGTTTGAATTTTCAATTAAGATATATAATTAAGATTTTTTTTCAAGGAATTAACCACTTAAAATCACAGTTCATAAAATAAAACTCATCACCAGTAATATTGTATTTCTAATACTAATGTATTAGCAGTCGATGAATTAGGTAGATATGACTACAACAGAGCTTTATAACTAAAAATTTAAAGTCGGAAACATTTTGTATAATTCCACTTTAAGTTCTGAGTAAAGTGAAGAATATATTGGTTTCACTATTAAGATTTTTTATAATTTTTTTTTATACTGTGTATCAAAAATCTTGTTTTGATTTTCCCATGAAACACCTATTCTGAGAAGAATTGTTATCTAGTAGGTATTTTAAAAAGGTTGTTTTTTTTGATTTTCTAAGAAGTTTTCATAATAATCAGGAAAAATGTAGGAATAAATGAACAAATATTAATGGTGTAATAACTTTACATTTTAGTAACTTGTGTATTTTACCAGAAATATTGATCCAAGAAAAAAAAAAAAAAAAAAAATTATTATTGTTGCATTTTTAATTTAATTGGTGAATAAAAATGTCATATTTTGATTTACCAAGTAATTTTTATAATAACTAGGAAAACCTAGAACATATTTTAGAAAGAACAGGAAAATTTAAGAAAATAGCAATTTTATTATTTTCAATTTTGTTTTTTGTTATAATTCAGTTAAAAATATTTGGGAGACTTGAAATGAGAACGAAAAATTATATTTTAAAAGTTAAATTTTCAAAACATTTGAGTTATTTATACATTTAAATGTTGCAAATTTTTAATTGGTAGGTATTATATGAATAAAATGTTTAGACTAAGATGCTAAGATGGTTTGGCATAGGAAGAGGAATCTGAAGCAGTAAGAATTGTAATGGAAATTAACATAAAAAGAACTCTGTTGGATATAATTGAGAATGATATGAATACAGCTGGTATATATGCATGGTAGATCATGTCAAGTGGAAGGTTAAAATGAGGGAGGCCAATCCCAAATATTTGGGATAAAGGTCAAAGAGAAAAAGTGTTGTTATTATTTTATTACTAAATATATATTTTTAACAACTGTGAGGTTATTTTGTGATTTTTACACTGCAATAGTACCAAGCGTGTAATCAGTTTTTACTAATAGTACAAACCGTAAAAACACCCAATTATTTGTGAATAATTGAATACTTATTCAAGTAGTGCATTTTATTAGTAACACTTTTACAAAACTGAATACTGAATAGTTAATATTAAACATAGCTAATGAAGAGAGGCTAAAGTCTCATAGATGCGCTACTAGTTATTAGCAATGGTAATGGACACAAATACTGTGGTGAAAATAATTTAGAGGTGGGATATTTAATGTTTTTATTGGTTGAATGGTCCAATATAGAGTCCATCTTGTTTCACAACTAGTTCTTTTTTCTTTTTATTAAATTATAATAAATTACATAATTATTTATTTCTTTAAGCTATAGTTAATCGACTTATGACAAAGAAAACAGATAGAAGAAAATAGTAAAACCACTTGCTTACTACTTTTAAAACATTTTCTTAAAAATAATGATGTTGAATTACTAACAAGTTCAATAACAATAATTTCTGATCAATAATTTCATGAAATATTTTCTAGAAGAAATCAAATAATATAATTGGATTAAAGACCCATTTACTGAAAAACTATTATCAAATTTCACAAACACAAAGGATAAACAATTATTAATAGACATTTATTATTTATCTAATTTTTTGTTCATTTATAGAATTTTTGAATAACATTAAAGATGAATACCCTGAGGTTGCCAATAAAGTGTTGTGTGTATTTTTCCAATTATTATGAAAATTCCTGGAAAAATCAAAAATTGCTTCCCTAAATACCATCCAAGTTTCTTTCAGAAAAAATGCTACACTTAAAAATTGAAACAAAAGTTGTTCATAGAAAAAAAAAACATCAATCTAAAACCAATACATTCCTTGCTCTGCTTAGAATCTAAAATATGAATGACAAGGGCATAAACCGTGTATAATTTACTCACGGCAGTCAACTTGTTAAATAGAAAACAAACACATTGTTCACATTATGATTGAATACTGATTCAATGTTTTTTTTCTTTGTAAAAATAAAACTATTTATTTTGATTTTTTTTAATTTTTATTCAGATTTATTTTGTCATAAAAATAAAAATGTTTAAAACTTAAAACAAATTTGTAATTAATTTAGTCGTGGTAGGCGTGATAATTTTTTTTTACTTTTAGGGATGTGAAAACCAAGAAAATTTGGGAATCGTTATATAGGGTACATATCTGTCCAATACCTCAAAAATGTATCACGTGATCATTGATAAAACATACTACTGAATATACTAGTTTAGAAGCTATTACATATATAAAATAATTTAATGTATAATTAATATTATACATTTTGAATTTACCATTTGGATATCAACCAATATATAAATATACATATATATATATATATATATATATATATATATTATTATGTACAATTATTAATTTATCTTTTAACTTTTTACTTTTCAATTTCTTGATTGTATATATCTTTAAGAGTCAAATTTAGATCAGTTCTGGCACGTTCACATAGTGTACTAATAAATGATCGTTCCATTGGATTTCTTTTTAGATTTCCTGGCGGATGGTTATGATTTTTAGTCCGAAATATGACAAATCCATCCCCAGATGATCGCAAGAATCCTCTAGAATGGCATGGCTCTTCTGTTGTTGTTTTTCTGTTTTTAGTGCATCTTACTATCCTAAAATGTATTTCCATTAAAATAATATCAATTACAATTAATAAAATAAGTCAATACATACTTTCCATTAGTAGTCAAAGTATCATTATGATAATGATAACCTAATTCATCTAAATACAAAGATGTACCTCGTCTAGTACCAGGTATTACTTGCACAGACAATAATAATGGTGTTTCTTTTGGTAATTCAACAGCAGCTGGTTGACTTTTAAGTCTCCTTGTTCGCTGCATTCGTCGAGTAGCATTAACATAATTTACAACAGAGGATGCTAGAGGAAATCTAGAACATATTTAAACTTTAGCTGTAAGGAGGTCGGAATATATTTTTTTTAATTTCTCCAATTTTGTAAAATTTAATTTTTTACAGCTATCTTAATTTTAAGGCTTCCATTTTTACATTATAGACCAGTGGTTCTGAACCAATAGTCCGCAGTCCATCAATAATCTTAAGGTGATAGGTCTGTCATCATAGGTGTTCCGCCAAACGGAAAAGAAAAAATCAAATTATTCATTTAAAATGATGTGTTTATAAATGTAATATGTTATATTTCGTGAATTTTCAAAAATAATAGCTTAATGTTGGATGCCTTCAAAATTTAAAATCAACCTTTTAAACAACTACCCAGGCAAATGCAATTATATACATTTAAATTGAACTTTGAGAAGTATGCCTATGTTACGTGTTTACACGTTACTACAAGTATACGCGTGTGAACCTGTAGCAAATATTTTGTTAAATTGCGTGTGCGCTGAATTATTTGAAAAAGGGGGACCATTCCATAAGAGAACATAACCCAAAGCCAGGGCTAAGAAATTTATTAACCTTTTGATCAACACTAAATAAGGGCAAAACGAAACAATAGTAAAATGTACCCTTTTACAACTGCAAATTGTACATAAAACATAAAACATTAGAATTGACATATAAAATTGTACAATAAACAAAATAATGTAGATAGCTACACTATGAACAATGGGTTACGGGGGTCCCTCGGATCATATATATATATATAACGCCGCCTGAATCATCGTCTAATCAGACGAGTCCACCATGATCAAAAGCAAGTAACTTTGTATCACTCTGTTTTATGAAATTTTATTGGACATGTAATATTTTTGTGTGTGAAATTAAATTGGACTTCAAATATTTTTCGATGTTTGTGAATTAAATTATTTGGATTTGTATTATTTTTGTGAATTTATTTATTAGACTTGTAGTTTTTGCATGGAAAATATTAATTATCTATGAACTCAAGTTGGAATTTGTTGTATTTCAAACATTTTTCCTCCAAGTCCTATTCCTACGTTGAGCTCATTACAACTATTTATTTGTAACTAATTTTCCACTTATTGGTTTAAAACATGTGAAAAAAATAGGTGTATTCCAACCCCCTTAATACATGTTTAACTTACTTTTTTATTTCATCATCATAAATAGTTCTCAAGGAAGTAGTTTCAGTTTGTGCTCTTTCTTTAATAGACTGTAAAAATAATCGAGCTTCTTTCTCTGAATCACAGGTAGATGATGGTAAATGATTATGGCCTCTAGATCTAGTAATATTCAATGTTTTTTTATTTAAATGGGCTCGTCCAGGGCATTTTTTCTTTCCCCAAACAATACATCTTAAATACCTATTAATAATTATTAATTGTAATCAAGTTCTAATTTAATTTATGAATAATTTAATAATATTAATGACTCACTTTTTGTCATTTTTTTCATTCTGTATCTGATAACTATAACCCATATTATCAAAATATACTGTTGAATCAATTCGCATTTGGGCAAAGCCTAATTTACTTCTAACTCTTTTTTTATTTTGTTTGTTTATTAGTGGTTTACTCAATCCAGATGTTTCTGGATGTTCAGTTTCTTTATTACTGATAGTATCTTCTTCCATTTTCAGATTATCCCGATTACATGAATCGTTAGTATTTTCATTTTGAGATGCATCTGTATTGTGAGGTACATCTGTATTTTGAGATACATCTGTATTGTGAGATACATCTGTATTGTGAGATACAACTGTATTGTGAGATACAACTGTATTGTGAGATACAACTGTTTTTTGAGATACATTTTTATTTAAAAGAGACTTGTCATCAGTTTTAGAACTTTTTGGAGTAGTATTTTGATTATAATTTAATGCTATCTTTTCAGGAGTATTAGAAACTACTACACTAGAACGGTCAATAGGTGGTATTATATCTAAATTTGGTTTTTCTACTTTCAACTCAATTGTTTTAGAGATTGGATTGGGTAAAAATTCATAAAGTTGAGCTTCCTGCCACTTATTACAATAAATACAACCTAAAGCAAAAATTTAATGCAACTGAATAATTAAATATAATTAAAATATGCTCAAATTAGATAAATTTAAATTATTAATATACCAAAACTTACAATACATATTAACAGATTTTTCCCTTTCCTTTTTAAAAACTTTTTCACTGACATCTTTATCATTCAAATTCTTATTTTCACCAATATAATCATTATGCATATAGGTATCATCTTCAAGTTCTATAACTTCCATATGGTTCGTGGCATCAAATGTATTATCTTTTATATTATCTTTTGTATTATCTTTTGTATTATCTTTTGTATTATCTTTTGTATTATCTTTTGTATTATCTTTTATATTATCTTTTGTATTATCTTTTGTATTATCCTTGTTACTAATAGTATCGTCAGGAATATTTTTGTAATCGTTGATTGCATCAATAAGTTCATCATCTTCTATTGGAAAAAGTGGACCCTGTATTTTTTGTGGTTGTCGAAACCTTTGCATTCTTCTTGCAGTACTTGAAAACGATATTTTACCTTTTAGTTGTGGTATTCTGTCAAAAATATAAAATTATTATTACATTTGTTGAAATAAAAACTTAATAGTTAGTTAAGACATAATTATAACTATAATGTACCTAATATAAAACCTGAATTTCATAAAAAAAAATTCTTGTTTAAACCTTTAAATAATAGTATGATACTTTGTTTAAATTGTAATTTTTGAGGATTTAGAGTTTTGTACATGTATTATTATTACCAGTACCTGGATATTAAAATGCTAAAAAGTATTGAAGATAACATTATTTCTCGAAAAATTACAAACATAAATTTTAATTTGAATAAAGACTCAATAGTGAATGGTAGCATTTTCCTAAAATCCTATAAATGAATCTAAAATTAAAAACACATTAATTCAATTAAACCGTACTCTTCATTTTTTGAATATGGACTACAAAATATAATTCTTAAAAAGATATCAGATACAATCTCCTTTCCTTTAATGTTAATATATAATTTAGCTCCTGTTATCTGGTATATATCCAAATTTATTTAAACAATTTGTAGTTACTCCAACTTTAAAAAAAAATGGAAACAAAATGGATTGTAACAATTATTGTTCTATCTCACTTTATCACTATCTAAATTGTTAGAAAAATGCATACAATTTAGACTTGTGAGATTTCTAGATAAAAATATATTTTTTGATAGAAACCAGTATGATTTTATAAATGGTAGATCTACTAATAATTCCCATTTTATAGTAAATTACTCCATTCACAAAAATCTTGATAAAAAAAAAAAACAAGTGATAGGAGTACTTCTTGATGTTAAAAAAGCTTCTGATTCAATAAACCATAAAATACTTTTAAGAAAATTGCAAAATGCAGAATCTTACATTTAGTTTTAAATGTATTATTTATTTATTTATTATTTATTTATTTATTATTTAATCAATACAGGCTGAAGCCCAAAAATACAAATAGGTATTAATAATTACTTAACTAACATAGAGGCTTAAAATTAACTAAACTAATTTATGTTATTTGTTATATTATTTTGAAAAACCAATTTTTTTTTTTTTCATGCATAAACTTAGTATCTATTTAAATAACAATATTAATAAATATAATTAGAAGGAAAAGGAGGGGTTGTTAATTGCAGCTCGCATGAGACAAGCAAAAAAATTGTCAATTTAATTAGAAGAGGAGCTTAGAATGTGGAAGGAGACAGAACAGTGAGTGGTACGAGATGGGGCTTGGAAATTTATAAGCGATAAGAGAAAAGGAGAATCGAGCCAAGAGAAAAATGGATCGCTGATACCAAGACAGTATAAATTTTTGATAAGAATAGTGGTCTACGAGATTGAACACTTTGGAAAAATGTATATAAATTACATCAACATGCTTGAGATCGCAAAATCTATTTAAGTATTAATCCATATATACATCTTATATATAATACATCTCTTAATTTTGTATGCCATTTATATTGCTTTTTATATTATCTATATTTGTTTATCTAGGTATATTGTATTTTTTTTTCTGATTTAGGTTATTGATTATAATTATTTAATTTTTTTATGTAGCAAATCTTACATCCTAAAAATTTAATCTAATTATTGAACTCTCAACTCCACAACATGCATTAGCTAACACGGGTTTAGTAACTTTTATGTAAAAGAATATGCTCATTGTTTGGTTACAATAAAACATTATTATTTTAATACAAAACTTTTTCTACTATTTTCATTCAATTTAAATAAAATTTATAATTAACACAAAATAAATCACACTTAATGCATATTAGAAAAAATTATTAATTTAATTTGGAAAATATCTTTTAAAATCTAAATGGTTTCAAATATGAAATATAAAATTATATATAAGGAATACCTGATAAATAATATAAATTTGTAACTTATACTGATTTTTTAATCCGAGTCATACAATAATTAGTAAATGTTATAAAATCCAAACCCTGATTATTGTTAATATACTTGTTAAACTTACTTTCTAATTTCTTCATCAAAAATTGTTCTGTTTGAAGTAGTTTCATTGATCGCTCTCTCTCTAATTATCATCAAAAATTTTCTTTTTAATAAATCTTCTTCATAGTTTCTTGGTTTATGAGTATGTGGTTCCCCTGAATGACGAATCATGTCGTCAACATTTCTAATAACTGCTCTGGCCGGGCATGGTTTATTTTTTATACTTTTTTGTGTACACTTTAGATACCTTGAAAAAATATATTAATATTGAATAATAACTCAATTTATTTAAATGTTGTATTACTTTTTATTGTTAGCAATTTTATGGTTGTGATAAGCATATCCATCTCCATCATAAAAAATAAAGCAATTTGGTCTTAAACCTGGAGCAGTACGGACTAATGTCCAAGTGGATTGGGTTTGTTTTAACTGTTTTTTTGTTTTAAGTCTTGTCTGAGGTCCAGATTTAAGGTCTTCTTCATAATCAGGGTCATCTGATATATTTATTATATCATTTTGACTACTACATTCTTCAGTAGATTCTGTTAGTGTCTCGATATCACAATAATTATGATCTAGACAGTCAAATTAAAATCATATATTATTATATCTATGAATAGATATAATTAACATTTATTCAAAAGTTTTAAAAATAAACATTTGAAAATGTACTTAAGTTAGTTCAACTGCAGTTTTTTTATTAAAAAGATTAGAGAGGTGATTTGGTTACTCAATAAAAGTTAAAAAAAAAAACAAAAATTGTTTTAGAGGTTAATATTCAAAAATATTTGTTGTGCTGATTCTTTGTTAATTGACAAAGATATGATGAATAATAAGAAAAATTAAGAAAGAATTAATATGAGCAGATAAAAATATAATGATAAAATAACTATAAAAAATACAATATTGTAGAAAAATGTAAAAAAAACTTAAGTCTCCAATCATAATTTTTAAATTAAAACCATAAATAATATTGTTAATACGCACAATTTATATAAGTATACAGGGCTGTTTTTTTTTCATATTTTTACATTTCATTCGTATTTAATAGGTATACAGTAAAACTTTAATTATCCACACTAATTAATGGCAAGGATGTTTAGAATAGGCAAATATAATTTGTGAAAATAAACAAATAATTAATATCAACTGAAATTAAGGAAATAAATGAAAACTGACTTTTTGGTTTTTACCAGATAAGAAGGCTTCTAATAGATTTTGAGGGCCTCAGTCTAATAAGTTTTTACACTTAATTAATATATATTTTACAGGGCTTTGGTTAAAATTGAACTTTTTATTGAAAAATATAATATGTAAGGGTAATATTTTACAGTATAATATAATAAAGATTAATAATTTCAACAAAAGCAAGGACCAATAAATTAAAGAGCTTCCTTTCAATTGTACACAATATTCAATAGTATACATCAATGTTTTACAATATATTATAAGCTTCTTCATAATTTGATTTTCAATACTATTGCACTTATTATTATTCTTTACGATTTGTATTACACAATAAAACAAAATATAGGTAACAGAGGTTACACTACTAGTAGTACCCTCCTTTTGGATTTTCTAATCCTCCCACCATTTAGTACGTAATTTGTTGACATGTTCCAGAATTTGTTTACACTTCTTACTTTGTTATAACTTTAATAACTGTTGAGAGGGGAGGTTGTTTAAATGTTCATCTAACCCCTATATTTTAAACATGTATAAAATGCATTTTTAATTTCCTAATACCATCATTTTTGTTGAATATATTTACCATACTAATCTCAACAATCAACTATAGGAAAATATTATAAATACCTAGGTATTTTTAACTGTTTATCTTTTTTGGATTTCGTCAATGTAAATAATTAAATTTTTGTATTTTAGTATAACATCAATGGTTTTCAACAAACTATTTAAAAAATGTTTTAATAATTATATATTATAAATTAAAACCTGCAAGTTTTATTATTACATTAATGACAAAACTGTAAATTTGACAATAAACTCGAAACAAAATATTGTCATAAAACAAATTATGTACTAAATAGTGGTAGTATTAAAAAAATCCTGAATTCAAAAAGGGGAGACCAGTGTAACAGTTAAAATATATGGGTGGTATATGAAATAGTCTTCATAGCGTTACTAGATATTGCCAGTTTAAACTCTAGACTGGCCTGAAAACGTAAGTGTATAATCTTAATTTATGCCTCAGTGACCAATCATTAAAAATATTATGGTCTTGATTCTCGGATACAAATCATAGACAGTAAACGTAATATTTTGATTAATTTTCTACAATATATATATATGTTACAAATATCTAAAATAAATATATTGTGCTAATTAGTATCGAATTGTCGAAAAATGATTACGGGAACTTCGCACTGATTTTACGAACAAAATGTGCATGCCCCAGAAATAAAGGAATGGTAGGTAAGAACACTTACCTGTCATCTTTGATCAGAGGGCTATACGCACTAACGACAATAACGAAACGTTTAAAAGTCGATTTTACGATCTTCAGTCAATGATATATTGTAGCTTCCAGTTGACAGTAGAAACCAATGAATTGGATGTCGAAGATATATATTAATAATAAAATAAATTCAATTAAATTTACCATCTATTATTATTTGTATCGTGAAAAAAACTCTCTTTTTGTATATATAGTGTAGTAGTTTATACGATTACGTCAAAGCGTCATTTGTTCCATGATAAAGTCTGTGTTCAGTCCTCGGCAGTTAGTAGTTGTACGACACATATAACTGAATTGTTATATTATCAAAAATATTCTATTCATGATCCATGGCAAGTCAATTCACGGGCGACAGGTACACGAAACACGACTTTTAACACCGTCTCTATGTGTATGTAGTAGTTGTAGACATGCTAAATGGTTGTATACATGTAGTAGATATTATGGCAACTTCGCATTGCAATTTGTGATTGTTCATTGGTGAACTCGTACCTACACATGGATATACTATTAAACATATGGATATTGTATTGAACGCAAATTTGTATGAAAACAAAGGTGATACTATAGTATTTGTTATCACTAATGTACTGCGCACCTCTCTTACACAATATCACGCACAATCATTACTTTCCTTGTCAAATCATAGAGTTACTCTATGTGTCAAATAAGAGAGAAAAACATTGTTTCTCTATTCGTTATTATTGCATCAAAACCATAGAGTAATATAGAAATATGGAATTATGAGGCGCCGTTTTGTCAACAAATTAAGGAAAAAACTGAATACTAATTTTACAGTATGACCATTTCATACGAACTAAATTATTGTGCAGATTCAAACGGCCAACTATACATTTATAATTTACTTATTGAACCATAGTGATTATCGCTGTAATTCAAAAATGTATTGTCATTATAAAAATATGTATATCATCATACATAAATCTGTCGGGAATCCTAATCTACGCTGACCCCCCATGAAACATTTCTGGATACGCTCTTGCATAGAGTAATATCACTCAGTTACTTCAATAACATTTATGCATTATGCAAACAATTATGTATTAAAATATTGAGTTGAAAAATATAAGTATGTGTATAGGCGCACCATAACAAAACTGCCACTAATTTAAGGCCGCGCCACACAAGAGCGTTTTGCACCTCGTGGTGTCAACGCACGATTTGCGCGCACTACACTAGCGCAGTTTGCTCGCGTTCACTAAATCCTCAAATAAAAATACCTCGTCTAGTTCAGACGTATTTGTAGTTTTATTGTTATTATAGTTTTGATATTCGTTCTAAAACGCGTCGTACACCGATTACGTGTGTCGCGTACCACGTAAAACAATGTGTTATGATTCCAAGCGTTATCGTGTTTAAAACGCAAAACTCGTTTTTAAAACGACAAATTCGCCATTATTATTTACAGTATAGTTGTTTTCGGGATTTATTTACAGGGATTTTTTTTCAGATTACCAGAATTCACTGAACTATATATATAGTATATAACTATAAACTATAAGGCATATAGTTCAGTGCCAGTATTTAAAAAAGCAATACCATAGATAATACATGTATTATCTTTGGACAATACCCATATCATAGAGTAATAAAATGACACATACGTATTTAGATCGATACAATTTTATACCTTAACGTCCTCAACTAATTGGAGACACTTAGTATCGTTAAGTTATCGTTAATCCTGCTTATCAGTTATCACTTATTTCATAATACAATGTCGCCAATGTACAATACAAAAAAAGGATAACTTAACAATAAATTACAAAAAAAAATTTGGAATTTATTTGTGTTAATGGAATAAATATTTTTAAATATCATTTACTCATAGAAGTGTACCTTTTCGTTCTTCCCGATAGAAATAATTAGTGAGGATACATTAGAAAAAATATAGGGGAGCTCCATCCCCTTATGCCCTCCCAATATTCAAGCACTGCCTGTAAATATAACTTCGGTGTAAAAATCTTTACGGCGCAGTAATATGACACCTGCATATACCTAGACCACGTGAAATAATTCCGAATAATTTTGAAAAACCAGTAAACGAAATATAGCAACGTTTTATTTCGCAACATGCGATGTAAATTAAAATTTACTACTATTAGGATTGACCTCCATGGTGAAACAGGGTAGGTAACGTAAACCCCACCATTAAACTAATTACAAGAATCGATATTTATTTTTTAATACTCTGACGGACGTAGTAAATTATATATTAATAAAGTTATTAATTATATTATTAGTTCTTAAGAGGTTATACCCAATATAACTAACTAAACTTATTGTAAAATTGTCGTACTAAAGTCAGCCATTTAAAAAAAGAAAAAACTAACTTGGTTGTATTATTTAAATATTTTCTAGTGGCGAATTGTTTCAAGTCAAATTCCAACCTAAACAACAATGTATGTTAAGAGGACGTTATACCCACAATTACAACTGTCTTAGTCAAACTACCAGATATAACATGCAAAGCTTAATTTCGATTTTAGAGTAAAAGTACATAATATCATGAAATTTAAAGGGAATAATATTTTGGAGGGGATGTTATAGGAGTTTTTTGATTTATGAACTATTAAAAAAGTTACAGTTATTTAGAAAACAAAAAAGGTTTTTGTATCGATTTTTCCTCATTAAGCAGAGATATTGTAATAGGCGGGAGGATAGGAAGTTGTTCGACTTTATCTTTTAAGGGCCGTTATTACCAACGTAAAGAAGGGCGTTTATCTGATTTTTAAACCGAGTTTATGGCTGATTACCGACCACTATTGGTCGATTACCTTATAAAAAATATTAAAGTTTAATAATCAATGTTTATGTTGGTGAGAACGGGCTGAAGATTTTAATTCGTGATCTATACCACGAATTAAAAAATATCTAATCCGTGGGCCATATGCAATGTTTAAAGATTATATAAATATAATAATCTTATAAGATATTATCTATAAACCTTGGTCTATACCATAGACAAAGAGTATAATAAATGTCTATGGTCTTTACGTAATATAATAAATATTTGTGGTATTATTTATACTGGTATGCTCTCATAGTCTTATCCACGGCCATATCTTATCGTTTATTTCATAGTTCTACTGGTTTTCAATTTTCTAGATTTTACAAATTTTAAGTTTGGTACGCTAATATAGTTATACAAAAAAATAAATGTTTTATTAACATTTTGTAAGTATATTAATTGTCTTCTACTCAAACTTCAAAGTTACAAAGAATAATTTAAATCGATTTTATCTTATAGTTTATAATTCAGTTACAATAATTTAATATTTCTTTTCTACTTTGCAGAATATGAAGTTAAACCCCAATTTACATTGTGTTTTTAAAATGTTTAAGATCTAACGGCTTTCAAATATTTTTGTAAACGTTTTGTGCAAAATGTCAAATATTAAGTTACATTTATGTATATTGTACTCAAATATCACAAAAAGCAAAAGTTTTTTGAATTTGAATGTTTAAGCTGCCCAACAACATATTGCTCAAATTGATCGATATTTCAAAAGTGACATTACATCTATTAATTCTGGTGATTTTTTAATGTCTAATGACTTAATGTGCAAATTGAGCTTATATTCTTAATCTTTGAATTTTGTAAAATGGTTTATTCATTTTGTATCGGTTTAGTTGCCTATTCGATAGTGCCACAGGTCCGTGTTTGGAAATGGTTTGGACACTATAACAATCTCTCTATTAACAATCATATACCCAAAGTAAGGTCTCCAGTGACTTAATCTAATGGGTGTATGTTACCTATGTGACTATATTTTTTTCCAATTTTATGTTCCCTATTTTAGAAATAACAATTAATATTTATAGAAAGGAGTAATTTATGTTGTGTAGTTATTTGTATTTGTATATAACAAATTAAGTTCTCATTTTTAAATTCATATATAAAAGAAGAAACTGACTGTCTTCAGTACTCTAACTGCTGAATCTTGAAAATTGACATTTTTCATAGTTTTTTAATTTCTTATGGATAGGTAACCACTAAAAAATGATTCTTTTAATTTTTTAATTGATTAATTCTTCTAATATTACCCCTTATGTTTTGAAATGGGATATTAAAGTTAGTGCGGAAAATAACTATTATGATTAATTAAAACAATTCATTAGGACAGTTAAATAAGTAAATAGCAGATGATTTTGGTTTTTGAAAATGATTGTAAAACTGAATGCTATGTAGAAAAAGTGTAAATTTGTGCGAAAACATTTATAAATTAGCTAACAAAAATACTTTAAAATATATATTTGGTACTTTTTCTGATAGTTAAGAGTAGTATAATATTCACATTTTATCCACATCAATAACCTATTTATCCTCCACAAAAAAGACATACAATTTTATCTGGAAAAAGTAACTAATTAAAGTCAATTAAATTTTACAATAGAAACATTTCATATGACATTACTTACAATACTATAATGTGTACCCTCTATAGAATTGGAATTAACATTTAATAATTAGTCCCTTTAATGTTATTGTAAAATGTCTACAGTATTTTTAAACTTTGGGATATTACTACTAGGTTATGCACTTATATTAGTCATAGCTTCTATAGATCTTTAAAATTGTTAACAGTTTATTCTTTTTAACTAAAAATTAAATAATAATTATACAACATTAATTGCCAGATCTAATTGATAATTATTTATAATTTATTTATTTTTTGTTAAATAAATATTTATGTAGATATGTAAGTGCTACACATTGTTTTAATTATATTTTCAACTATTATCCTATAGTTAAAATTTAAATTTGATGTTTTTTTTTTTTTTTTTTTTTTATAGAAGTAGCTCTCAAAACATTATTTGGTGACGGTAAAGGAATTGTTAAATATGCAAAAATTGTTATTAGCTTAGATTCAAACACTAGAGTGATTATGTCTGACATCCTATTTTTTATTTCTTCAATTATTAGAATTATTTCCTACAAAAATTGTTTGTTACATTAAATTAATAATAGTAAATACAAATTTATAAATTCACTAAAAGTTTTGTAATAGTTTCCTGTCACATGTTTTTTAGCACTAAGCATTGGTTTAATAAAACTGCTTTTTAGCTATAACAAACACATTAATAGGATATTGTAATGACCAGTGCTGGCGCTAGGAGAGGACTACTGGGATATAAGTCCAAGGCTCTGCACTTGTTTTAGTTTTAATATTATTATTTAGACATACAATTATTATTAGTTATACTTAAACATTGACCAGGGCTCCACAAAACCTAACGCTGGCACTAGACTCGTAGATTGTTATTTTGAAAAAAAAAATAATAATAATATCAAATATGTTATAGGAATTATGTACTTTATATATCATAACTACAAAAAAAAGTGCAGACATAAGTATTAAAACCTATCAAATATATGAGAAACTTTTTGAGTTAAATGATTTTAGTGACCAAATTGAAATTGTTAAAATTATAGAACATTTGAATAATGAAGTATCATTAGGTGAAAAAATAACAGCTACAGGTAATATGAGATGAGATTGTACAAATATACATATTTTACTATATTAACTTTTTTATTTCTATTTTAATCATTTGTAGTTCGTCAGCATGTATATAATCTATTTGGAGTAATTGCTCAATATCATCCGATGTATTTAAGATATTATAAAGATAAACTCATGAATTTATTTTTATATGAACTACAAAACTAAGTTAATAATTTTACTTTTATTTATTTATTTTGAAAACAATTTATGGTGTGCAATTTTATAGATAGATATACGAGAAAAAAATATTCGCGAAATTTTTACTGCCAGTAGCTATCGGTTATTTAAATGGATTAACAGGATTCTTAAATAATTTTGCGAACCATATAGAAAATTGTGATTATTGTGTTCGTTTTTATGAAATATTAAAAAAATTAATTGACACAGTTGAAGATAATAAAACACACATTATTAATTGAAGTAAAATACAATAAAACATTTTTAAGTATATCTTCAATATAAAAAAAAAGTTTAAGTTTTAGCTGGCCTAAATTTATTTCAAAAACATGTTCAACTATTTTTAAAGTTATTATTCAAAGATTCAGCTGAAATTGTATGGTTTCCAAAAAAGGTATAGGATTGGTGCTCATTGCCAAATTTAGAAGATAAAAAAAATTGGGTTATCTTCATTTGAAACACTCTATAAAGGGGCTATAATCAAATTTTCAAGAAATTCAATCAATATTGAACCAAGTATTGAAAATGTTCAATGAGAATTAATAAAAGTATAAATTTAAAAAAATATTTTTTCAAATGTTAACACAACATACTCTTTTTAATTAAATTATGTAATAATATTCTACTGTATTATAAACATTATATATTATAGAATTATTAAATTGCTGGTTTTCTGTGTTGTTTTTAAATTATGATTGTTTCTTAAATCTAAAATATATGATCACAAATTAAATTTTCAAGAACAAGCTGTAATAGTAAGAAGTATTGGGTGGTTATCAGAACCATGTTATAATTTTTTAGGAGAAGAAAATTTAAATGAAATATTCAAGATTCTTTCTCTGCAAGCTGATGAAAAATATTTAAAGTATATTTTTTCTCACAATAATTTATAAGCTTCTTATTAATCAACAAGGTTTAATTTAGTTGTGGGTTTGAAAAAAAAATTGTTTGATCCAAATGCAGCTAATTATTTAAATTTATTATCACTGATTATACGAAATATAAAATCATTGAACTCTGATCAAGTTTTATTTATTCAAAAATTAAGCATTTATTGTTTTAATGATTTTATATCTGCTGTGCCAAATTCTGAATGGCGAATCAATATAAATAATGCTATAATTACTTCTATATACTGTTTAACATTGTCTCATGGACATATTTTGAATGAATAATTAAAACATTTTTCTAAAATGAGTAACGTTAATCATTTTTTTTGTGTAGTTTATGTGGCATTAATAAAATCTTGTTTACACCGTGCAGCAATTGATGCTGATATAATAGAAGAATATACATTATATAATATAATATATTTATTATAATCAAAAGTACTAACTATGTTCCGTTATGGATATCTTTGTTAAAAGCTCATCAATGTCATTTATTTGATTTATATTTAAGTAAGAGTTTTTTATTTTTATTTTTTTTACATACCTACAGAAATGTATTTGAATATATTTTTAGATGTCTAATCTCTGTTTAAGAGTAATATAATTATAATTTATTAATAATTTGATAAAATTAGATTGTGTTAATTTATTGTTAAATCATGCAACTAAAAAAATATGAATACAAATATTTTTATTTATTAATATTTAAAAAAATTTTGTTAGTGTAGTCTGTTGACTTTTAAGCTGGTGGTTTTTATACCACACTTTTGGAAAATTCACACCCATTTGTTAATATGTTATTATGTTCATGTAATTTATTTGTTGTAATAGGTATTCTTAAATTAACTATTTAGATGCAAAATAGCGCAGTTGGTATAGTTTTAACTTTTAACATGTTCAGGCCAGCCTATGTTTAGCTTAAAAGTTGACAAAATCCAATATTTTAGTTAATGATTGGGATAATCAAAAAAAAAAATAATTTAATGATATGAATATTATTATTATTATTATTATATTATAAAAATCTATTGTTGTGAAATTTAAAATACATAAAAAAACTATTTAAATATTGTTTCAGAGTATTGATATTTTTAGCTAATAGTGATATTGGCTCGAAGTTCGGTTGATAGTGTTGCTTTGTCAACAATATATAATATGATAAAATAATAACATATGCATTATTTATTTTCTTTTATAATAATTGTTTAATATTTTATCGATTTTCTCGTTTTTGCAATTTTTTCCCTGGTTTTTATCATTGTAAATCAGAGCAAAAAGCTGGTATAAAAATCATTCACTGATAAAAAAAACAAAAACAATAATAAACATTGTAAAACCAATACATTTCTTGCTCCACTCAGAATCTAAAATTTTATGTGTTAAGATCTTAACATATATGGAATATAATGAAGTTCAAGAAATTTGTGTAGGGGACTAAAAGTATTAATGGAATATTGTTGAAGGAGCTTAATATATTGTTAAATACTCAACATTTATTAAAAACAATTTCATTTCCTTCAGAAGTGTAATAAAAAAAAAAAAATACATTATTATATAAATTTAATCAGGAATCTTACAAGTTAATGTCTTTAGTAAAATGTTAATACATTTATTTTGAAAATTATTTTCACAGATATACCAATTACAGTTAAGTCAACACTAGAAAAATCACTAATGTGTAGTTTTATGTGTCACAGTGTCTTGAAAATAATAACAAAGTTAGATTTATTTACTAATGAATCTCCTAATGAAGTAGATATTATTACAATATTTTTGTTGCGATACACTATTGGTTATTTTTTGTTATTTATTTTTTAGATTGAAATTGAGTATGTTGCTAAAAAACCTTCAGATTTTACAGCATTGGTTAATCTAGTGACTATAGTGAAATATTAGATAATCTTGAACTTGATATTGAAACTTCATCATTGTGGTTACCATATATACCATGTATGCAATGATAAATCATTGCTTACGAAAAACAATTCTAAGCAAATTTCGGTAAGATATTTTGAAATGTGTATTCAAAATAAAATGTAGACTAACTTGATTAAAAGTAGCATATGTTGAGGCTGGTAAAGCAGAACAACAAAAATTAAAATGGAAAACCACAGAAAATATAAAAAATGGTGAACAACAATTCAAACGAAGACTTAATAAGTTATATTAAATATCTAAAAGGTATCCAAAACATTTGTCATACAACATTGTTTTTAAATTTTTATTAGTATATAAAATATAAAGTTCTGTATTTTTTTTTAACTGTATATACATACACAGTGACTTGACATGTGGCTTTATTTATTTATTGACTGGTATAGACTATTAATCGTATAACTCGTACCTATTACTTATACAGACATGCACATATTAATATTGTTATTATTATTATTGCATTAACATATTAACGTTCTTTTTTTTTTTTGTATTATTTTTACTCCAAATAAATAAATAAATTGTTTCGTCGAAAACAATTCGCTAAAATCTCCTAGATGCTTTTTATACTTTCCTAACTTCTCACCTATACATTAATTTATAGTCATAAAGTGAGATAAAAAAATAAAGTCCATGTGAGTACCATAAAATCATCGGTGCATTCGAATTGCGTACGTAAAAGATATTTTGTCCGAGTTGCATCCGCGATAACAATTGATATATTTTTTATTAGTTTTTAGTCAAACTATGACAGCTCAATTATTGTGATAAGGTGAAAGAAATATTTATATAGATAACTTCCTCGGAATTAAGATTGAGGAGGATATTAAAGAATGTAAGGGAATTGAGTAGCTTAACACGCGGTAAGTGAAGGGAATGGCAGTAAAAGAAAATATGGGAGAAATTGCAGGTGCTTTCAGTGAAATGAAGGGTACAGACTGGAGGGACAGTCATCGTTTCTGCCGAAAAACTTAAATTTCGTTTCCGCCAAAGTGAAAAAGGGCCAAATTTATTTCTACCTATATTATTGAGATGAAGTTTAAGAACCCCTAGTCTATATACAGTGTTATCGATGTAAATCGAAATAATCGATTTTACGCGTAGTAATTCCTACCTATTATAAATATATGTATATAAAATTATCTTATCTATATCATGTTTAAATAGTGTGTGTTATCGGGCTTAGAGACAACTGTGAAAATTTCGACTATTACGACAACGTAGACATGTTAATTCGTTAAACCCTTAACCCTGAGTATATCGATGTATGTATATATATATCTTTAAAATAGAATTCATAATGAATAAACGTGATAAAAAAAAATGATTTTAATTGATAGGTTCAAAATTTAATTTTTCATACAAATCAGTTCAAACAAATATTTCCTAATTTCCTAACTCTAAATGAATCTAAAAATTTAATTAAGATGGGTAGGTAGAAATAGATATGGCGGAAAACGAAAATCGAACCTCTTTCATTTTGGCGGAAACGAAAATTATGTTTCTTTGGCGGAAACGCCTGACGCCCAAACCGTAAGTTCGCCAAAGTCACACTAGATGCCGGACATTGAAGTTTGACAAGGAAGGAAGGAAGTTTGACCATTTGGAAACGAATGCTGATGAAGATGCTATTTAAGGTTTCCAACAAAATTCGGCATCTAGGGTTATGTCCAAATAAGTGACTTTGGGAGTATAAGAGATGTTAAGTATGAAGAATACGTTGGGATGAACGTATCTTTGTTGGGTGAAAATAATAGATAATTTCTATTTAATAATTTTTCTGAGGCAACTTAGAAAAATACCTTATCAAAATTGATATAATATACTATATATATATTTTCCTTCCCTTCCAAGTTAAATTAATGAGCGTATTGAGTAAACCATTATTTTCGGTGATGAGATAAGATTAGGTAAATATTTTTTATTTTTAAATGGCAACTTACCTACATTATTATTAAACGATAAACGGGAAAAAATACTAAATAAAAATTATATTAAATTATTTATGAATTTTCTCAATTGTTTGGAATATCATAATAGATAATATATTGTATAATAATAAATAATAAAAATAATAATAATATTGGTAAGTACATAGATAAAATAATTTAGTATGAAAAATTAACAGTATAAATGCCTTTGCTTTCTTATATGCTTAGTTTGAAAGAAAAATACTACATTTTGGGATTTTTTTTTAGGCAAATTTTTTTCTTTGAGATTTTTCCATTAGATTATTTTTTTCGTGTTTTTTTCCTTAATATTGTTTATGTTATTTTCAAAATTTATTATCAATTGATATTTATATTAACACATATTAGGCATATATAAATACCAAGAACCTATCATGTTTTTGTAATAAATAATAGGTATATAATACAATTTTATACAAAAGTTTAAAATATAAAAATGTGTTGTTTTAAATAATTACAATTTGTCCGTTTACCGTTTTCTTTCAAGTTATTATATCTACCTAAATAGATACCTAAGTAACCTAGATAATCTAGGTTTAAAAAGAACACTATATAATATAATAATAGAACATTTTTTTTAAAATTATGCGCATTATCACGCTCTCGCCAATCTATTTATGAATAAGTTGGAATAATTCAATTTTTAGAGATGTCACTTGATGTTTTTTTATTATCTTAAATCGTTAAATTTTTTAGAGCACATAGCTTTAATATAAGTATGTATTAGAATATTATAACTGATGAAATTAGAGAAATGCGAAAACTCTAAAATTTTAATATGGATTATTGTAAACTCTTCAATGAATATTGGGAACAAATCTAGTTTAGCACCTCCTCAATTTTTTTTTCCCGAAAACTAATCCATTTCAATGTTTTAAAAATAATAAGGCAGAAATCATTAAAGTTAAAGCCATTTGAAGTTCGGTTATTATGTTTATATTAAATAATTTAATATTACGATGTATGTCATTACTAATATCGCAATCTAGTGGTGATATATATCTAATCTTAAAGATATTAAGTTTAAACCCGAATCCTGGAAATTTATTTGCATTTTTTTCCCCCCCGATATTTTAGATGTTTTCATTGCTTTAATATGTTAAAAATTCAAAATTTCTTCAGATTGGTTAGCAAAATCACGTCAAATGTATTATGTATTACATTTGGGTTCACTTACTCGGTCGGACTGTTTTTAATTGAAAATAACCCAAGATTTTTTGTGCAAATAAGACTAGAGAAAAACAAATGCATTTGGTGTACACTGAGACACAATGTGGATAATTCGCTCGCTCGGACTGTTTCAATCGAAAATACACAAAATATCCGAACTTCACAAGTAATGATTATTGCCAAAAAATGTTTAAACCATCGTTTTTATAATGTTAAAATACGTAGGTTAAAAAAAAAAATGTAAAATTTCGAAGGGATGTTTTATTAGATTTATGCCGAATATTGATAAGTGTCCATCGTTTTCATAGAGTAATACTAATACTAATTACTAATTACTCTATGGTCGGATGTTTGTATTGTTTACGACTATATTTACCAGAATCCTGAAACACTAAATTCTGTGACCAGTCACCTCACATTACTTTTCTACCCTCATTATGGTGCCGCACACTTCCACTAAAGTTTAATATTAAGCAGGTAGATACCAGAGAAAATGTATCGTAAAACGCCCTTGAAATCGTTATATAATTGAATTACCTACCGAAAATAGACAAGGTTGGTGTTGATGAACACTAAATTACAGGATTTTTGTTGAAAAAAAAATAGAATTGAATTCACACCAAGTGTAAAATAAATGCATAATTACATTATGTAATTTGTATAGGTACTTTGATATAAAGTAATTCATGTTATACTCATCTCGTATACAATGCGTTATATTAATATGTTTGCTGCAAGGACTGCAGTTAACGAAAATAATATTTTATCAAAACAGAAGTTTAAATATGGTAAAACAATAACAATAACTAATAATAACAAATAACAACATATTATGCAAATAAGAACTTCTAAAATAAATAAAGTAACAAGTAACAACTAACATCCAATAGGAAAGGGGTGTACACGTTTTCGGAATGAAAATTCCCAGACCGTGGGAAAAGTCCCGACGCACGCGCACTCCGATTAATTGACGCGTATCACGAAATCCATTGCTCAGTCTATCGGCGCATGCGCATCGCGTTTTCAAATTAATATTAATTTCTGCTGTTTCCCGTCGTCTCCACTTTTCGATTGTTCATTAGATAAACAAAACAAAACATAAAAATCAAAACGAAACAAAACGGCCTCAACGACAACGCCGATAACTTACCATTTCCACCGGATGAACAGTGGTAGTTTTCGCGTATCCGACCGCCACCGAACCACCGAGTTTTATGTGATCCGCCGTGTACACCACCAGTGTGTGAATCGCGGGAAGTGTTCGCCGGAGATGGTTTAGCGCTATGTTACTATGTGATATGTAGTTGTTATTATCATTCTGAACGATGTAGCACACACAGTTAAACACACGCACACACACAGACGTACATGTACACACACGGCCACACGCAAAAAACGCCAACAAGTGAGTAAAACCATATCATTTATCATTTGTTTCTATTATACCTATTTCTTAAAACTCTAAATTGATTTTCTTTCATTTAAAGAGGGTTATCGTATTCTTTCACGTCGAGACTCAGTATAGTGCATTACAAGTAATTCTGTTAAATAATAATTATTGTTCAATATGTTGTTTAAATTTATATCAAGATGATCAGACGATTGTCTTATCAATAATCCATTTTGACTCAGTTTATGTCTGTGGCGTTTGGGATCATCGACTATATGACAAATACAAATCTTCATTCGTTAGGTAGTATGATTATTATATAATATCGTTTTAATTATTCCCTAAAATATTGTATATTTGTTTATTAAGTGTACTTATCTATAGACTATAATGTAAATAGTCATAATCATAATCATTTAAATATTTTCCAATTAATATCATAATTGTATTGTCTAGGTACTAAAAAATTAACAATTTGTTTGAAATATTCAATATCTTAACATTTTTTGTTATTTTATTATTTATTAAAATTCATAATTATTATGGTGTAATAAAATAAAATTAATGAACTTTTTACTTGACAATCTATAATACATATAAAAAAAAAATTATTTTACATTTATAAATACCATGTTACTTTACATACATTGTCAACTTGAAACTTCTGTATTAATTATTAACATTTTTAAAATTGATATATGTACTTTTACATCAAAAAAGTTCAAAAGTAAATCAATTAGATACCTATTTTATTTCATAAAAATATTGATTTTAATGTCAAACCTTTTTACATAGGTACCTATACCTATTATAAACTACTTATTTTGATTATAATATATTATACAAGATATAAATTAAGATGATTAATTTCAAATGAGTATTACAGTATAACCCTTCTATAATTTTATTTTGATTAAAAATAAATATATTTAAGTATCTCATTTAGATTATGAAGTATAAATATGTATACAAGTAAATTGCATAATAATGCTGTCCTCAATTTAATTTTTTACTTGATAGGTAGATGTTTGTATTTTTTAGCCCTGCCTTTAAATTGTTTAATGAATACAACCTTGAGCAAAACCATATTATGATTTAGATTAGTTATATAAAATTGACAATATTCTTGATATGTATTACATGTATCCTAGAAAGAGAATTATATTTACTTAATAGAATAAAATAATCATTGAACTAATTAAACAAATTATAGGTATTTTTTAATTCAATAATAATATAATTAAATTTGTTTAGGAAAGTGATGCCACATTAAAAACAGAGCATGCACTTTAAATGCCATGGGTGAAGGCAACCAAAGGTACATTGTGCAAGTTTTTGTGGGTGCTTTATCACAATGCTATGAAGCACTCAGTGTAGAAGCTAGCAAGCAAACTACTTCTGATGAGATTGTCAGTTGTATAGTAGAGCGACTTTCTTTATCAGGAGGTTGTGGAACAAGTTATACTGGTACATTTGAGTTGGCTGAAGTTGTTGGTGACGCTCTTGGACGAGAATGTAAAGAGCGCAGACTTGGGCCTACAGAATGTCCTGTAGCTGTTATGCTTTTATGGCCTCAACCTCGAAGACACACACAACAAGAAGAATATTATAGGTATTTATAAAATAAAGTTATTTCAACATTTAATTACATTTACTTATTATAATTTCCAGGTTTTATTTAAGAGAAAAACTATCTGATAGCTTGTGGGCTGATGGATTCACCATGGATCCACAACTCATACGGGACTATTTTTATAGATTTCTTTATCAACCCCAAGATCGAGAATATCCAGATCTTTGTCAACTTCCTGATCTCAATGAACAAACTCTTTTGGATAATTTAAGAGCTAGATTTTTAGCTGGTCATATATATACATATGTTGGTTCCATTTTAATTGCAGTTAATCCTTTTAAGGTAATATTCAATAAGAATTAACCTTCCACGGCAAAAGTTATTTTATATAAAGTATAAAAATAAAACAATGACATTATTTCTTTTGTTAGTTTCATCCCATTTATAATCCAAAATATGTAAAATTGTATCAAAATCGAAGACTTGGCCCAGAGCTCCCTCCTCATATATTTGCCATTGCTGATGCTGCATATCATTGTATGCTGAGAGAAAGACGCAATCAGTGTATTGTAATAAGTGGAGAAAGTGGTAGTGGAAAAACGGAATCTACTAATTTTCTTCTACATCATCTTACTGCTCTTAGTCAAAAAGGTAGCCATGGCAGTGGTGTAGAACAAACTATACTTAGTGCTGGTCCAGTATTAGAGGTATATTTAATTTTACAATATTTAATATGTCATTTTTTTTTTAATAATATTATTCTCAATACTTAAAAAACAATTGTATTTCTTTTCTTAGGCTTTTGGTAATGCTAAGACTGCTCATAATAATAACTCAAGTAGATTTGGTAAATTTATACAAGTTAATTATAAAGAAAATGGAATGGTCCATGGGTATGTGATTTAAAATAATTATGTATGTTTTTAACTTATAAAAAGTAGTAAATGAATGTTCAAATTATATTTCAATTTATTTCAAACAATTAAATTAAACTTATAAACTATAGGTAATTTATACATTTTTAAAATTTGTTTAGCGCGGTTGTTCAAAAGTATCTTTTAGAGAAGTCCAGAATTTGTTCTCAGGGACAGAATGAACGTAATTACCATGTATTTTATTACTTATTAAATGGAGCTAGTGATACGGAGAAAGAGTCATTACATTTACACAGAGTAGATTATTATAATTATTTGAATGGGGTATGATCATTTAAGTTGTTTAAAAATATTTATACAAAGTGATTAACTAAACATGCATACCCCATTTTTTTGGTTACATTTTGCATACATTCAAATTCTAATTTTTGGAATTTTTAAGTGTAGTTAAAGCCGATATTTTCATATTTTAGATTTTTACAACATTTAAGGAGTATCCTGTGGTGATACCAAATTTGGTTTTTTAAATGAGAACCTATATTGAAAATTTCATAAATATTATGAAGTATTAGTTAAAATAAATTTTGGTGTTAACATTTTTAATATCCATCAACCCATTAACAAGATATTTTACTTTTAAGTTTAGGTAGGGAGAGAGTAGTGAAGCACTAATAAAATACTGCACGCTGTGTAGAGGCACAAATGATACTTCACTACTCTCCCTCTACCTAAACTTAAAAGTTGAATATCTTGTCAACGAGTTGAAAGAAATCAAAAATTTTACCATTAAAATGTATTTAAAGTAATACTCTATCTATTTATGGAATTTTTAATGTAGGTTCTCATTTGAAAAACCAAAGATACTCTTTAAATGTTGTGAAAAATCTAAATATAAAAAAATATTGGCTTTAACTACACTTACAAACTTCAAAAATCAAAATTTAATCAAAAAATTGGATGAGCACGCTTATTGAATCACCATGTTTATGTTTACATATATATATAATATTTTGGTCTGTTATTGACTAATACTGAATTTATAATATTTAGAGTGGTTGTTATACCTTGGGAAATTTAGATGAAAAATATGAGTTCTCTAGATTAAAGCAATCCATGGAAATGGTAGGTTTTACTCCAGAGAAACAGCGCAGATTATTTGCAGTTCTTTCAGCAGTTTTATTATTAGGTATATATAAATTATTACAATTTTATAATTAATTTTAATTTGATGTTTTCAAATTTTTTTTGTCAGGAAATGTTGATTTTCAACCTCGAAAATCTGCATATCATCACGACGAAGCGGTTGCTGTACGTAACCCTGAAATAGTTTTTTTAATATCACAGCTTCTTAGAGTAAAGCAAGAAACATTGTTAGCAGCTTTAACAGCTAAACGTGCTAAAGCATCTGGTGAAACTTTGGTTATTAATTACAAGTTACCCGAGGTAATAAGATATAAGTATATGTACAATAAAAGTATAACACCTAAAGAAACTTATTTATTTTTAATATTATTATAAATAGGCCATAGCAGCAAGAGATGCAATGGCAAAATGTCTTTATGGAGCTTTATTTGATTGGATTGTATTACAAGTAAATCATGCATTGCTTTCAAAAAAAGACACTTTAAGAGATCACCAAGGAAATTCAATTGGAGTTTTAGATATATTTGGATTTGAAGATTTTGGTGCTTGCAATAGGTAAATAATAAGATCGTGGTTTGCTGATAATTATCCAAATAGTTGCTATATGCAAAAAAAAAAAAATAGTATTATCAAAGATGATAGTTTTAAAGAATTCTGATAAAATTATACATTAGAAGAACATACTTTATATGATGGGTGGGCCATTGTTTTAGGTGTGAATTTGGGAAGAGATATAGAGAGGAATTTAATTTATATTTGTATGGAACAAGATTTGGAGTGAAGTTTCTTTTATACAAAAACGTAAATTTTCCGATCTTTTCCATGTTTTTCCCCAATTATTATAAGAACCACTTGGGAAATTAAAAAATGACCTTTTTCTAATACTAAGTAGATTAAATTTACTTTCAAAAAAGGTGCTACACTTGATACATTAGAGCAAGATCAGAAAATTTGCAGTACAGCAAAATAATAATAATAAAAGTAAACATCATTGTAAAATCAAAATATCCTCTCTATACCCTGAATCATAAATACATGAAACTACCTAAAAATAAAATAAGCAGTCATTTTCTTTATTATAATAAAATAAATAATAATATATATTCCTAGTGATAATTGATAAATAATAATTTATAAGTTAAAATATACATTGTTTTTATGTTGTTTTTTTATTTGTTAATAATAATGTATTTTTTCAAATAATAAATACAAATTTTTCTGATTTGATACACATTATAACATTTAATATCTATTAAGTTTATTTTTCCCTTGTTTTAAATATATAAATCATTTTTTTTCACACTTATCAGAGTTTCTAAAATTCTGAGAATCTGTCTTAAGGTTAGGGGGGAAAATAGAGAATATATATTCATCATGTATTCTTGTTGATATGTAATTAATGTATACTTTATTTAGTTTTGAACAATTTTGCATCAACTACGCAAATGAACATCTACAATATTATTTTAATCAACATGTATTTAAGTATGAACAAGAAGAATACCGCAAAGAAGGAATTAAATGGAGTGATATAGATTTTTTAGATAATACTGGATGTTTGCAAATGATTGAAGGTAAACCTAATGGTTTATTATGTGTTTTGGATGATCAGTGCAAGTAAGTAATTGTAGTAAATTCAATACCCATTAGTTTTATAATTTCTTTATATTTTTATTATATCATTCTTACATTTTTAGTTTTCCGGGTTCATCTTGTGAAACATTATTACAAAAATTTAATTCTGTTCACAAAGATAACAAATTTTATGAAATGCCACAACGTAAAGAAAATGCTTTTATAGTGAGGCATTATGCAGGAAGAGTTAAATATCAAGTAATACATAAATATTTTATGAACTTACAATTTTAAATTGAAAATTGAATTATAAATAAAAATCTATGAATACGATATTTTGTGCACACATTTCTTTTATTATACAACTATATTAAAATGTTGTATACACTAATTATTTGTGGCTTAATTTTTATTTTATAACTAAGATATTATGAAATTATTCTCCTCGTAATTATTTTTTTCTAAACTATTTGTATTAAATGATAAACAATTTTATCAATATATTTAGGTTTTTGAGATGAGAGAGAAAAATTTGGATCTTATGCGGCAAGATATTGTAGGTGTTTTAAAAAATAGTAGTATGGCATTTGTTCGGGAACTTGTTGGTGCAGATCCAGTTGCAGTGTTTCGCTGGGCAATTGTAAGAGCATTTTTTAGAGGTTATTTTTCATTTCAAGAAGCAGGTCGTAGACATCGGCAAAGCAGAGGTAAATGTATTTATTTTTATTTTATTGTAAAATATTTTTAAATTTTTTTTAAATATACAAACAAAAAATAAAAAAATAATGATAATAATATTTTATTACAGTTGATGGTGTAAAGGCATCAAGTATTTCTTTACGTTTCCGAAACAGTGTGCAAAACGATAGCTTAATCAGGTAAATTACAATTTTTATTTAATAAATATGTAACCATTTTATAATAAATATATGTATTAATTTATGAATAATATACATTATCTATTTATAAATAATAATATATAAATAAATTGGATAAACAGACGACTATTTGTTGAATATAATGTCATGCATCAATATAAATATTTTTTTTTTTTAATTTTATTATTAGAATATATATTTGTTTGTAACAAACAATTTAAACTAAATTTTAATTTTAAAAATAAAAAAAAAATTGCATTTTGATGTAATTTTATTGGAAGACAATTTTATTTGTATATCTTTCAGAAAAAGTACTACACTTGAAAATTTGATCAAAATTTCTGATAGAAAAGTTGTCCCCCCTCCCAAAAAAAAAAAAAAAACCAATATATTCCTCGCTTCACTTGGAATCTAAAACTAATAAAAATAGTATTTTGATCTTTATATTAAATAAAATTAAAATATTTTTTTATTATATTAAGAAATAACAATATTGTTATTATTTATGTCCTCAAAATTTTAATATTCAAAATTCAATTATTAACTTATATTAATGTTTTATGCTACGTCCAGTCATCTAGTAACAATGTCATCGGTAAACCTCACCATAAATCGTATAGTGTAAGTTTAGTAAAACATTTTTTTGTTTAAAAATTGTTTAAGTATGAAATTATTTGTTGCTTATTTTGTTTTTTTTTTTTAGTTAGTTTTATTAAAATTAAAATTATTACACTAATATATATATTTTAATTTATTAGCCCTGGATGGTAGTTTGATTCAATAATATTTTTCGTTGAAATATGATTTTTACACAACAAATTAGTGAGTTGTTATTTAACATAATATTTACAGGTACACTCCAAAATTTCCAATAAATTCCACGTCTTATGGAGGTGGATATGTAATTAATGTGGGTAAAAAATTGGCATCCAATCCTAACAATGAACAAAATGTGTATAAAAATAATTCAGCCTTCAATAAATTTACCAACTTAGAAATTGTTAATTCTAATAAAAATATTAATAAAGAAGATATAAAAACTCGTGCCAATTGTAAATCTACTGATGAAGATAAAGTCATTGAACGAGCTACACAAATTGTTATGTATGTTTCCAAAAATTTAAAAACAATAAATCTGGTGTATGGATGGTTTCAACAATTTTTATAAACTAGAAAATGGGAAACTATTATTTCATCTCTATTTTGCAATAAATAAATAATACCTTAATGTGATTCTAATAACCTTAACATTGTAAATATATTTGTTTAACATATCTTCCTAAGTATAGTTTATAAAGCATGGTGTATAGTTAATTTGTATTATTTCAATTTGTGCATGGTTCTCAATCATATTTTATAAAAAAAAAAAAGTATTTATCTGATAAAAATTGTAATTTATGTGTTTTTGTATTATTTAAATTTGTATTTATTATTAAATAATTTTAGTATCAATGTTTTAAATATTATAACCATCAATTAAAATTATGATTGAGGAAAACAAATGTTTCATTATTTAACTATTATTTATTTATAAATATAAATTTAAACTTTAATGCATCTTTTTCATTTGGTTTAGTGCTTTTAATTTAATTTTAATCTTTTACTAACAACTTTGTTTAATTGTAAGCATAATTAATTTACTATTTTTTTTTTTTTTTTTTTAATATTGTTTTCTCTTGAATTATTTTTAAAGAAACATTTTTTAATTAAATGGCTATTTATGTTACAGGAAAAATAAATCTTTCAGACCCAAAGACCGAGGTAATAAAGGATTAAAAAATCTCCAAAGTGTAAAAACACTCGCTGGACGAATACAAATACAGGGTTCTATTAGTAGTAAAGCCCGTAAACAACCACTTACTGTAACAGCTCAGTTTCAAATGTCTTTAAACAGTCTTATGGATACACTTAATCAAGCTAATCCATTTTTTATTCGCTGTATTAAAAGCAATAGTAATAAAGTGAGTTTTGTATTTTTCAATGTTATTTTATGTATCATTTTAATATTAATGTTTTTCTAGGTTGCAAATATGTTTGATCATGATACCGTTCAGAGACAATTACGTTATACAGGAATGTTAGAAACCGTTAGAATTCGTCAAGCTGGATATAATGTACGACTTAGTTATGAAGAATTTATTCAGCTTTATCGAATATTATTACCTAAAGGACTTAATAGGTAAAATATTCATACAAAATTTTTTTTTTAAAAAAAACTAAATTATCAAATTTTATAATTGATTATATGTTACAGTAATTCTCAAGATGTTAGAAATTTTTTGCAAACATTAAATTTAGATAGAGATAATTATCAAATTGGTGAATCGAAGGTATTTTTACGCGAGTGTGAAAAACTAAAATTAGATTATAGACTACACCAACAAATAATGGCAAGTATTGTGACTATCCAACGTTGGTTTCGTACACTGTTGCAACGAAGACAATACCTCAGAATTACTTGGGCTACAGAAACATTACAAGTATTGATTTATAATATTTAGTTTAAAAATTTGGATATAATATATTTATTATTTATTCTGTTATAGTCTTGGTGGAGAATGATATTAGCTCAAAGATTAGTAAACAAAATGAGGATGGACGAATCAGCTGCCATTTATATACAATCTGCATGGCGAAAACATCGTGTATCGAATTGGTACAAAAATTTACGAAGAAGTGTTATTACATTACAAGCTCATTCCCGTGGTTATTTAGCAAGGAAAAAATTTTCAAAAATAAAAAATTCAGTAAGTAAATTTTTCAAAGCTTCATTATTATTATTTATTTTTAATTAAACATTATATTTTAGAAAAAGAGTATTTCAGTACCACAAATTAACAACTCTAAAGAATCTAGTCAAGAAGAACTACATGATTCTGAGTAAATATTTAAATTTATTAAATATATTTATAATTATTATTTAATAAAAATTAAATGATCTGAGACATATCTGTTTTTTTCATAGAAGTAGTGGAGGAGCAAAAGGTGATAGTGAATCAGAAGCTGATCCATTTGTACAAACTAAGACAACTAATAATATTAAGTATGACATTCTCCAATTTAAGTCAACAATTTAATTTTTAAATTTTAAATTTTATTTTGTATATAGAGATGATCAATTTAAAGCCCCTAAAAGAAAAGTTTCGGCTCGTCGTCTGAGAATAGAATCTCATCCAACTGATGTACATAAAGGTATTTATAATTATCAATATAATAATTAGGATACGTAACTATTTTTTTAAAATCTTATGTCATTAATAGTTACTTTTGAATAAAGCTCAGAATCAAAATTTGGCTCATGTTAATTTTTTTTTGTATTGTTTTGGGTATTGAACAGAACATAACCTAATATACATAACTGCCTTAAAATATCTTTCATGATCTCTAAAAAGAGGAGGAATAAAACTAATAATATTCCTCTTCATTGTTTCAAGACAATATAATACATTATTTACTGTAGGTTTCTACTTTTAATATTTTGTTTAGATGTTTAGAATGTAAAAACAAAAAAGTTGCTCACACTTTGTAAATAGCTTTAAGCAACTTGTATGTTATATTTATTTTCAAAACATCTAACATCATTACAAAGAGTTAATTTCAGCTTTCTATAATGTTAGTCGATATTGAATTGAATTTGAATGTAAATAAGTGTTCTAAAATATTATATTCTTAATAAATAATTTGTATTGTATGTTTGAAACTGTGTAGAGCGTTCTAGCAAAACTGATGGTCCTGTAAATGAAGGAACAGCATTTAGTGATAGTGAGTTGGATGACACTCATTTGAAACAACAACCAGTGGTTTGGAAACGAAGAGAACGAACTAGTGACACATCAAACAAACGAACTTTATTGACTAGAACTCCACACGTTACTTCAGAGCCAATTGCTCCTGTTCGTTTATTGAATCGATTACGTGTTTCTAATACTGAACCAGCTCCAGAGTAAGAATAAAACTATTTCAATAGCATTCACAATACATTAAATTAATTTTAATTTAAAGAGAAATTGCTTATTTTATGATTTGAAAATCTCAAAATGCATTTTTAACAATATTAATAATAACTTTTAATTTGAATAAAAAAATTATAATCAGTTTTTTTTTTCTATAGAACTTCTATAACAAATGAGAAAGAATTAAAAAGAAGAAACAGTGATGGTTCAACTACACATGCAGGAAAAGCTGAAGAACCTAAATTAACATATTCACCATCTTTTGAACTTTTAGAATGGAAAGGTACTACTATGTTTACAATAGCTGGACATCGTTTTAGAAAATTAGGACGATTTACTCCCCAAGATAAATGTACTTATTGCAATAAATTGATGGATGCATTTTTAACTCAAGGACACAAATGTTCGGGTAAATATTGGTATTTTACAAATACACCTTATACCTATTCTTATTATGTAAATGTAGATACGTTTTGTTAATGTTAAAATTCTCTACTTGCATATTTTTTTTCAATTTTTATGTTTTCTGTACACGTTTTAATGTGATATATATTATATATCATATTAGTGTTGGTCATTAATATAATTTTATTTATTGATATATTTTTTAGTTTGCTGTTCAAAACAATAAATCTAATTTTTTTAAATTTTTAAAATGTTATATACAAATGTCTATTTACTATGTTTATTATTAATAAGTAATAAATTATTACTTATTTATAACTAATAAAGTAATAAATATGAAATATTAATGTGTATTTTATTACTTATTATTTAGTTATAATAATATCAAAACTTATCTAAAAAAAAAAAAATGATATTGATATCGTTGAACAACAATATATATTATATATATCGGTGGTGACACAGCAAAAGGGTATAAGCAACTCAATTTTATAGATAGTTTTCAGGAGAGTAAAAAAACATTTATTTGTGATTTTAACATTATTATTTTTGTTGGTTGAAATAGAGAATTTTTCCATTGAATACTTTTTTTTTGTTAACCTCCTTAATATGAATACACATTGTTGATTAGCTTCTATTGTCGTTTAGATCCTATATTAAAGAAGACAATCTTTAAATAATGGTCACAGTTATTTTTGGGCAAGCGCAATGCACAAACCGAGTATTTCTTCATCCAATAGTAAAGCATTGTCGCTTAGACCCTTGTCACCATTGATATTAAATTCTTATTAAGTTAAATTTTCAATTGCCTAAACAATAATTTATTTTTAATTTTTAATTGTTTAACAGATATCAAAAAAAAAAAAAAAAATCTGTATGAATCATCAGAAACATTTGATAAAAAATTAATTTTATTATTTTACAGATTGTAAAAAATTATTTCATACTAAATGTATCCAAAATGGTGGTGTACTACAAATGCCATGTATACAACAGAATGGAGGTAATCGACCTACAAATAGACGGAAACCTAGAAAGCCTGTATCTGCTGGCAACAAAGCTCATATAACACCAAACATAGCGAATAATCAAAATAATACTACCATAGGAAAATTTAGTTTAACTGGTACATCAGAATTTACAGATCGTACTGACAAGATTATTTCTGATGTGAGAGAATTGAAAATGATGCAAGATTTTATAACCAAAAAGGTGAGTTACTATTTTTTTTTTATTCAAATATTATTTATAATAGATACTTTAACTATTAATATTTGAATATTCTGTTATCGAAAAATCAATATTGTGTTTAATGCAAATATAATTGTATTTAATACACACTACGTTTAATAAAACAATAGCTAAACAGCAATTGTTTAGTATTATACTTTTCAATATCTAATTGAAAATTAGGCTAGACAAATAAACTAAATAAATGTAGCTAGATTAAAGTTAATGCATAAGTAAACAAATTTTGTCACTTTTGCCTAAAAAAAAGCAATGTAGTTTTAATATTTGTCTTGGATACAGGACATAGCAATTGATATATTTGGTATTCTTTTGGATTCATAGCAGAGTAGAATCTATTGATTTTACTACAAAGTGTTTTTTTTCTGTCTTTAAACAGAAAATTTCTCCAATCGAAAAATGACAAGAGACCTTGTTGTATTTTGGATTTAGTTGATGAATTAGAGAATGTTATTTTTTGAATTTCTTGGTAGTTTTAAAAATAATTGAACAAAAATGTGACAAAAACATAAATTTATTTTCAATCTGTTTTAATTAATTTCTGCCTCTTTCAATCCCTAACTTTGAATGGATTTGCACGCCCACTTATTAATTACCACGTGATGTCAACTTTTCTCCTAATAATATTCTTCTAGCACTTTCCAAAAATAAAAAACGTAAATTCAACTGAGCCAGACAGTATTCCTTCGACCTTACTTAAGACTGTCACTACTCACTCATGTATCCAATCCATCTCTTCAACAGGTGCTCCATGGATGAGGGAACCTTCCCAAATATTTGGAAAATTTATTCTGTGACACCCATTCTTAAATCAGGGGACCCATCAAATGTTGCTAACTGATCTATTACCATTCTTCCCCATTTTCTGAATTGTTTGCAAAAATAGTCCTCCCTAAAACCAAGTGAAGTCTCAATCACATTATTATTGACCAACAACATGGTTTCCAACCAGATAAATCTACAATTACAAGTTTCCACAACCAACATTTTAGACAGTACTAGGGATCAGTTGAATGTAATTTTTACTGATTTTAGAAAAGTGTTTGATACCATTGATCATGGTCTCCTAATCAAACTCAAAAACTTTGGTATCAATAATCCTCTTCTATCATGGATTAAGTCATGTACCTCCAGAACTTAATTTGTAAAAATTAATAGTTTATCTCTTGATAAATGTGCTGTTACGTCTGGTTTTCCTCAAGGTGACTAGCCTCTTGCTAATTATTCTTTTTATAAATTAAATTGGTAAATGAATAACGAAGACAAAACTGCTTCTATTTGCAGATGACATCAAGATCTTTTTAAAAATGTCTTCCTCTGCAGATTGCTTAATACTTAAATCTGAGCTTTATAGTTGGGTTACTCATCTCAGACTGAAATTTAATTTAGATAAATGTAACATTATGTCCTTCAGAAGGAGTAGATCTCCATTTCAACATAGTTACTCTTTGAGTAGTACTATACTCCATCAAGTGGCTTGCATCAAATATCTAGTAATTCTCTACACTCCCCCCTAAATTTCGAGTAGCACATTAATGCTAAAGCTTTAAAAGTATTAGGGTTTATTAAGCGCAATATAATAAATTTTAACTCTGCTAACTACCTCTGTGCTCTCTATTTAGTAGCCTTGGTCCGTTCAATCTTAGAGTTGAGATAGTGTGGCACCCTTAGCCTGCAATGAATGGACTAGTTAGGGTTGGAACGTGTCCAGAACAAATTTTTGTTGTATGCTTTATTCGTTCTTAAGCTTCAGCATCATCCACACAACTATTTTCTTATGGTTGATATTTCCTACTCTATCCACCAGGCACTTTGATGCCTATTTAAACTTTATTTCTTCCCTTCTTTATGGATCCATAGATTCTCCAGACCTTTCCTTGATTTTCTACTGCATTCTTTCCTTTAACACTAAAAGCTACCAGCTATTTGCTATACCAACCTACTTAACTTCATATTGACATAACTACCCAATTCATAGAATGCTACGATTAGTTAACCAATCAATAATTTAATCTTATGTTTTATAGTAAGTAAACTTTTTTTACCACTGTGTATTTTTATTCTCGTCTTGTCATTTACCAATTATTTAAATTGCCTGTCTAGGTGTTAAAAATTATTATAAATAAATAATTAAGTATAGAATTGAAACAACAAGAAAGTTTATAGAATTAGTGGTTTTATTATTTTCAATGTTATAGTTTGTTGTAATTCCATTAAAAATATTTATAGACTTAAAATTTTGACAGGAAACTTATATTAGTCTTCTCTTGGCGTGGTATTATATACAAAATGTTTTGAAGATTTTTGAGTTATTTTTAAACATTTTATGTTTGTGGGTTATTTTATATAGTTTTTGTTTGGTTGGCATTATGTAGGTAAAATTATTTGATCAAACTGAAATGCTTGAAAATTGTATAAGAGCTTCATTATGTATTATAGTATTCAAAAAAAGTAATGGAATCTAGTAAATTTTTTTTTGTAATGATTTTAAGATCAATTTTTGATAAAAAATCATAAACATTACTGCCTTTAAAATTATATATAGTTAAACTTTGCTAAGATTCGGTTTTTGCTAGCAATGGGTTTTTCCCAACTTTCTGTCTATAATAGTAACACACCCATCAGCTGTATCAGATTATTTTGTGTGTGGATTAGGTTGAATTTCAATATGACTTTAGCTAAAATGAGCTAAATGAGTTTTAGCTTTAAACCCATTAAAAACCCTCCTAATGAAAATGTGATGTCATTTTTACTATACGTATAGTGCTGGTATCAACTATGTGTCTTTTTCTTCGGTTTCAACTTTTAATTCTCACCTCTACAAATTTTTTGCTCTAATTTTACCCTTTTTTAGAAAGTGGTATTGGAAGATGTTAAATTTAAGTACGCACTGTGGTTTTAAAAATATTTACTTATTGAACTAGAACACTCACTGCAATATCAACTTAAATGTATTTCGCTTATCATCGCTAAATATTATAGTGTCCATCGGATAAAACAGATATGATAGACACACAATTTATGTAAAAAATAAAAATAATGAAAATTTGTTTTTGTGGTTATTAGAAGGCTTTCTAAAAATAAATTTGATTGGAAATGGTCTAATTTGAAAACACTGAATTTAAATTGCTTGCCCAGTTCTTGGTATCATTTTTGGATGCCGCTCGAAACTAACATTTCCCAATATTATTATATTACTATAATATTCTGTGAGTTATTGTTTTATAAAAAAATATCTCTTTAATACAAAATTATTAGAAGAAAATTTGACTCTAATAACAGAGATCTGCTGCTTATGAGTGTTTTTATTTTGAAAGATAAAAATATCTATGTGATTCGTTGTTTAAGTATTTATTATATTATTTATTACTTAATAATATTGCAAACAATCTATTGGGTAAACTATATTTTAGATAAATACTAAATATTGAACATAATTAATCCTATTGTTGTAACTAGAAATTAAATATTATGAATATAGCTTAAAATACTGATGTAAGATACATTAGATTAGTTTCCAATTTAAACACATTATTTGTAAAAATACAGTTATAAAATAATAAATTACTGTATTATGATATTTTGGATGATATATTTAAATTAAATTGTATATTTTTATAATAATCATCTGAATGAATACATTTTCTTAAATCAATATAATTATTTGTTTTAACTACATACAAAATAGGTAATAAAAATTACATATTTCTTATAATTATCTGAATCAACTAATATTTAATACAAATTTTAATTATTGAATTGTGTGTACAAAGAAAATAAATTGCTTACATGAGTAATTTAAAAATGATGCATATTCAATATAACATATACTATCATTATTATATTTATGATAACTCCTGATATAAAGCAAATTGCCCTTGTAGGTTGGGGTAGTACAAATACAGCATAAGAGATTGTATGCATTATTCTCACAAAAGTATATATTCTGAACAAATTGTTTGCTAACATTTCTGAAGGATTACTGGCCACTAAAAGTAACCCTGTGATCAAAAATATAGGAATATTTTCCAAATCGTTCAAGTGTGCTCTAAAATAAACAATAACCAAAACCAAATTTATTAATTAATTATTTATATGCCGTTTGATAACATATTTAATCTATTACTTTACCTTCTTACTCTTTCAACATCAGGATCATCATATTTAATTTCAGCTCCAGGCCTTAGTACAGCATCTTCAGGACTTATGAACACCTGTTAATTCAATTTATTCATCAAATAAACAAATTAAAATTGGATCATTTAGTAAAAATTATATTAATTTATCATGATTAGGTATATTTAGTAGGGATTATTAATTGTTATTATAATGAATTAATGAAAACATACACATTTAATAATAATGTGTAAATTGCCAGTTAATATTTTTTTTCTATTTGAAAATTAGTCCCAAATTACATCATTTTTTATCAAAATTGACTTGTTTAAAAAAAATACTAACATACTTTGCATGATTGGTAGGCCACTGTTGTAGGTGAGAAATTGGAAACATAGGATATAAAGGGAAATTTAATTTGAATGCAACGATAAACCATTGCTAATGAAAAACAGCTCTGATTGAAGTTTCTTTTATGCATGCACTTAAATTTTTCAGTTTTTCATGCTTATTTGACAACTATTATGAAAAACCATTGGAAAATTTAAAAAATTACCAATCTTTAGTACCACCCAGATAAAATGTCCTTACAGAAAAGGTAATATACTTAAAAATTGATGCAAGATTACCAGTAATCTTGTACCAATAATCCAGTAATCACTGGTAGTAAAGTTGTTCACAGATTAAAAAATTATAAACATAATTGTAAAATCAATATATACCTCAATACGTTCCGAATCTAAAATGTGTTGAATATTGCACAATATTAATTTCCAGCGAGTTGATATTATTATTATTATTATAATTATTGATTTAAAAGCTTTAAATTGCACTTTTTTTAATTAATGTTAATGTTTCATTATATTTTTAGGAAAATTGATACATTTTGTATCTTTAAATAATAGTTTTGTACTATAATGAATCTAAAAATTATTAGTTTTGAAACTAATTCTTAGAAAGTAGTTAGATGGAGCGTAAACAAATTGATAAAATCAAAATTAATTTATTAAGCTCTCAGATTATTCTTAAATTCACGTTTTATATATATGTAGTGAAATATAAATTACAATTTGATATTACTATACAAATGTATAAATATTAAAAAATAATATTATATTAATCCATGCAAAAATTATTATTCGAGATAATTATGAAGTCATTGTGTTAAAAATGAATATTTAAAAAGATCATTGGATTTCAATAGATTGATTTTTAAGACTATTTAAAAACAATTAATAAAAATATTATAAACAGAAAATATTGATAAAATTTAAAACAAATATTTTTAGATTCTGAGTAGAACAAGAAATGTATTAGTTTTAACAATAATGTTAATTATTTTTTATTTTTTTTTTATCTAAACAACTTTTCTCCCAGCATTTTGCTCTGATTTATAATAATAACACTTGTTCTGAAAGCAAATCTAACTAGGCAATACTTTAATAATGTAAAATTTTGATTTTCCCTGGAGTTTTCTCAATAAAAGGATAAAAATGAAAAAATAGGTACCATATTAAATAAATACTACTAAAGAAAATGTTTAATGTTTATGTAATTATTTTACCATAATATGACATAAATATTGTTGACATAGCAACACTTTCAACCAAACTCCACTCAGAATTGTTTTTTTTGTTAGCAATGGTATGTACACATATACATTTTAATTTTCTCCTCTACTGCCTTTCCAACTTCTCACCTACAACAGTGGTCCACTCACATACATAGTATGTCTGTCTTTTTAGTTTTAGAAACACTTATATAGAATGACATTTAGTTGTGTTATTTATAATACTCTCCAATAACTACCTATTTATTCTTAATGTTAACATCTTTTCAAAATTATTCAAGTGTTTATTGACTAAATAGTACTATTTCTGAAATCATTAATCATAATCATTACATACATTTACCTGTTTTCCATATATAGGGCTTATTATTTTATAAATTTAATATAATTTTAAGGTAATGATGAACCATTATGTTTCTTTCTTTAAAATGTATTTTTTAGTTGTTATTTGAGTCATTATATAGATGCCATGAACAATGTTGACTAATTTTGAACTAAAATTAAAACTAAGTAATTTTTGGAATGTAATGACTTTATTATTGTTGATTTCTATCTATCTATAATAGTTGATGCCCATAATATCTGCAAACAATTTATGTTATAAATTAAAGTTTTAATTTGTGCTTTTTAAGTCTCTATTGTCATTAATTATTATCAATATTTTTGAATGCATCATTATTTCATAGATTTTATAGAAAACTCTTCAATTAAAAAGATTAATATTTAAAAATTGTAATTTTTTTATTGAAAACAATTTTCATTTAATTAATGTAATTAATGTTTTCCTATACCAGATATTTTTTGGGAAACATTTTAGTTAATTTTCTTTTTCTTGACTATTATTAAATAATTTTGTATGTAAATCTATAGCAAATATATTTATCAAGTTTTATTATATATTTATTTTGAAAACATATATATATTTATATTATGCTAATGTATCTTACTTTTTTTCTCATTCGCTGAAGTACAGTTAAGAAAGACATAACAATCATTTTTAAAATAAGAATACTACCATAAAATGCATAACATTCGAATACTGGATTTGACATTGTCAACAATCCCATTGTAATAGAATCTGACATTTTATAAAAAATATTTTGGTATTTGTTAATAATAAACTGGTAAATTATATAATAACAATGCGTAGTGATACAATATATTTGAATGCAGAATAAGAATGTTCCTGACTGTTGAACACCACACAGCACACTACCGCTTTTTATAATAACAACCTATCCACAACTGTTTAGTTGACCCTCCCACTGACAGACGATAGACATTTTGCTCTAGTAATTTAAGTTTTATACTATATAATTTGAACTATCATGAATAATATTTGTTTTTTTATTATTATTTATTTATTTATAATGATAATATAAGTACAGTAATAATATTTGGTAGGAGCTAAATACTAGAAAACTTACTTCAATTATTAATTATTAACTTCAGGGATGGTTCTGGTATATAATTTTGGCTAGTTGGAGAATTGAGGAGATCATCATTTGATTTATTTTTCCTGTATTTTTTGTAATAGTTGAAAAAAACAGAAAACAATTACGCAATAAAAGGTAAATGTTATTGTTATTTCCAATATTTTGTTATTCGGTTAAAATTGTCTTAATTTACTTTTATTAGGCTTTTCTAGAAGTAATAAAATCTTATAATATTGTGATGGTTATTAGCTATTTAAAGCCATTCAAAATTATTGAGTATGTTAGTTATGATTTATGTAGATTAAATTATTTTGACTCATCAAAAATGCTTGAAAATTTAACACTATGGGGTTTATTCAAATTGCATTTAGAAAAAAAGTTACTGCTGATGGATATGCCATTGTTCTAGATAGTATAAAATAGAAAAGGTAGGATATATAGAGTAATTTAATTTGTATAATATGTATGAAATGATAAATGCTCATGAAAAATGATTCTAAACAAAGTTCGGTTAAGTATGTTTAAAAATTCCTCAATTTATAAGATTTCCATGAAACTTTTTAAACGCTTTAAAAAAAAATAATAATATTTCTGGTACAATAGTTATTACCAGACCAAAGAAAAACACATAATTAAACCAATATATAACTCGATGTACTCAAAATCTAAAACATAAATGGAAACATTGCTATATAAATATAATTTGTTAGTATTAATATTGATGGTTAGTGACTAGTTTTCTAGTGACTAGTAGATGTTGGTCCACATCTATTCACTCCAGCATGTAATACTGTTATAGGTATACAGTTATTAATGTATGCCATTATGCAATAGAGAAAGTTGTAATATAAAATTAAGTAAAATGTATATGATGTTTTTCTGTTATGGCAAATGTGTATATTTGAGTATATATTGAGTCATATATAATAATAAAATATAATTATAGTGTTTTTAAACATCCAGAAGTTTTGTTAGCCTTGCGTGTTTTTTTTTTTTATTTAGTTATTGATTTTTTAATCAAATATTCCATCGATTTCCAGTAAATAATTTAATATTTTATGTTCAAAATCTAAATGTAGGACATATTAATAATTAGTATAAAAAAAATCACTAAGTTTTAAACTCTGGTCATTGTAGGAAAGGTGTTAATTTTTCAATTTGCTTTTGTTATTGTAATTTGTGTAGTTAATTGCATTATATTATAATGTTTTTATTGTTAAATAAATAAATAAATTAGTTATTACATATCATAATGGATATTATAAAATCAATGTTTCTTCTTAAATATAATATTTATATGTGTTGTTTCTATTATTTTATTTGTTAAATATCTAAATTTATTTTCTTTAAAAATGTATTTATACATTTTCGAGTTATAAAGCCTGGTAATATATATACCAGTAATTTAATAATATTCTAATTTTAGATTTTTAAATTCTGAGTGTTGTGAAGAATGTATTGTTTTTACAAGCATGATACTTTATGAAGGTCATTTTTTGATTTTCATAATATGTGAGAAAAACTCAAGATAAAGTGTAAAAAAAAAAAAAATTGGAAAATTCACAAAAATAATGCCTTTATTATTTTCAATTTTATTTTTTATTGCAGTTTACCTAAAAATATTCATAGAAACTTAAAATTTGAACAAAAATTAATATTTGCCTTTTCTAAATATGATAAAATTTTCAAAATATTTAAGCCATTTTTTGAGCTACTTATAGAAATGTTTATTTTTCCTTAAAATTCACTTTAAATATTATTATGAAATTTAAAATTAGATTCAAAACTTATATTTTATTTTTTTTATAGACGTGGTCAAATTCTCAAAATTTGTTGACTATTTATAAACATTTTAAGGTTCATTAAAGTCGTACTTTGTGGTCAACAAGAAAAAGTTAAGTTTAATTAGTTTTTTTTTTCTAAGGAATTTTAATATCAAATTTTGACAAATCAAATGACAATACAAATCTAGTTACTGGTCCATGCAAATTTTCAATTTTATTGTTTTGAACATATGTATATTGTCAATTTAAGAATGTTAGTTAAGTCAGAATTGAGGGGACTGACTGAGTTTCGAACTTTTTAAAGTTCTGATATTGAATGTGTTATATTTAATAACTCAATATTTTCAATTTTATGGTATTTCTGTCATAGACTAGTAGTTGTACATACCTGTTATCATCCCAGAGATTGCAAGTTCAAACCCGAGTTCTAAAACCAAGTTGGGTAGATAACAGGGAATAAACAAATGCAACAAATACATCACAATATGTGTTTATTGTGTAATTCATTGTATTCAATGTATATTTATTCTACTACAATATGGCATAAACATTGTTGGAAAAGCAATACTATTAACTGAGTTACGTTCAGAATTGTTTTTTGTTAGCAATGATTAATTACAACAGTGGTTCACCAATCACGAAAAGTATAAGTATGTCAGTCTTTTTTTTGTTAATTTCTGGGTTCTCTTGGCAACAATATAAAAAACACGACTAATATTACTCCACTTGTAAGCATGAAAAATACAAATCTTTTTACTCTTCATAGTAAAAATAAAACATTAATTAAATTTATTCTTATTATCTCATAATAGAATTAATGTTAGTACATTCAAAATATGTGTATCAGTATAAGTGATAATATTTCAACGCAAAAAATTCATTTTAAATTTTAAAAACTCAAAACTGTGTGCATAATATTAATTATAAAATAAATTTAATATTTTTAATAATTACTATTTTAATAGTTTTATAGTTTTTCAAATAATTAATAAATTAAATTGTATACATATTATGTATTTAGAGACTGGCTCTCATGGAACAAAACTTAAGAGTTTAATATTTTAAGTGGACAATTTTTTATAGTTTCATTTAAAATGTACAAATATTAGTAGTTCATACTACATGTTGTGTTTTTTTAAATAAATATGATATTTCCAAAATAGGTTGGTAGGTCACTCTTAAATAATGCATTAGATTGTAGTGGATGGGTCAATATACTATCAATATGTATGCAATTCTTATTTTATTTGTGAACGTTTTCACCATTTTAACAGTTATTAAAATGAATTAAAAATTAATATGTATAGTTTGTGGTGGGTAGATATCAAAAAGGTTAAATTGCGCACAATTATTTGTATTGTTTTTATGTGTATATAGTTATACTATTTCATTTACAGGTGTTCTTTGTTTGCTTTTTTTCCTGGTTAAAAAATCTATAACTGGGTATCGTTATTTTTATTTAGGCCGAGACACTTATAAAGTATATATTATTATAAAACCTTTGTAGAGTAGGGGCGATAGTTCACATTATTTATATCTATATTATAAGCACGCAACCACCTAACGACCCCACAAGTTGTGCGTGTTGGCCTAACCGGGAATGTCATTATTATTTAAATGTATGGTTATGTATTACATCAAACTATTCGAACTTTAAATGTATTTTTTTTATTTTTACTGAAAATGTACTTCAATTTAAAAAATTCTCTCGCTGCCAACATTAATTTGTTGACTTATCATGTAAAACAACTTATAAGCTTAAAATAAAATATTTCATCAAATTAATTGTTACACATGTTAAAGAAAATGTTATATGCTTCCAAACTTGTAAAATTTAAAACTTAGTTGGTTTATATATCATCCAAAAATATTATTTATCAATCTTAAAAACTGAAAGTCTTATTTTAAAAATTATTTATTTTCTTCTTTTATTGTGGTCTGTCATTTTCTTAACTTGATTTATTATTTTAGATTTTAGATTCAGAACATAATGAGAATGCATTTACTAGTATAATTATTTTTTCTAATGTCATTTGGGTTGTAGGTTTCATCATTAGGCCACCTTGTTTAGGTAAAATAATATAAATAAATGTTTATTTCATAGTTGTGTAAGAGTTAGTCATATTGACGCTAACAGTATGTACTTACTTCAACAAACTAAATAATAAACTTTTTAAGTTTGAATATTTAAAAGCTTATTTCACCAGCACTTCTACTTGAAAATTTTTAATTTTCAACTTTTTTATACAATTTTATACACGCCTCAAAACACGATTTTTCTATGCGCGTAATAAGGAAATGTTTCCCAAACATTGCCAAATTCTGATCAAATATAATTATATTATAAATATATATATATAAAGTATATATATATATATTGTTTTGTACAATCTTCAAAACTCCCAACTAATTCCTTTAGAAATACTGTTTATAATAAATGCACAATTATAAATATGATATTTAATCTTTAATCTTGTATACATGAAATTAAGTTTATAAACATTACCTACCTGCATAAGTATTTGGATTTCTGTTACAGCACCTAGAAAGTATTTGTGATAAATTAATTTCAACTGTGCACGTGTGAATATCTTATTTTGTGACTCTTCGTTAGGTTAGATTCGTTAATTGTTTGGATATTGATGTATTTATAAAGCGTTGGTGTCTTAGTGAGCTAACCTGACTCCCAAAAACCATTGATGACTGGTTTCATGTGTACAGAAAAGTATACAAAGTGTTTAATTTATATAATGAGTTGTACAAATAAATTTCTCTAGTGCTGGAGGAAAAATTTCCAGTCACGCGCATTGAAAAGCTGTGTTTTCTTGTGTTTTAAGGATTGTACAAAACAAATTTTTTTTCTGTATAAAATTGCACAAAAAAAAAAGTATTTTATACCTTCAAGGTTTGGTATTGAAATTTGAAATTAGTAGTGGTAGCAAAATGGACCTAATATCTTATATCTTTACCTTTTATCTTTCTTACCATAGATTTTAAATTCTGAATGGAGCGAAGAAACTGATTAAAATGTGTATAAACATAAATATAATTCTTGTGCCTTTAAAAAGTTCAAACCTACTAACCTTCTCTTAGGGGGTTGATCTACCAACTCCTGATTTGTTTGTATGTTGGCAAAAATCTTGAAAACTACTTTACCTATTTTGATAAATCTAAACTTTTTTGTTTAATTTCTTATCATTGTTATGGCAACCAGTCAGTTAGTAAAAAAAAATTTGACTTTAGTGATGGAGCTCTACCACTCATGTGTTTTTTATATATTTAAATAATTACTACCATAATTTATGTTTTAAAACATTATTTCAGCTGTACAAAATAGAACGTGAAGAAGTTAAGAAGCCATCTCTAGTTGATAGAATATTTAAACAAGCTTTACGTGAATTTAAGGAAAATCTTATAGCCACTTATAGTATGGCTAATAAACAGGGAAATGGCCAAGTACTGAATATTAAATACAAAGATTTGATTGCCAACTTCTTACACGTAAAATATATATAATATAAAACTGTTGAATACAAATATATGTTAAATAATTGTTTAGGTTATTGAAACTGTGTGTGGTAATGAAAAAATTCAAGATGATTTTCCAGTGACACTTTGTGTTAATGCATTCCGCGGTTTTATGAATGAGTTTATGAATCAGAATAGAGTTGATACTGAAAAGCCCAGTAAAACCAAACGTAAAAAAGAAAAAAAACAAAAGTCTGAAGATCATATTATTCACGGAGGTCACGTGTTACAAATGAGTATGATAAATATTCCTACAGCTTGTGAAGTTTGCACTTCATTCTTTTTGTGGCCAATTGAAAGGAGTTTGGTGTGCCGAAGTAACTTCAAATTTAACAATAAATTTAAAAACATCCTCTTTCATATTGTACAATTTATATTTAGATTGTAAATTGACGTGCCATAAAAAATGCTATCCTCGTGCAAACCAAGAATGTGTAAAAGATATGAATTCTGGTGGTAATATGCAATCCAAAGGTATTTGTATGGTTAAAGGAAAAGTTTTTGGGCGTCCCTTAGGAGAATTAGATCTAAGCAAGGGTAAGGTACCAGCTATTGTTGAAGGACTTATAACTTTTATTGAAATTCATGGAATGTATAAAGAAGGCATTTATCGTAAACCTGGGGTAAGTTTGTAAATTAAATTACTAATTAGATCAATTTGCAATGGTTAGTTCCAAATAATTAATAATAATGGATAATGTATTTTATCTTAGCTTACAACACGTGTTAATGAACTAAAAGAACTCATTGATAACAATGATGTAAGCAAAATTGAATTAGAAAAATATCAGGTAAATTGGTTTTTATTAATTTTCAAAACATAAAAACAAAACTGTTAATTATAAGATTTAAAATTCATATAACAGGTTCATGTATTAGCCAGTGTATTGAAGTCATTTTTACGTGAAATGCCAGAACCATTGCTTACATTTGATTGTTATGACGATTTTATTCGTGCTGCTAGCCTCTCTGAAGATCGTGTCTCAACATTATTTAACATTTTAAAAAAATTACCAAAAGTGAATTATGATTTAATGGAGAGACTCGTTTTTCATCTCGCAAGGTATTTACATAATAAATGCTTCTAATTATATATTTAATTACATAACTATATCCATATAGGGTCGCATTGCATGAAAATGTGAACCGCATGAATGCTAGTTCATTGGCAATTGTATTTGCACCGTGCGTACTTAGAACAAATAAATTAGTTCCTGCACAAGAATCACTGAGGGATATAGAACAACAAACTCTTTGCATCAGTTCTATTATAAGCCATCAAATGAATAAGATTGAGTCAACTATGGCTGATATCAATACATTAGATACTGCTCATCACACAGCCACACATCGGTTGTCTTCTTTGCGCATTTCTAAAGTATGTAACTGGATGAAAATTATTGTTTAAAAATTTTAATTTAAAATGTTTTTTCAGGTGTATGGACCAACTGAAGGCCCAATTAAAATGGATGAAGAAGAAAAAATGTTAGTTGGACAAATAGAAGAAATAAAAAAAGAGAAAGAGAAATTGACAATCTATCTGCCAAGTTTAAGGCGTACAAATTCAGATGATGATCTTTTATCAACTGATGATGGAAGTTTAGATGATGTTAATGCAAGTTAGTTTTCAACTTTGCTCTTCTCATTGCTAGTAACTCTTCTGCTTGTCCGTTATCTTTTCACCCCTAAACTGTTAAACAAAACATTTAGAAAGGAAATAGATCAAGGAAGAACTTTATAGGTTAGGTTTTTTTTTGAACCTTTGAAACCTTTTTGTCTAATAATTAATACCTAAATTGGGTTAAATTGTACTGAAAGTTGTACTAAGTGGTTAAAAAAAAACTTTTTAACATCTAACATGACATTTCAAAAATGTACAACAAAATTTCGCTCGGAATCGTTTATTATAGTTACATAGATATAAATTAAATTAAAACCATGGTGGACAGCTAGCATGAATATAAAATCGTTAGATGTTTAAATGATAAATTAAATTATTTATTTTATAAATATTTTTCAAAAAAATTAAATCATACACCTTTTTTGAGAACTACTTTTATCTGATGTCATTTATATCAACTGTATTATCATTTTAACTTTGGTTCTAAAAAGTTGAAAATGATACCATGTATTCCAATAATGAATTATTATCTTAGTTCGTTTTAATTATTTACCATATTATATCTGTTCAATTATTTCAGGTACACTTGGTAGTCGTAAAACTAAATTAAAAAATACTACAAAAAAAGCCAAGCGTTCAAATAATAATACATTAGACAGTGATGAGGATCCAATTATGGTTTGAATTTGGACAATTTATTTATCTTTATAGTGCATTTTGTTTTGTTTTTTTTTTTTTTTTTTACATATTATGCGTATATATATATATATTATTATAGACTTGATGAAATACTTAAGTTGTCCCAAAGGCTGTTACTTTTGTATAATAATTTTTCCTTTGTCTGTTGGTTAGTCGGTGCTATGTTATTGTTGTTTTATTTTTATAATTACTATTTTTAATTATTTTTTAATCAATTTTTTTTTCTTATAAAAAAAGGAAAAACGTTTTTAACGTAAAGACTGTTACTCAGATCAGAGTTGTGGTTATTTATACTTCTATTCTTGTTGATATTTCTTTAGAATTTTTGTTAGATGGTTAGTGACACAAATTTATTATTTTCAGTTATTCAAAATAATAAGTTTAATTTCAATTGTCAATTTCCTAAACATCTCTTTGTTAATTATTACTATCTTTTACACTTATTTTTATCTCTAAATATTTGTATGTACATAAGTGATTATTAATTAGTAAATATTATGTATTATTTAAACTATATTCGTTACTTTGATAATTAATTTTACCATGACTAAATAATTTACAAAACTGTTTTATGTATATATTTTATAATTTATATATTAAGTTACTTTTTTTTATTTTGATTACATTTTTATTCATATTTTGCATTATGTTGAATTGCTATTATTTTATTATATTATTATTATAGCTTTTTCAAATCAAACCAATTCTGAAATTCCTAACTTTAACTGGAAACAAATATATTATTTATATTTTTAATCAAAGAAGTTCCCAAGTTTGTGTCAAACCCTTCCATTTATTCATAAGTTTATATTTATTTATTTTTTTTGTGAACAACGAGTGAGTGCTGTGATTTAAAAACAAAATTTATTATCTTATTTTAAATAATTTACTACCTGTTTTTATTTTCAATTATCGTATGTGAGTTGAAAATACTGTACAAATACATTTTATGCCATAATGAAAAACTTAATATTATTATTTATTAGCGAACAAATTTGGGTGTATTATAATTTTGTATATTATATATATATACCTTAAATTTAATTTTGTATGAAAACTAATTACATACTAAAATAATAATTATCAACTATTTATTATAATCTATTTATTTCCTGATAATAAGTTATCAGAGTTAATTTTTTCGTAATAATTGTTAATTAAGAAACTTTTGCCAAAAGAAATATATGAAACTAGAATTATATTAAATGTAGTCATAATATTACATAAACTTAATATTGTGAACCTGTATTATAATTTAAATGTATACTGATGTCTTGTAAGTTATTAATTGTAATAAACATTTTAAAATCATTTTTACTTTATTACTATGTGTATAAATGCTAAAAACATATTTAAAATTATATTATTAATTACATAAAAGTAGTTTTATAAAAAAAAAAAAAAAAGTAAATTATAATTTATTTGAATGGCATGAGGTTGTGTTTTTCTTATAGATTATCATTTAGTTATTAAAACGAGTATTTTTTCTATCATTAAACTAAAGTATTTTATTTTGTAAACATCAGTTGAGTTGTTTAATGTACACCAGAATATTGTTACTGAAATATTTTAGGTTGGTATATTTTTATTATTAAAATTAATAATATTGAAAGTTTATTTAGCCCTAATGTAGTAGTTGCACTGTATATCTATGGATTAGGAGATAATTAATGAACTTGCTTAAATTGTAATGAAAGGAAATATTGTTAATTCATAATGTTCTCATGAATTTAAATATTCTTATAAAACAAACGACATGATGTATTTTAGAAGTTGTGTTAACCCATGTACTATAATCTTATCTGTGATCTATCTTGCATAATGTGTATTAGTGTATATTTTTTATGTGCATACATATTACATGCATATATATTTGTATAAATAAGCTCATTAATTCTGTAAATATTCACAGTGTATATTAAAAACATAATTTTGTTGTTAGATGAAAAGTTAAACGTTTATTTAGGTAGCAGAAAATATTTATTTATCTCTGCATATACAATATTATGTACTAATATATATTTTATGCTCAAAATATTTTATTTATTATTAATTTTTATTTTATTATTACTATTATTATTTTTTTTATTTTTTTTTTTTAACAAGACAACATAGTCATTAGTTTATAATACTGTACAATTAAAACATTCTTTTGTACTAATTTATTATTTTTTATCTGTAATATTAATTTGAACATTAAACAATGAATAAAGCCCAATTATTGACAATATTTGTTTATTATTAATAATATACTTGTAATAATAAAACAGTATGAGCCAATAAAAATATAGTCTGACCATATAATTTCAAACATCTTGCTTCTTAAAAAAACTAAGATGCTATTTTATACAATATAAACTTTACCAACACACCTAATACACCTTTCAATAAATTGGCATGTTTTACCTATAAAGATTTTTTATGGGTCCATGCATTTTGGATGTTGTGTTTTAATAGGTTTGTTTCAATTCAGTTTGTTGAATAGAAATTCAACATTGAACAATTTAAAATCCTGTTGCTTTATAATAACCATTAGTAACTTGTATAAAACTGGTGTACACGAGTACTTAATTATCTTATATTATATGGTACCTAGAACTATATGAAGTTGTATTTGAGTGGGGGTTTTAGAAGTTGACGTCTCACCCCAACATTTTTTATCTAATAAAATTATATTTAAACTTTTTATATTAATCATATTTAATTATTATTAGGTTTATCTAGAAACTGGGGAAATAATTAAGTTGAGATTAATTTTATAGTCTAAGTATCCAAACGAAGAATATTTTATTTTTGTTTATTTATTTTTTTTTATCGGAATTAATAGAGTTTTTAGTTAAGGTACTCATTATCAGCACCCCCAATTATTGACTTGTGTAGTAAATCGTGTTGATAAAATTGTACCTGTTTGTTAATTATTACAGGTTGTTATTTTGTTTTCTAGTAAATTCTGCTTTTTGCAAACACTATATTTTATTGTCATGGGGAGAATCAAAAGTTGGAGGCAAACATTAATGATCAAGATCATTTATCAAATTAATCCATTTTATATATAAAGAAAGATTTAGCAAATGAACTTGATACAGATATTAGTTTAAACAATTTTATTAAAAATTATAGGTGCATACAGTTAAAATTGTAAATAAGAAGGAACTATATTTAATTATGATTTATGATTATTTCATTGTTAATTTTAACTTTTTTTTTTTAATAAAATATTTATACTTTATACGGATATGTTATGTATTGACAATCATGACTACAAGTTAGACATTATTCAATTTTAATTTTTATAAAAAAATTAGGTAAGTATTTACATTTGTTTAAATTGAAATTGGACTATATTATTAGAATATGTGCTATAGACTCTAGAACATTATTACTTATAGAAAGGCTATACACAAAATGATCAATCTATCGTAAAAAACCCATTATCTCGGAAAGTATTAACTTTTTTCGGAATATTTTTATAATGGTACATCATTTGTGTGGTAACACGGCGCGGCGTGCAGCGTTAATAATGCACTACAGTCTATTCACTCTGATAAAATGGAGAAAATATATAGAAACAATGTTGGGAAGACTAGGGTTACAATACGACCCTGAAAACCGGAACTGTTACCGGTTCTTGACTTGTATTGATGTCCCGAAAATAAATGTCGGTACTCCAATCTGTCCCGGTTTTGAGAAAAAATTAATAATATTTAATTTCAACATTTTATTCGAATAATAACTGTAATCGAGAGATAACGATAAGATTTTTAACGAATAGGTACGGGATAAAACAATGATGATAAAACCACATATGTATAATTCTTTTATACATCTGTAGATAAAACCTAATATACCTAGGATCCAAATTAGATATTACTTGTATGTTTTATATAAATCTTTTTTATGGTAAAAAAAAAATAATAATAACATGTATAATTTATAAAAAATAAATACAATTTTTGTTGTTGCTATTTTAGAAATTCCTTGGTACAAACCGGTGTACCGATATATTTTGTACCGGTTTACTAACACTTGATACCGATTATTTTACACTACATTATGTTTCAGTTTATAAGATAATAAATTGAGGTTTTTTCTTTAATGCATATATATATATATATATATATATTATATAGCCATATAATGTGATTTAATCATATTTTTAGTCCAATTTAATTTACTATTTTTTCTATTTGTCCCGGATGGTAGTGTAAAAGATAGGTACCTGATAAGCATCTCTACTCAAAGAGTTCCAGGGTTCGATTGGCCAAGAACCATGTGGATTAATCTAAACAGAAGAGTGGCGTAATCAGAATTTCTCTGTGGGGGGTGGGAGCAATACAAAAACTTTATACAAAATTAATTTGTATTGTTTTCACTTATTTTTATATTTATTATATGACCAGATGAAATACTAAATACTAAAATATATCCTGCTGAAATTAATAAAATATCTAACTTTTCAGTTATAATAATTTATTGCAAACAACTTAAATAATTATAAGGTACATATATTCTTAATGAGTTACTTATTTCTCGTGGTTTATAATATAATATTATTATTATTATGTCTAATCTGTAACTTTCATCCACCTAGGGGATTTTTTAAAAATGCATTCAATATATTTCTTTTTCAATGTTTTTATATTTTAATTCGTCTTTATTGATTGTTGCTAATGCCAAACCATTCAACTTTTCTTCATTCATTGTAGCTCGTACCAAAATATTTTGTCAAGTTGTTTAGAACAGAAAATGTATCTTCCGGGGTAGCGGATGTTACAGGCTAAATATCCAATAAATGAAAAATCTTCTTTATATTTGGGAAAAGCTCTGTGCAGTGTTCAATTTCTTTTATAACAGTCTCTGGTAAATTTTCCTTTAATTGTCATTGTTTTCTCCACATGAATAACTCTGCTTTCAAATTCATACTAATTAAAAAGTGATTTTTGTAAATAGACGCAACATCTAAGATTGATTTGTCATCATAATGT